CTCTGCCTGTGAGGGTTACGTGTACGTGTAATTCGATACTGGATTTGACAGATACACGGCGCTCGCCTATGTGCTCGTGTATACATAGTATAGTATGTATAGTATGTACATACTTGTACATATTTATGTTTGCAGGCATGCGTATGCCCCAGGGATGACGCCCTAGCCCTAGCCCGTGTTAATGATGCTGCCTTTGCTATTGTTGTTGTCATTGTTGTTGTTGTTGCAGTGCATAAAAAAAACACACAAGCACATCTGTTTTCATTTCCAGCAAACGCGTCGATACAACGTTAAATAAAAAATATTAAAAAAGAACTCCACACTCTCCTCCAAATGACACAATCAGTCAAACAAAAAAAATAACACGAGCCTCGTTATTAAATGAGAAACCGAAAACTGCTGAAAATCACTTATACTTTTAAATAATTACACTGGTCGGCACAATTATTTTGACGAACTGTACTCACGACTATCGGTGCTGGTTGCTTTTAGTTTCAAGGAATAACGGTACAATTTTCATACGGGATATTGAGTTCATAGCAACAACAATATGTAGGCAAAATATTTTGTCTATTACTCTTCACACCTTTTTTCTACAAATGACAATGTGAGTTGACTGCGGATTCAGGCACGGCATAAGTATTTTGACCAAATCTTTGTCGCCGTTTTCGCGTACGTTTTATCAAGTGATACTAAAATAACTTTGGTGTAACAATTTTTGTTGACCTTTTTACATTATTTTCATTAAAATTTGATTCAAAAGTAATCGATACAATGGTAAAAAAGACAGAATTAAGTTATGTTGTTAGAGCCTCAATAGTGGCGAAGTTTAATGCCGGCGTAGCACCAAAAGACATTGCAAATGAATATAATTTGTCGCGGCAAACAGTCCACTATCAAATTAACAAATATAAGACCCACAATGACGTCAAAAACTTGCCTAGATCAGGTGCTAACCGCAAAACAACACCCATTGAAGATCGAGTCCTATTGCGGGAATTTAAAAAAAATATTCATTTAAAGCCGCAAGCTGCTGCAGATCAATGGAATAAGTCGACCAAGACTCCAATCAGTGAGCGTACTGTTCGGCGACGCCTAAAAGAAGAAGATTTTAAGACATACAAAGCGAAGGACATACCTTACATATCAAAGGTGAACAAGCTCAAAAGATTGGCTTTTGCAAAGGAGCATCTGCATAAGCCAAAAGAGTTTTGGAGAAGCGTTCTATGGACAGATGAAAGCTCCTTTGAATATAATTCATCAAAACAGTTTCAAAGACAAAAAAATATCCCCGTATGTCAAAAAGTGAGCCATGGCGGAGGCTCAGTCATGTTCTGGGGATGCATTGCGTACAATGGGTTAGGTGATTTCGTTCCCATCACCGGCTCAATGAACCAGCAACAATATTTGAGTACCCTTAACGAAAACGCATTCCCTTCCGGTGACAGGCTGATTGGAGAATCATTTATCCTGCAACAGGATAACGCCCCATGCCACAAAAGCAAAATGATAAGAGCATTTTTAAGCGATGTTGGTGTTACTACTCTGGATTGGCCACCACAAAGTCCGGACTTAAACGTTATTGAGAATGTGTGGTCTCTTGTAAAACGTAAAAGAAATGCGTCTTTGCATAAAACCGAAGAAGAAACTATTTCCGAGGTCACTTCTCTTTGGAAAGAGATACCATTAGAGGTCCTTCAAAATTTAGTGGACTCAGTTCCAAGACGTCTTCAAAAAGTTATCGAAGCCAAAGGCGGGTATACATTTTATTAATCTACCATCAATTTCTTATGTTTTGTTTAGTATTAAGCTTTGTTTTTTTTGTTAATATCCATTGTCAAAATACTTATGCCAACCCATGAAAATTACCTTGATTTATAATTTTAAAAGTTCTTATAAAAATATATCCTTTGAATTATTTTTAAGTTTGTAATACCAATATGGAATTGAGAAAAAAAGTTTCCTTTGATATCTTAAACCAATAACCAGTTATTGACAAAAATGTATGATTTTCTTCTCGTCAAAATAATTGTGCCGACCAGTGTATATGTTGACGCTTATGTTAATTGTTGATGTATTTTTTCTGATAACACTTTTAACCAGCCTGTGGAATATGCTTTAAACGATTTGAATTCTACTTTCTTATCGCTAGTAATGCCAGCATTTCAAACCCAGTTTGTGAAGCTTTGAAACCGAACCGCACGTGCAGAAATGAATTACAGTCTAGCTCTTAATGCTCCTTTAACTCTATAATCTCAGGGGTATTCAAAATTGGGTCTGGCTTTATTGTTTTACAGATTATGATTTGCTGAGTCTGGTCAATTGTTATTTCTATTGTTCGAATATATCACAATCTGCAAACATTCTTTTTAAGTTCAATGAAATATAACAATTATTCTTATCTTAGTCTTGAAAATAATAATAAAATGTTTTCAATAATATGAGGATTATACATCAAAAGCAAATAAATAGAAGCGAAATTTTATATATAGTACAAAAAGTTATTACAAATGGATCAAAACTTCAAGTGCAATTTCAAAATTTCTAGCTTTTAACCTAGCTATTATCAGGGTTGATGAATCGAGCGAATTAACAAGTTAAAAACTTATAGTGTTTATTTTAAATGCTTATATTAATTTTAAAGAAACTGAGTAATTCCAAAATATCTGCAGTGTCTGCAAATGCAAGCAGTCCTCGAACTTATAATAATTACTATACAAGTATAACATTTTATTTCGACAAAGTCAGCTCAATTAGTTGCGTCATTTTAGGATATATAGAATATAGAAATCGGTCATCTCAATCTCATTGATCGTCAAAGTCCAAAACTTTTTAAGCAATACTTCAAGCATAATAGTTTGTAGTTAGACCTCTAACATTTTTTTATAATTATTTAATTTTTTATTTTAAGCCCTATTCTAGCTTTAGAAGTATCAGATTACTTTTGAAATATTACGCTAGTTCTAGTTTTTTGGAAAAGATTTATCGAGAAATGCCATAAAATAAAAGCAGATAAACATTACTTTGGGAATAATTTTGGTCGGTTTTTTAAGATATACCAAAAACACTTGTGCTTCAGTTTATAGAGGCGACAGCAGTCAGATTGTCCTGTTTTTACAATTATTAACTATTGTTAGGGTTCAGCATATTTTCTTTTAAAATATATACTATCATCAAGACTAAGGCCTTTAGCTAATTTTTTATTTTTTTTATTTATGTCAACAAACATTGAATGTCGACATAGGAGGAAAATATATAAAAATTATAAAAAGCATCTTATAAGCTAGAAAAGCCTAAGAAGGAGAAATCTAATCAAATTATAATATCTAATTAACGCCTCCAATCCGGTGGGGGAATATTATTTAATATATAATAAAAAATAAAAACTTAACAGAGAGAAGAACCTTAGAATTGCTTAAGAGCTAATTTCAAAAAGAAAAAAGTAAAAAAAAAAATTGGAATCTCAGACCCGGTGGGGGAAGATTTTTTAGCCAGTCCGGCAAGCTATACCCCGTTTTACAGCCGATCCTGGTCAGAGATTCCGGAAATGGCTGAAAAGAGAGGCTTTTCTTAAAGGAAGAGACAGTTCAGTACTTATAATAGTTCGTCTGTCGCCTTTACTTCGCCCATAGGTGACATTTCAATTATCACATCCTAAAGTTAAACTGTAGGCTGGCATTTTTGAGAGTGTACATTAGATATAGAACCTATTGAGAGAATATCCAATGACCCTAAAATGTATCATCAGCGGTCCTTAAAACCCACATCACAACACACAGCTCTCAACACGTTGAAGCGGGGACAGCTGGACTCACTTCATTTGCATGTTGCGAAGGTACTTTTGTTTATCGGAGACCCTTGAAAGGAAGTCTAGGATGCGACAAGAACAACAACAAAACAACAACAACAACAACCGAATTTACGACACACCAGCAGTGCAGACATATGCAGATGCGCCTGCAGCAGCAATCTGCCCCCGGGGGAGGGAGAGGGCGATGGTGGGAGAACATCAGTCAAAACAGCATCCGCACAAGTGTGGGCCGCCCGCCCGAGCGCGCCCTCACTAATTTGTCCAATTTGTCGAGTGAGGAACAACAAAAACGACAGGAAAAATGAAATTGGCAGCCGGCAGGCCGGCGGAGAGCGGAGAACGCGGAATAGAAGGCTGCAGGACGCCCCGCAGCTCTTGGAATTAGCGCAACATGCGACGCTGCAGCGGGAAAATATTATTTTTACAAATAAAATCAGTGAGAGTGAGGCGGCAGGGACGGGCGGAAAAAGGACGAACGAACCGAAGGCAGATATCATGTCGGTTGTATATTTTACCATTTAAATGCGCGACACACGGGTGTCAATTTCGTATCGGGCGCATATAAATGTCGCAGAGTCATAGGCATATCCTGCCTGCAGGACATCACAAATACACACACACACACATATGCACATACACTTGGTGGTCGTTGTCGCCCCGGGTCGGCGTTTATCGCACGCTGCGCCACCATCGCCTCGAGCCACTCAAAGAGTCCAGAAATCGCCGCACTCGATGGCAATGGACCAACAGGAGGGCAAACACCTCTTATTGGCTTTCCAACTACTGCTACTGCTGCTGCTGCTGCTCAGTACAAGTTGGGCCCGGGGGCAAACATCTGTTGGAAAAAGGAATGAGCCAAGTGGCTAAGAGGCAAGTGGCCTTTCGTCAACCGTTCATTAGGCAGCGGCGGTGCAGCTTTGGATGCTTTGGTTGCATGCAACGCGCACTGCTTATCGTTAAAAGGCTTAATTGCAGTTATCACATTTTTATGTGCACCGTTAAACGGACGCCACGGGCCATATGGGCCCATAAAAATTGAATGGGTCCTGCAACTTCATTTCGCTCCCAAACCGCCTGAACTGATTTTCATTTTAATGTACAATACATTGTACAGTTTTTACAACTCTGTAAACGCTGACAATCTAGAGCGAGCATTATCGAATTAAATATTTGTTTCTCTTCATTGCAGATTTTTCCTGAAGTTCTTCTTGAAGTGCAATCAAAACTGTTTGAAAAATGCCGGCAATCCCAGAGACATGCGCCGATTTCAGGTGAGATTTGCTGAAAATAAATATGATTTCCAATCACTTTTGTTGTCTTATATTAGTTCTTATTATACATATGTATGAGCTCTTCATATTGATTTCACACTTCAAATATTCTGCTTGCTCTTGCTTTGACTATATTAGAAGTAGGAGTACCCTAAGGTTTTGCTTTTCGTAAAAATAATACAGACAACTCCATTTTAAAATACTAATTCAACTTTAATTTGTATCTAAATCCAAAAAATATATTTTAGGGTATTTTAAACGTACGTTTATTTATTGTCAACATAACTTTTTAATAAGTGAACATTTTTCTAAATTATTGGTCATTCGAATTTTTATTTTAAAATATTTATACTAATACTAATTCAACTTTAATTTGTTTCTAAATCCAAAAAATATATTTTAGGGTATTTTAAACGTACGTTTATTTATTGTCAACATAAGTTTTTAATAAGTGTACATTTTTCTAAATTATTGGTCATTCGAATTTTTATTTTAAAATATTTATTATAATTCATAAGTTTACTAACTTAAATATTTACTATTTTGAATAGTATTTTCTTTAATCTAATCATCTTTCATCATCTTTTCGGTCCAACATTGTCTTGTTTACAAATCACTTATCGTTTTTTTTTAATACTCCATAAATCGGAATGATTGAAATATAGTTTAGGTATTATTAATTACTGGGAGAAAAAATAACTAGAATAGGGTTAAGATATGTTTATAAAATTTGTTTTCGTTTCTATTTTGTTCAACATATTTGGCATATTTATTAAAAAAAAAACTAAATCACTCAGCAATTCACAGTTTATTGAAACGTTTCTTTCTTTTTTCAAAAGCAGAAATATTTTGAAATTTAACACTTTTCTAAGAAGAATCGTTTACCATATTAGAGCTTTATTTTGTCTAAAAGCTTACAGGTTCTTAAATTGTATCTGGATTGATCAAGATAAAACTACACTCGTATAATTCTTTAGATAGCTCTAGGTAGCTCCACAAATTAAATATTTTGTATCTTGTTCTTCAATGCTTTTCAATTGAAGAATTGTTAGTCTATTTAATATTGGACCATTTATCAAATTTTAGCTACTTCTTTATTTTAATTTTGGTTCGTATATTAAATTGTTCATATCATGAACAGAAACGAATGTTTATAGCTTATAATAAATTAATTGCGATTTATTTTCCAACAGGTTGTCATATCCACGCAGGTTGCCGTTGATGGGCCGCTATTGGCTATATCGGACAATATGTTCGTGCACAACAATTCGAAGCACGGACGCCGCGCCAAACGATTGGACACAACGGAAGGTACAGGCAACACATCCCTGTCCTTATCCGGTCACCCCCTTGCGCCCGACAGTACCTATGATGGTCTGTAACAAAATTCTAGTATCACGCTCTTAAGTTCCAGCCAGACGCTCTGTCCTCTGACAGCGACGGCTGCTTAGTTGCAAAGTTTATGTTCTTTTATTTATTTTGTAGTAATTGGCGAACCTCTCTTTATCATTTGTTCTCATGTCCTAAGGACCTAGTTAGATTGTAAAGTTGAATACTATTCTGTTTTACAACAAATAAAAACGGTAATGGGCGCGTTGAATTGAAAACTTTGCTCACAAATAATCAGACATCAACAATCATAAACCATATACTAAAATATATTTATATAAAGGGACATTTTTAAATCACCAACTTCATTCAAAAGCTATTTTTTCGAATATTTCAAAAATCAATTTTGAGAGAATGTAAGGTATACTAGAGATATTAATTTAATAGCTAAGGCGGATAATTATGTGTTAAGTCTTTATTATATTTTATAAAATGTAGATTTCACTTTTTTCGAATTTAAATTCACTTTTCTGTCTTCACAAGTTAGTTTATCTAATGAGAAGAAAACTCTCCATATAATGATACTTAAAAAAAGATGAAAAATAACAATTTTAATAACAAACACTTAAAAAGGAATGATGATAGTTAGAATCATGAGAATCAGCATAAATTCCATATTTAAAAATTCAATATTTAGATTTCATGCCGTCTCATACAAGTTTTTCGAATTTAAATTCACTTTTCTATCTTCAAAAGATAAGTTAGTTTATCTAATGAGAAGAAAACTCTCCATATAATGATACTTAAAAAAGGCGAAAAATTATAATTTTTATTAAAAACACTTAAAAAGGAAGAATGAAAGTTAGAATCATGAGAATCAGCATAAATTCCATATCTAACAAGAGAGAACGCTACAGTCGAGCAAGCCCGACAGTGTAATACCCTGTACCCAGGTAAACTTCCGTCACTGAGTTATATGCGCCCAAAGCAGCAGCAAAAAGAGGAAGAAGAAGAGCGAACTTGTTGCTGCAGTTTGGGGGGGTTGCACTAGAGAGAATTTGTTTCACTAATAACTTTTCTTAGAATTGACCGAATTGAATAAAATTTTGAACAACAGTAGACAATTATATATAAATTATGTGTGCAAAGTTTGGTTTAGGTAGCATTTGAAATGTGGACGCTATTGACGAAATTCTGTAGCGGGGGAAGGGGGGGAAAATTAAAAAAAAAAAAATAAACTCGTCCTTACTCGGACCTAGGAGAATCTGGATGCCAACTTTGGTTATTCGAGCTTTTATAGTTTCTGAGATCCTCGCGTTCATCCAGACGGACAGACGGACGGACGGACGGACATGTCTAGATCGATTTCTCTCGTCATGCTGATTCAGAATATATATACTTTATGGGGTCGGAGATGCTTCCTTCTGCATGTTACATACTTTGCACAAACCTAATATACCCTTTTTACCCTACGGGTACAGGGTATAAAAATTCAATTCCATTTAGGTATTTCAGGATAAATGTGAAATCTCTATCTCTAATCAGTGATCAAAGTTTTCTAAAAAATGCGCCCAATCGTTTCTACAGATCCTAAACTGAACAAACTGTTATTTATGAAACCTACCACATACTTATTTATACCTTTGCCGAATTTCAGGTCTCTACCCACCCTTGCCCGTGGCTACGCCCTGCATCAAGGCGATATCACCCAGCGAAGGTTGGACTACGGGCGGAGCCACTGTCATCATTGTGGGGGACAATTTCTTTGATGGCCTGCAGGTGGTGTTCGGCACAATGCTCGTGTGGAGCGAGCTGATCACATCTCATGCGATACGCGTCCAGACGCCACCGCGCCACATACCCGGCGTCGTTGAGGTGACGCTCTCCTACAAGAGCAAACAGTTCTGCAAGGGATCCCCCGGTCGCTTCGTCTATGTCTGTAAGTTGTAGCGCCCTAGTCCTTTATCGGCACAAAATGTCTGAGCTTCGCGTTTTGTTTTCTTCTGCCCCTTTCATCGTTTAAGCAGCCCTCAATGAGCCCACAATAGACTATGGTTTCCAGCGTTTGCAAAAACTGATTCCCAGACATCCCGGCGATCCGGAGAAACTGCAGAAGGAGATCATCCTAAAGCGCGCTGCTGATCTGGTGGAAGCGCTCTACTCAATGCCTAGGTAAGCGAAAATTACTCTTCTCCCTGGGTCGAGTCCAACTCTAATGCTGTTTCTTCTGCTGCAGCAGATCGCCAGGGGGCTCGACCGGCTTCAACTCTTATGCCGGCCAATTAGCCGTGAGTGTGCAGGATGGATCGGGTCAGTGGACGGAAGACGATTACCAGCGCGCTCAATCGAGCAGCGTCAGTCCCCGCGGTGGCTATTGCAGTAGTGCCTCCACACCACACAGTTCGGGTGGCTCGTACGGCGCCACCGCAACCGCAGCTGTGGCAGCCACCGCCAATGGATATGCACCCACACCCAACATGGGCACGCTTTCCTCCTCGCCGGGCAGCGTCTTCAATTCAACTTCAAGTAAGTGCCAAATATGAACTGACTTAGTCCTACTTAGTAACTATTTGTAGTCAGATTGTTTTGGTAAAAAGAAAAGAATTTCGAAGAAGATTCTCCTCAAAGAACTTAGTAATGAGGCTTCTTTATTTTTGTTTCAATTCTCGTAAGTCGGTTGAAAAAAGAAATATAACCCTAGACACCTTCACAGCTTAGAATAGTTTGGTATTTGATTAGTCATTTGAGTATCCCACTACCTCGAATAATTACAGGACCTTATTAGGAATAAAATGTATCACCCGTAGGACCAATTTTTAAATAACATCTAAATAGGTTTTTTTTTGCATAAAGTTTTTATGATTTTTGGTCTAAACATGTAAACACTACTTGGACATCCTTGTTTGAATTCTTTATTTATATTGTTCGAGTACACGAACTTCAAATACCCTTTAAATACAATACAAACTCCAACTCCCAAAAAGAAAGTGAACAACCAATGTGCTCAGCAAAAGCATTTTCGCCATTAATCCCAACAGTGTCCGTATCGTCGACGTGGCATCAAGCGCTCGTGCAACATCACCACGCCGCTCACCCGCATCACTATCCGCATCCTCACCAGCCCTGGCACAATCCGGCCGCATCAGCAGCGACCGCGGCGGCCGTGTAAATCGGAGCAGCACCAACAGCATGGGATAGAAAGAGGTAGGCGGCACACAGATGGGCGCACCGACGGAACAGCGACATTTTGTTCAAACTAAATGCCACAGGCACACACACACAAGCACACACACACACATTACCAGAAACCTTATCGCAGCGGAGCCATCGAACGCCCCTTGAATGTGACAACAACAACAACAACACAACACATCGAAAACACCCAAAACATCCGAAGCATTTACTGGTGCCGGAGACGATGACATTGACCGTGGAACGAACAACGCCCAGACAGCCCTCGGTCGATAAGCTGTTCCGTGGCCGACAAAAAAACACTTCCAGTACACCATCCACCAACTCCACACATTAAGATTAACGGTATTTATAATTTGTTTTACAATTTAGATATAGCCACTGTAAATAGTATGCATATATAATTAGTACCCGTATAGAGCTAGAAGTGTGGGGCTTATGTTCGAAAATCCATTTCAATGTACTTTTTGAAAGGTAGAATTCGGAACTTGACACAAACTACAAGTATACTATTCTGCTAAGAATTATTGTTATTGTAGCTATCAAGGTGGTGCTTCGGTATATGTATCTTAAGCTGACATATATTGCAAACCAGTTCACACAGCTTCCTGGCAACTCAACTAAATTAAACCTTAGGCTATTTTAATAAAAACTTATGGAAGAAATAATATTTTGGTGGATACTCATATAAATACTATCGTACGATATCTTGCAAAATTAATGCCATGATCCTTTAAAACTACCATAAATTTTTCATCTATTTGTAATTAATGCTTCGCCAAAATTTCCCCATACTTCTTCAGAATTGGGCAATAATATTGAGCCTTATTACCAAGCCAAATATTTATACATTTTTCTTTGAATTCCTGTCTACGCCACCTATCGGCCAAAAACTTTCTCTGACTCTATTTGCTTTTAACAACCTTATGATACTAAAAACTATATAAATCAAACTTCTTTGTAAAAGGGAAAAGCGATAAATGTTACAGCTCAGAATTGAGTTTTCTGTTTGGTTTTTTTAAGTTTCTAGAGGTTCTAAAATTTAAGACCCTATATAATAAAATATTCTGCTTCTAATGCTTATATTAAATTTATATCAAATTTGTTGGACACTTATTAAATGCAGTATACAATTTTTAATTACAGGAGTCAGTAGCTTGAGCTTTAACCCGTTCGCTCTACCCACATGCAACACCCAGGGCTATAGCACCAGCCAGCTAGTAACATCAACCAAATAATATTACTACTAAACGAGGCTATTGACCGCTGCCGCTTACCCCCGGGAACCCAATTGCTGCGGAGAAAGGACCCGCTCGAAATATCACCAATGAACAAAATCAAACAAGATGCTCGAAAGTGCAATAAACAAAAACATATTTCCAATTCATATCAATATTTCATTAAATATTGCGCAAATGTGAAACAGAATTTTTGTTTTTAACTCTTTCTATGTAATACATAAATATGTAAATACATTTTAAAATTTCCGCATATCAAAAGAAAAAAAAAAACAAAAAAATGAAAACGAATTATATATGTACGAGTATATATAAATTTAATATTGTAGGTATGAATGAATTCATATCATATGTATTTTCATATCTATAGAGGAAGCTTTGGCGAATTGTTAAATTCTAAAGAATGAGGCAAATATCGGTTCGGCGTACACCAGATTTGCGTAATTTAACAAATCATATGTGTATATATTATATATTTATTATATTTAAAGATTGGATCTGTGAATAGAACAAATTATACCAATTTAATAATCTACAATGAAAACAAAAGCTAAGTTAGTCTAAATACCTTTTGAGTATACAGAACAAATATATGAATATATGTATATTTAAATGCTTGTATACGACAATGAAATACCATATACATACATACATACATAACCCACACAAACATAGCTTTTTGGAGTCATAAAACAAAATACAATGTATACAAAATACAATGTATACAAAATACAATATATAAGGCTGTTGTGGTCTCATAATATTTAACTACAACCCCCAACACACATGGCATATCATTTTTATAAAACTTTAATTAACAACTTATACAAACAATTTTGAGCAACACACTTAAAGGTTTTCCAGAAATTTAATCGAACTGACAGATGCTAAATAAAGACGAAATCAAAATGATATATACCTAAATATACAAAAGAGTTGAGGTACTGGTACTAGAAGCTTGTGCTTTGAATCGCTCCATTTTGACACTAAATTTATAAAATATCATATGGAAAATACACACAGTTCTTAATCAAATTATATGCCACACATATTTATCAAATTTTGCACTCGAGTCGTGCATTAAAAACAAAAAAATAAAGTCCCATAACACGCATTTTGTAACTATAGCGCTCATAAAAAAATTCGAAATTCAAAAATTCATAATCAACTTAAAAGTCAATCATCAAGAAATGTATTATCCTATTTGAGATTTATTATCACTATTCAAGACGACAAAGTTCAATAAACACCCGAATTCAGCCCGAAGTTTTGTTGACTAGAAATTAAGTAATATACGGACATCAAATTAGATATTTTTGGTGCATACTGTAAGATTATTGTTTATTATTCGATATTTAGGGCTTATTGTATTTGGCATTGTATCGTGTGTATGTATGTACATACATATATGCATACCTGTAGATTCACACATTTAATAAATAAATAAACCTTTTTAACACAAACGAGCTAGGTATTTATAAGAATTGCATCATAAATGACACGATTTAGCTCCTACAATTGATTTGTAAATTAACATTAAAAACTAGTAAACGCTTTCTGTTTTGTAAATTTCAAGAAGTTATTTAAATAAAATTTATTTAATAAATAAAATACAACATGCTAAATAAAATTAATTGTTTGGGGGCTGCTCTTAAACTGACTATTGCAAAATATGTGAAGATATTTCAAATATTTAAGCAGCTTTTACTTCTAATTACGATGTTTCTAAATTAAATTCTATTCCAACATACTTAGCCCATTTAAAGTAATCCGTAAACAGGCCAGCATTGACAAATATTTTTGTTTATTTTAATCTTTTTAATGTTATTTATCAACAAAACATGGGTTGTCGACATAGGTAAAAACATAAATAGGTTTTTTTAATTACAATTTACAAGATTTATAAACAAGAAAATATGAAATAATGTCCGTTAATGCCTCCGAACCTTTGAGGGCGATTTTATTTACCATTTGGAGAGATATGCCTCGATTCACAGACTAATGTGGTCAAAGAGACTTTCAAGAAAAAACTGAATTCTTATTTTTATTAGCTAATTAGATAACTTAATGTAAAACAAGAATGCAATGAAGAATTTGGCAGACCCAGCTCTTAGATACCCTGTACCGATTCACACAAAAAATTCTAAAAACTTTATTTTAAACCAAAGGGTGTGTCCGCACGTTTTTACGGGCATTGTGTGTCTAAGAAGTATTTTAGATACACTTGTTCTGCGTATACAGGCCTCCTTCTGCCTGTTACATTTGTCAATTTGCACAAACGAAATATACACTGGTGCCCTTTAGAGGTATACAAATAGAGTGTCCCAACTCAACCGTTTTTCATGATTTACCAAAACCTTTCTTTTACTGTTTTGGTAATTACATATTGCACGATTTAAGATGGCACCTAAGTTAAAACCTCAACTCACATTTTTTGCGAACTATATATGTATGTATGTAAATAATATCAGAAATACTTCGATCGTTAATGGTACCACATAGTTAGGCCGGTTGCAAGTTTTCCGGGAAACAGGGGAAAAGCGGAGTGACGACAACATATAAATTGATACTTTTTATTTCGCATAATAATATCATTATTATTAATTCTAAAGTTAATTTCAAACTAATGCTTACATTTACAAAATAGCTGAAGCACTTCTTATACATCAAAAACTAAATGTCTACAACTCAAAACAGATTAGTTTTAAGACTTCAGATCTTTACAATATATTGGGGAATATATTTTTGGATGAGCTTGCAATATATTTATACTTTTTACTTATCATTATGAGTTCTACTAGCTCCCTCATAATATTCTACTCTTCTTTGGGCGTAACACCATCTGTCTCCTTAAACAACATTTCTTGAACTTTCGCGCGCACATATAGTTTTCGATTCAAGGACAATTGACGCATTATGGGAACAAGACTTAATGCAAAATAGTAATCGTCATCCTTATTTTGTTCCTCCTGGGTGTGCTGAACGATGTAACTCAGTTGCTCGCTGACCGTAGTCAGTCTTTCAATGCACACATCTAAAGAGCCCTTCAAGCTATTCGAGGCGACGGCAGCGCTGGCGCTTATTGCGGGCGTGGATACGACTGTAGTCTTGCCGATCATAACACTTTCACGAGGTTCTTCATCCATTTCATTCATGGGACTGTAACACAACGGGTCCTCACTATAAATAATATCCTTGATGTCATCACTGATCCCATCAGTTTGCTCATACTGTTCCCATTTTTGCGGCAAAGCCCCGGTTACGGTTGCTTGTGGATCAATAATTTTTGGTTTTGCTACACGAATAGATCCCCTTTCTGGTTTTGCCTTCGTTACACGGGTACTTTTACCTGCAATGAAAGTTAAATTAAAATGTTAATAATGCAACACACTACTACCACTAATTCCACTTTCTATAGATGGGAATTATTCTGTATATCATTTAAAGTTGCCGGGTTGTTTTTGTGCAGCAGGGCTGCGCATTATTGTTTGCGATGACCCCATATTGCGATAGGTACAGCTTCAATACAGCTCATTCAATAGTTCGTTGCATGCTATGATTGGGATGGAGTGGCTGCCCTACCTTGAGCTTTGATTTGCAAAGGACGCTTCCTCAGTGGAACGGGAATAAAATCTACTTGGTCACCGTGTTTATATCGTAGATGAGTCCACAAATTGGTTGTGTTGGTTCCTTTTAGATTGCTTGAAGCGCCACCACGCGATATGTTGCTGCCACAGTGACGGCATATCGCAAGGTTTTCACACTCCGGGTTAATATCGTAATGTTGCCACACTGAACTAACGCGAACTTTAGGCATCTTAGTAGGCAATTACAAAACAATCGTATAATGAAAAAATTTTCCACTAGAATCGCAAAAAGTATATACGATAGCGATGAAGCGATAATAGCACTAGTGTTGGAAAACGTTGACATGAGTGGACGCTGCACTGCATCTTTTTACCAGCCAAACAAAGTGTAAGGAAAACATAAATAAATCCGTCCAAAAATGAATATGCGGCACTTATTTGGCAATTATACTTAAATTCACTAATTCAATGATTGTTGTACACTCAGATATCCAGTATATATAACAACACTAGAGGAGCGCCACATCTTTAGCAATGCTTTGGCACGCGTGGCAGGCGTGCGTGAAATAAATAAACATATTACCGTTATTTGAGTTCATGTGTAGGCACTTGTGCCGCAGTAAGCTTCCTGTTCCAGTTCTTCCACTATAAGAAAGCAAATCTGTGCAGCTTTTACAGCAAGCATACGGCTGCATATGGCCATCCAAAGAAACAAGGTGGAAAAAGCGCCAAACGCTGCTCTTAATATTGCGGGGCTCCACCAGCTTGCAACGACTATCCTTTTCTCGAATTAAATTTCTCAATTCCGCTTTCTTTTCGGCGTTCATTTTACGATTTTCAATGAAAATATGCAAAAAAACTCAATTGTTGAAAACACACAAACACACGCCAAGTCACGACATTCAGTCACGCACAAATTGGTGTTGAGTAGCGCAAATATGTATATTCGCACAATAACACTAAATTATGTCCGGAGTTTTTTAGCGAATTTCCGAAATATGTTTGGCGGGCTTTTAAAAACATGATACAAAATACCAATTATTCAATCAATATAAACAGAACACTTGCATTGCTTCACCTTGTAGAGTCGTTATCCTAATTAAATGTAATCGGTGCGTCAAAAAAATTATAAAAAATTAAATTCAACCTATGGTTAGCTTTCCAACACTGCATTTGCGGCAAAACCACCGATGCAAGGATGAAAAGCTGGTTTCCCCTAAATTATAAAATGTTTGGAAAAAAACTTAAACGAATTTTGTTTTCGATATTAGAACGAGATTTTTTTATTTTATAAAACCTTTGGGCGCGTTTGTTAAAGTTCCAATTATTTCTAAAAACACCAAATGTTTAACATATGTATTTAGGCACAAATTCGAATTGACGATGTCCAACACTATCAAGTTTTCCTTAGATGTTGTCGAAAAGAGAAAATAATTGGAATTGGTTTGTTGTTTGATAGTGCATTTAAAATTAGTACAAAGTGAAATTTTTAGTGAAAAATGCATTTGGAACGAGCGCATAACGTATGAAATGCAGTTATCTGAAATAAGTCGATTAATAACGCGAATTTTAGCAGAAAATGTGCGTGTGCGGTACCACACACACACAAACGTAGGTTTTTCGGTCATCAATTCGTCGTCTTCGCCGTCGTACAACCTGACGTCAACGTTGCCGTCGCAGTCACTGCCACTGCCTCTGTCGACGCCGACAAACGCCTTGCCCTCAATGAGAGCGAAGAGCATAACAGTTTCTACCCGTGCATTGTATTTGTAATGTGCACGAAAGAGAGACAAACAGCGGGAACGCAACAGCAACACGGCAGCAAAAGAAAAATGTTTTCATTTATTATTGCCTACCGTTGAGAAAAGGCAGGAAAATTGATAAATTTGCAAACGCCACTGGACTAATTGTGCCGTGTTTGGCCAAAAATAAGCGAGTGTAGTGACTAAAGACCCTTTGTGTGACAACAACGAGGCTAAATTGCAACAGCTGATGGGCAAAAAAACCAAAACCAACGCTAAATTCTTTTCTGTGCTGCTGGTATGCTGCCGGCAGCGACGTCAGCAGCAGCAGCAGCCTGCTGCCTATTTTTCTTCTTCTGCTACATGTATATGTATGTATGTAGATAGAAGCAAAGCTCCAAACTAAACCAACCCCGCTGCCGCCCACTGCAAAGTTCGCCCAGCGAATGATTCACATTTTCCTTTCGCGAGTTTTTCTCTCTTTTACTTTAAACATTTCTTGTGTTTTTGTTGTTGTGTTGCGTTGCGTTGCGCTACACGAATTATGTTCGAGCACCATTACTTTTGCCAAACTCAAAAATAGTTGTACAAATTCCTATTATTATTAATATATTTGTGTGTGTGTATATACATGATTGTTTAGGCTTGCAATACGCCTGAAGTGAAAATTCCAAAGCGAGAGGCGTCGTCGTCATCATAAGCGTATGCGTCCCACTAAAGCATAATAGGAAAAGTGTGGAAAATAGAAATATATAAGTGTGTGGGGAAGAAAGAAAAGTGAACTGCAAGTGCAGCGGAGACTGGGCGTCGGACAGCCAGTGTCATCCGTTGCCACCGCAGCCTCCGCGGAAATTTCTATTGAAAAAATTCATTTTCGTTAAGTGACGGCGCGAGTTTTGCCCTCTCGTATCCGTCTCCATCACCGTCGTCGTCTACGTTGTTGTCGCGCAGCTGCTGCATCGTCATCACCAACACCAACGGACACCAGCGCACTAGGGGCAGCATATCATCAGCATGGATGCCGAAACACAGGAAATACGACAGGTAAACATATTTTTAGCCATTACTCTAAGCCCCCCAACTGTTGATGTGTGTGCCTGCCCCTGTCCCTGCCCAGGCTCGTGTAAATGCATACATATGTATGTACATAAATACGTTCATATGTACATACATGCATACATAGTACATACATACGTATATATTACATACTTGGAGTGTTTTTAATAGACATGCTTGTAGTTTCACAAGCATGCATACATTCATACATATTTATGTAGATAAATACGTACATACTTGAAAACGCAAACTAAATAGCGCGCTCATTAAAATTCCAACGCAAGCGTGGCGTCAACGTTGTGAGCCCCAACAACTACTCCCAAAAGAGTTCACAGCTATGATGACGCCGGCAACAACGTTTGCTTCAATTGTTGTTGGGTACGCCTTTGCAATGTGTGTGTTCATCAAATGCTGCCGCAGTCGCTGCTGTCGCTGCTGCCTGCCCATAAGCGCTGCTGCTGCTGCTGCTGCCGTCGCCCAGCCACCTACTCTCTTTGCCAAAATGGTGCGCTGAGGTAACACGCACACACACATTGCCGCTCCCACTACCCCGTGCACCTGTCTCTGCCTCGATCAAACGGTTTAATATGCGACCGACACCTACTTACCGTTTGACTGGTTTTTTTAGCCAATGCAAACAACAACTGCGACTGCGGCTCAGGCAGCAGCAGCATCAGTCGCAGGCAAATCAACTAAAACAACAACACAAACAAATAAAGTGGAGCCAACTGCCATTGCCATGACGGTCAGGTGAAGAGGGTTGAGGGGGGAGTGTTGTTCAATCAACTTTAAAAATCCATTCATGAAAATGCATGCTGCACAAAAAAATTGATTCTGTAGCCGGAAAATTGTTTCTGTTTAAAGGAAACGCCTTTTTGCCAGTTCGGTTAAGCTTTTGTTATCGTTCCCTGCCACTGTCACTGTTTTTTGTTGTTGTAGTTGCTGTTGCATGACCTAATCGCTAAAAAAAAATCATACGCATGCGAAAGGCATCGAAAGAGAGGCACAAAATGTGACTGACTGCTTGCTTGCCAGTTGGCAACCTTGGAGGCCGCGGCTTGGCCTAAACTTACCTTTTTATATATGTACATACGAGTATATAATATACATCTTTTGACTGTTATTTGACTCCCCGGATAGTTCAATATACTGAGTAAAAACGTTAACTGCCATACATGCATACATTTATATTTGTATGCTTGTTTGTCATTTTGTTTGCGCTTTTATGCTTTTGAAGTTGTTGTTGTTATTGAGCTCTTTAAGCAATTAGCGCACTTTGCTTAATTCCCGAGCTAAAACAAAAAAACATTTAAAAATTTGAAGTGCGCGATGAAGAATATTAAGCAGCGCAGCTGTTTCTCACTCTACCGGCTTTCCTCCGCTGCCCCTCGTCTGTCGTCACCCAAACAGTTGGCTCATTACTCTCAAAGGCAAAGAGTTTTTATTCATTCAAACATTTACATACATACGTATACACATGTGAGTGTGAATGTGTTTAAATTTGTGTTTCTTAGATCGTTCCATATTTCTGCCATGCGCTGAAACCGAAATAACAACAGAAAGCGTACTGCGAGATAATGAAATCATAAAGCTGCCAGGCCCCAATCTGAAATGTGACATTTCCAAAAGCATAAAATATCGACCCTCCCCGTTCGTCTCACGAAAGCAGGCGCCAAATGTGTGCCGCCCCTGTGGGCGTTACAGAAGAATAGAAACAACAATTTATCATTTTGGAGAATTGTTTACATTGTCTTCGAAATTCAAAAGCGCCAGCTTAGTATCTTCTCTGTGGCAAAACAAAATTTGAAAATGCACAGCAACTTGTTTACTCGACACAGGGAAAACTGGTCTCACAGGAAGTTACTAACATGAGCAATGTGAGCGCACCTGTTGACCAAATGGCGGTGGCATAGTAACGACCTACACCAACTTTTTTCACGATTAAAATTCACTTTCAACTAACTTGTTAGCCAAACTGCAATCGTGTTTTGTGTTTATCGTTTTGAAATTGTCGTACGTGTTTAAGCAAAATAAAAAAGCAGTAGATACATGCAGTGTGGGTAACAATCCAAACAAGTGTGCATACATTTATGTGTCCGTAAATAAGTATATGATATACATGTTTGATCCACATGTAGAATACGTCTTTCCGTATCAAGTTGTTGCACATGTTAAGTTATCTAACATTCTGATCAAAACATTAAACAAATATTTAACCAAATTATTACAAAATCGAATACTGTCTTCAGCACTGAACCAATGTTTGGTTAAAATCGAAAAGAGAACTAAACCTAAATTTTGTCTAAATGTGTGCTATCTATAATAGATAAGGTTAACGCCCTAACTTTAAAATATACGAAGGGTGAACTGGCCAGAAAGACAATATATGTATGCCATTTTATCGGGGCACAAATGACGAGACGAATCGATATCGCCCCTCCCATCTATCCGTTTGTCTTACAAGAAAAGGCCACGTGTGACTCTTATATTCTATTCCTTTTGATATCAGAGGCTAGTAGCTATTAGCATCTCTTTTTTTTTTTATTTAGTTGAACATAGTAGTAAACCATTTTTTTAACAGTTAGATTTTTGATTATTATTTCCTGAATTCAGGCTAATCTGCTAAAATAAGTATTGAAGGAGTTCATGTAGGCAGAGTAAATGCAATTAAGGGTATACAAATTTTTGTTTGAATATGTAGAACTGTGGAATTTTGATAAAATAAACTGAACGAATTGGGTTCAAGTGATTTATTTATTGGACTTCACTTCTGTTATCTTAGTTAGTTTTCATGATATGCCTATAAATATACCGAAAAATATTCTTACATACATGAGGTGCTATCTTGTGATAGCAAAATTGAACAATAATATTTTATAATTGAGTTTATTAGAGAACATCAGTGGTAACACAATTCCAATTCTGTGTGTAGCAATTCCATTTGTTAAGTAGGAATGTGAGAATCATAGTTCTTCAGAAATAACATAAAATTCGAACTGCAGATGTTTGTTTTTCTCGCCCACGCAAGACGAATAAGATTCAATCTAAATCGTAAAAGTCTCATTTGGATTGCCTTTTATTGAGTTACAGTAAAGTTTCTGGACAAAGATTCCATCATCAGTGAAAATCTCAGCCAACGAGATGCTTTTTAGTGCATTTAGTTCTGGATAAATTAGCGCAGTAAATTGCTGAGACTGCAATTGCGAAATGATGAGTGCAGTTATAGGCGAAACATTGAGGCACTTGAAATCCTAAAAGCACAACAGAAACTAATAAGTGCGGCATATGGATGCACACAGTCCCAGACCCCACGACTACCAATACATACTGTGCACCCATTCCGTTCGTCTTTCATGCTGAGTGACCATCAGCTAGTAGACACAATGAAGAGCTGTGGCGCGCCGTGCTGCCGGCAGTGTCTGACGGCGCACGCCAAGCCAAACGCGACCGAGTTTATCGAACTCATATTGAAGATTGTACGCATGGCTTCACATTCACCAATACACGGACACTAAGATACACAGATACAGAGAAACAGAACACACAAATGCAGATACTTATAGTGATTGCAGCCAACTCAACTCACAGATGCAGTTATAATAATTCGCTGACTTTTGAAGTTCTACTACTTTGCTGGGACTGGCCTTGACGCACAGCGTGCAGCTGGCCCGAATGAATGAACTATATATCCCCAATAACAATAACACGAACGAACATATGTGTATTCCATTGCTTTCAGGCTCGTCAACGTGCTTCCGTCAAATGGCTGCTCTCCAAAGCATTCAATAATCGAGTGCCGGATAATCTGAAAGAGCCCTTCTATCGAGATCATGAGAATCAGGAGCGCCTCAAGCCCCAAATTATTGTGGAGCTGGGCAATGCCACGCTGTACTGCCAAACGCTGTCAAACCTGTACTCAGATCCCAACTACCAAAGCTTAAATCACTGGTCAATATTACAGACGCTAGCGCGCAAGGGTGTGCCAGTGGCCGAGTCTTCGGACATGCCCATTACCGAAACGGTATTAATTCAAACGAACCCGTTGCGAATTGTAAGTTGCCAAATATCAGATATAATGCAAAGGCAGCCACATCTAACTGGTTTTACTTTTTCAGAACGCCCACATGTCTGTGATAGAATCCCTGATGGTTTTGTATGCGAAAGAAATATCATCAGGAGACCGTATTACAGCTGCCATACGAAGGTAAGTGAGAGATGTCTTTACTAATATGAGTGTGTTCAACAATATTGCAAATTAAGATTAACTATTTTGTATTTAAGTGAAATCTTTATAAATGTTAATGAATTTACGAGATTGTTGTTCTGAAAAAAAACCCCAAAGAAAGTATTAGTTTTGTAACGAGAAATAGGGCAAAAAGTGGAAGGAATTTCAAATAGACAGCCTTTATCGATTCCCCACAGCAATATCATGTTAGCGTATAATTTGGGCTAATTTTGAACATTGTTCACTTGATAAAATAGTCTCTTAAGGACATTCTTATAAAGAAGTAACATATTTTATAAAAAGTCCGAAAATAATTATTCCTTTGTAATTTTTCATTGAGGAATTCAATAGTTGGATTTTTTTCAAAATAAGAAAATTTTATAATATTTTATTTCATTTCATTTGCAGAATATCGGGCAGCAACTACCAGGCGCCACAGGGTCAGACTTATGAGCAAGCTCTGCTGGCGTGGATTTCGCATGCGTGTGCCTCGCTAAAGAAACGCATCATCAAAGAGGTAGAGACAGGTGTGCCGGATGAAAACGTAGGTTTTATCAAACAATATACTAGTGTGTTAAATAATAATGTACTCTTTCGATAGGGTGTACGTCTGCAAACACCGGACGTACCGCCAGTGCGAGATTTTCAGGATCTGTGCGATGGCATTTGTCTGGCATTGCTCATTTCCTACTATTGTCCCAAGGTTGTGCCGTGGACAAGCGTGCGCATAAACTATTTGCCCGCTGTAGAGGACTCCATACACAATATACTATTAGTTGGAAATTTCTCACAAAAGCATTTGCCATATGCCGTGTTCCACATGACACCCGAGGACATAACCTACATGCGCGGGTAAGTGCACCAAATTTTTGTATAACTTCAAAGATCCTGAACTAACTTAAACTCATTTTGTTCCCCGCAACAGTTCCATGAAGCTGAATTTAGTTGTACTGCTGACGGATCTATTTAATCTATTCGAGATTCATCCGGCGAAGTGTGTCTGCTATCCAGGCATGGATGCACAGGGTAAGTGGAAACTTTCAACTTCCCCTCCCTCGTCCCTACGTTGCACCACATCGCATCTGCATCCATCCTTCCTAAATACCCTCCATATTGGCGTTTGTGTGTTTCTGTCGGGGCATGTTAGCGTCGGCGTCCATTTTAACTTTTCGTTTGCTTTTATCTTTATGTTTTACTTAGTTTGTTTTGTTTCTGTATTCAATTATTTAAGAAGTTTGTAAAAAGAACTTGTATAGGCGTGTATGTGATTTGTGTTTGGATTACTATAACTGTACATAGATCGTAAGAGTTCTAATTGCAAAGTTATTGGGAATGTACATTAAGTAGAACCGGATACTGTTTTCTCAGATCATACTAATCCTCACTCAAGCTTAAACGCTTTTCAACGTCTTTTGACGGGTTTAAGTGGACCATTATCCTTCAAACGTAGAAGGAAGATAAAATGCCGATGTGCGATAAAACTAATCGTATGTTTTAGAAAAGGCAGCTCATTTGTAATTTATAAGAGATATTATGTTAACAAACCCCCATAGTGTCTTTGGAGTTCATATTAAAAGCATGACTTCGACGCATAAATATGTTTGTCTTTACTTCAAAGCTACTTGGTTCCGCTAAATAAATGTGTAATTTTCAATGAGAAATGTTCATTGTTTTAAAATTGTTGAAGAAGATTATTTTCCGGTTAAATTTTTAAATAAGTTTTCAAATTATACTACAGATTGCACTTGTTTTGGTTTATTTTTGCTTAGTCTAGTCATTCATAAATACATAGTAGCTGGGGCACAGATAAAAAGGATTTGCTTACCTAATTAGTTAACTTCACTTGAGGCGTTTCCATTTCCCTAATAACCATGTCATGAAATATATTAAATTATTAAGCATATTACTGATTAATTGGCAAGGTAACATTCACAATACCATCGTGTCAGTATCACCTGGTCCACATAGAAAGCCAAGAACCCAATTTGTTGTAGCGATAATAATTCTTAGACCATTCATGAAATACATAAATACATTTTGTAATTCTTTTTCTATGCTTGCTCGTCACTCGTGAACAAAATATTGAATACGAACCACAAACGCAAATCAAATTAATTATGAAAAATATGGTTTTTAATGTACTCTACATACACATTTAAATTCGAATACGACACCTTCCGCACAACAATGGCAACAACAACTACAACACCCATGCAAAATGCAACTTATATTTCTTGATGATACGAAACGAAACGAATCGCTCCACATAGATGTCATCGTCAAGCGCAACTTTGGCGCCAATGAGCACGGAATCTGCCACCGGCGCGGTCTCACAATGCAACCCGTTACGCCCATTCCAGATTTGCGCAGCGACTTAGACCAGCCGCCCGCCGGCTCGCCCACAAATCGGCCGCCGTTTCAAGGTTTACTTCAAATTTCTTTGAACTTCCAAGTCTGTGTTTCTGTGTACTCTGCAATTTCCATTTGTTTGTTGTCTCGTTTGTTTTGCTGCGTTTTCATGATTTATTTGTTTGTTATTTTTAATAGAGAATGTGTTGTTCGTTCCATTTTAATTGTTTGTTTGCTTGATCTGCTCACCCATTAGTTTGTTTCTTCATAAAATTTCAAAGGAAAAATAACTTTTTGTATACAGTACTATAGACTCATTTGGCGTCTAGCAGATGCTTTGGTCTTGCAATTATTAATATAATAATATTTTAAAGTGCGTATGCATTTTAATGAAAACCATTTTCATCATTTACAATACCATTCCCATGGAATACTCGTATTCCCCAATTACACATTCTTTTAGACCTGTATTCATGTATATATCTCTCTTGCATTACAATTGTTTGATGTTATTGTGACACGCATACATTCATTGTGAAATTCGCACCGCTGTTGAGTTAAAAGTCACACTCTTGTTGCACTCGCATACTCACACAACACGTTACACCTACAACTAGGGGGAATAAGTCCGAATCTGGGAGCGTAACTTGTTATCCACCTCTATGAAGTACACAAATATGTTTGTTCTGCACAATAAGAATATTTTTTGAGCGTTCTGAATGCATTATCCTATATTCTTAAAAAGATTTCAAAAGATTGTTTTTTTTTTCAAATTTTTCACATTGATTCGAAATATTGGTAGTACGATACAGTACTGCTGCTAAAGAAAAAAAAATTATAAGAATATTAAATATCAAAACAAATCCGTAATATTGATTGAAACCGAAGATGTACAAATTCCTGAAATAATATTTATACAGATCATTAGAAAAGCAATAATTAAAAACGACATTTTGTGGATAGAATCTTAAACTTAAAAACTTGTGTCTCCCTAAAACTTGTGATATAATATTGTAAATTTTGAGAATCTGCTCAGCTTCTAGCGATCTCGAAATAGCCTTACTGATATAACTCAATTCGCACTATTCGCACTGTGATTGTGATTGTTGCTTAAATTCATTTGAATATAAATTTATACACAAAAAAAATGCAATGTTTAACCAAAAACATTTTTCGTTAATTGGTAATATTTATTATTATTATTTCTTATGGTATATATATATTTTTATTTTTAGTTCCGCCCACGAATTCATTCGGCGGTGGCTTGAATCGTAGAACAACTCCACCCAACGAATATCAAACGGTTCAGTCAAATAATTTTGAGAGCAATCTCAACGAAGGTAATTTATTTCTGTTCGAATTATTTATTAATATTATTGTTGATTTTGTTCTCCTTCTCAATTGTTTTTGCCTTAAATGTGTTGTTAAGTTTAGTTTATCCTTTGATAGTTAAAATGTATGGCATTTATTTACGTGTTCTTCCGTCTTTTTTCTTTCCTCCCAACACACAATCCACCTGTTTACACACGCTTCACTATTGCCACCAACTACCACCACCACAACAACAACAACAACGACAATTGCAACAAACCGAACTCGCGCCTTTGCTCAACCGATCACCGCTCGCTCGCTCGCCTGCTCACCTGCCTATTCGCGTTGCGATGGGTGCTTGCGCCCGCCACCCATCCGCCGCCACTCCACCGCTTTAATTAGAACGTGTAGCGTTTGTTGTGCACAAATCGCGTGGCATTACCACACTCTCATCAATGCACTCACAGCAGCAGCAACAGCAGCAGCAGCTTCAACAGCAACAACAGCAGGAGCCCTTGGTTCCAGCTCGCTTGCGGCAAGCTAAAGAAAAGTCGAATGTCGAATCGAAAGCCGACGAAAGAGGTTTGCAGTTTTTGCTTTTTTCCATCTTCATATGGTATTCGATTATTATAGTTTCGTAAATGGGGGGATTTTTCTATTCAAAGAAATCATCGAGCTTATTAAAACCAAATAAACTAGTTTCTCTTCAATAATCGTTTATCAATTCTCGTGCAGCAATGATTTTTGAAACTCCAACTTAATTTCTTGATAATTTTATACTTTATAGAGATAACATGTATTTCATAGTCTCGTTAAAACGATTTTCTCTTCAAAACCCCTCTTCAATTCAGTAATTTTACTTTAAAGTTAACAAATTTTTTTTTTCAATTTTTTTTTTTTGGTCTCAAGTATTTTCTCAAAACCATAACTATAATATATTGCCTTCAGGTTCAGTAAATAGACAAACCTCAAACAATTTAACATTTCTTAATAGGTACATATACGTAAATGCTAATATTTAAAACTATAACTCTGTTTTTATTTTATTATTGTTTATTTTTATTTTTTTTATTTATATGCTTTTCTATTTTGTAACTTTTTTGTGCTTTTAAATCGAATCGAAACAGGCGATTATGTCGCTGCTGGTCGACCAAGTAACTGGGAACAAAGCCGACGACCGAGTTTTGCAGGTATGGTAAAAAAAGCGAGCCTCGCCAATGTAAATAAAACAGAAAAAAAAAAACAGTTACATAGTAGTCTCAAATCCTTTCTGTGTATCCAACGCTTCACCCTAACGTTCTTTATTCGCATTTAAGCTTGCGCTGTTGTGTTTTTGGCATTGATTTGAAACCCAAGACTTCTCCCAAACTTTGTATATACTCGTATGTTGCGTGGTTGTTGCAAGTCTAATCGTGACAATGCTCTCTGTTTGCAGGACGTCGTTCACGCCGAAATTCCTCCAGCGAAGATTCACAGCTGACTATTGAGAACTTTGGCGGTTCCCAGGATCAGTTGAATACGTTGGGTCGTTACGACCGTGAAAGGGACAGGGAAAGAGAACGAAAGCTCTCCAATACTAGCGTTGGTAAGTAAGGTGTAATTTGAATCTGCTTAAAGATTATATCTATGACATTTTTACAGAACCAGCGGTCGCTGTGCGGTCTTCCATTGCCGATGCGCGAGGCACTCTACAATTGGGCTATGACACCGACTCCGGCAGCGAGAAGCAGGATCGTGAAACCGAGAAGTATTCAATGCGCAGACAAACAAGGTTAGATTCAGCTGAATCAGAATATCCTGCAAAGTACTAACTTGAGTGCGACTTATGTGTCCTTTGCAGTGTCGATAACGTAGCCATGGCCTCGGCAAACAATCTCTCCAATGCGGGTAGTCCGTTGCCGTTGGCACGTAACAAACAACATTCCAACGATAAAGACTATAGCGCCGATAATTATGTGGATGTTCGGCCCAACGCTTATGATCCGGAAAGCACGCCTGTGCGCAAATCATCTACTAGCAGTATGCCAGCAAGTCCCGCAGCCTGGCAAATGGATCCTTATGATGAGGATATGCGCTCTTTGGAGAATGCCACGAAATTGTCAACCATTCGTATGAAGCTGGAGGAGAAGCGACGCCGCATAGAGCAGGATAAGCGCAAAATTGAAATGGCGTTGCTACGACATCAGGAGAAGGTAGCTACTATCATTGATCAACAAACAGCCGATTGGCAAAGGCGGTCATCCAGTGGCGAAAGCACATTCGTTGACTACTGTATTATAAATTTATTATTAACTTTTTATTGGCTGCACTTAGTGAGCTGAGGAATAGGTATTATAGTGAGCAAGAGCGGTCTACTTAATTATCAGAGTTTAATCTTCATAAGCAAATTACTTGTTTATTTAATCGTCACTCATAATTTAAGTGACGTTTTTAATCTCTTATGTCCGTATGTATGAACGCCGATAAAATTTCAATCGTAACAGCTAGAACAACGAAACCTGGTGTATAGACACACCATGTAAGGAAGAAATTATTGTTGCAGAGCTAACTGTTATTCATCACGATATCGTAACCAAATCTGATGCTTATAAAGTATCATATATCATGTTCTTATGAATATGCACCGATATCATACGAAAGATTCGTGCGAGAATCAGTCTTAGGACCAAAAATCTTGTTATTTCTTAGGATGCCATAACCAAATGATATGATATTAATGAATTTTAATATTTTCTGACTATATTCTAAAGTTTCATCGAAATCGGTGCACTATGTTGTATAGCTGGCATAGGACTGTGGCAAAAAGAAGGGCGGGTACAGGGTATACAACAACAACAACAAAATCATACTAGATTTTTATATAGATATGTTATAACTTTGTATCTCTAACTATTTCAGGAGGATTTGGAATCGTGTCCAGATGTCATGAAATGGGAAACTATGAGCAATGAGTCAAAACGCACGCCAGATATTGATCCAGTTGACTTGGATAAGTACCAGGTAACAGCAACTTTATTTAAAATATACATACATACACCCTTGCCCCACCACCTGCTCCAACCACAAATTTTTGTCAATGTGTCCTTTGACCCAGAATGAAATGCATAAACATATTGTGTACATGTTTTAACCTAGTCCGTCCCAATAAGGATTAATTATGAATGTCTTCTCTTCCATTATTTGTCTGTGGTTGCTTTTAATGCTTCAATCAACACAAAAACACTCATACCAATGCATACACACACACACACACACACACACACGCATACACACACTCGAATTAACAACTGTTAACACATCTTGTTGTGGATCGACTTGGGACATACAGCAAAGCATCGCCATTATGAACATGAACCTGCAGGATATCCAGCAGGATATCCACAGACTGGCCACTCAGCAGAGCCAAATGCAAGCGCAGCACCTGCAGGCTCAGCAGCTGATGCAAGCGCAGCAGATAGCCAACATGCTTACTCAGGTAAGGATCATGTCTGTGCGCGCCCACATCTGCAGCTCTAATCGATTGACCACGCCAAAAAAAAAAGAAAAAAATATTTTAACATAACTGTAACAGAAATGCTTTTCGGTTTCTTCAAAATTGTATCCCATCGTTATCCATTTTATTTGTAAGCGCTCCCAATTGCATTTGCTCGTTTGCTCGTTTGTTTTTGCCTGCCAGCTAACAATGTGTTCCCGCCTTCTAACCACCCTAACAGCAACAAACCTACGGCTCGCAACAACACCTCGCCGATCATCACTACCAACAGCGTCCAATGCAACAAAGCTTTGGCTCATCGCCACATCTTCCACAGGCCTACAATGCGCCCGTCAGCGCCTACAGCTCCCGTCCCCCTAGTCGTGATCCCTACCAGCAGCAAATGCAGGCCATGCCTCCGATGCAATACGTCAACGAGCATGGACAGTATATGTCGCCGCCACAGCAGCAGCCGCCGCCCTCCCACTACATGCAACCACAGAGCATATATAGTGACAATGGTGCGCCCTACAATAATCATGGCTATGGTGGCAGTGGTGGCCCCAGTCCCTATGCACCACCCCCGCAGTATCGCACCAGCGTCTACGACGACTATGGTCAGCCAGCGAATCACTTCTACTTGCACGAGTCCCCGCCGCAGCCTCAGCCACATCCGCAACGACGCACTTGGGCGCATTCGGCGGCAGCTGCGGCGTACGAGCAACAGCAGCAGCAATCGCACCAACAACCGCTCGTCGATGTGAACGCATGGCAGACGCAGAAGAAGATCCAACAACAGCAGCAGCAACAGCCCTGGGGTAGCAGCAATCGGCCGCCTTCCAGTGTGGGCATGCCACAGGGCTTTGTGTTGCATCAGAACGGCGGCGGAGGCGGAGAGTTGCAGCATCTTTTCCAGGTGCAGTCGTCCCCCCAGCATGGACAGCGCATGTCGGGCAGTGGCAACATGGGCGCCAATGGCGTGCAACGACAGCAGTCGCTCACTAACCTGCGTGATAATCGGTCGCCCAATGCGCATGCTAAGAGTAGCATGGCACCACAGCAAATGGCGCAGCCTGAGGATATGATGGCGCCGCAAAGCATTTGCTTCATTGGCGATGAGGAGGATGTGGAAGAGCTTGAGCGCAACATAATCGAGTCCATGCAGTCAACCCGCATCTCTGACTTTGTGGTGCAGCAGCAGCAGCAACATCACCATCGCCTCCAGCAGCAGCAACAACATCAGCAGCATCAGACAGGACACAGCGGTCGTGGCAGCAGCTCCGAGGACTACGATAGCAACGAAATTATTTCCAATAAGTTAAACATCACTAGCGGAAATCTTACCTACCGAATACCGTCGCCTTCACGACCCTCAATACAGGCGAACAGCTTCCAGGATCCGCGCGGCGGTGCAACAGAACAGCGGCCCGAGAAAGGCTTCTATATATCCTTCGACGATGATCAGCCAAAGCGACCCAAACCTCCGCTGCGCGCAAAGCGCTCTCCCAAAAAGGAGCAGAGCAGGGATAGTGTGGACAACATGGGTGTCGCCAAACGTGAATCGCTAAGTCAACTGCACAACAACAATGCCACAGCCGATGAGAGCAAAACTCTAGCCAGAAACAATACCATCCACAGTGTCAACTCCAACAGTGTCAAATCGAACTCTGGCCTCGAGGGCAGCAGCAATGCTACGTACAATAAGTACACCGACGAACCACCCATACAACTGCGTCATCTGGCAGTATCTGCTACAGATCCGCTTCATGTGGGTGGCTTGGAGCGTCGGCATTTGGAAGACCTCACCAACCAACCGCAACAGTCCCTACAACAACAGCCTCTCTCGCCAACGCGCCTCCAACAGAGCAGCAACAATGCCGAGGCGGCAAAGAACAAGGCCCTACTCATTGGCGCTGACGCCGCAAGCCTTGATCCGGTAAGAATATTATTAATAATATCCTGCGTAGCTTTATTAATGTTACATCTCCTTTCAGGACTCGGTGGACGAGATGGAACGTCGCAAGGAAAAGATAATGCTACTCTCGCTACAGCGACGCCAGCAACAAGAAGAGGCGAAAGCCCGCAAAGAGATTGAAGCGTCACAAAAACGCGAAAAAGAGCGCGAAAAGGAGGAGGAGCGAGCGCGCAAAAAGGAGGAACAAATGGCTCGACGAGCGGCCATATTAGAACAACATAGGTTAAAGAAAGCCATCGAAGAGGCCGAGCGAGAAGTGAGTCTGCAATTCGAAGTCAAATCCGTTACTAAAGCTATTCTTTTCACATTTTTCTTCTATAGGGCAAGACCCTGGATCGTGCCGATATGCATGTGAAGCTGCAGCCGCAATCGACGTCGTCTACACCGCGTCTTAGACAACAGCGTGTAACGCGACCGCGGCCCAAGACCATACACGTCGACGATGCCAGTGTGGACATAAGCGAGGCTTCCAGCATCTCTAGTCGGGGCAAGAAAGGCTCTAGTTCCAATCTTACCGGTGAGCAATGGCTTCAACATTGCGTGAACTATTCAAATATATTTATCTAGGGTGGAACTGACTTGGCAAACTTTGGTCCAAATTAAATTTGTATTCTCCGTTTTAAAGCTATGGTCCGACAGGCAAATAATTTAGACGCAAATGTGGACAACTTTAAAGGAAGTTTAATAGTTCCATTCTGAACAGATGTAATTAAATTTTAAATCGAACAAATAGCCCGCCAGATTATTTGCCTATCTGACCATGACATAAGTCTGTCCGAGTATTGCATTTATTTTATTTCCAAAAAGATTTATTTGACCAAAGATTATGCCCCGACCAATTTTTTAATCTATTTGGGACTGCCGTCCTTTATATTTGTTTAATTGATTTTATAAATTGTTTTATTTTGTGCTGTTTATTTAACATTTTTGCTTTATGCTAATTCGTTCAATTTATGTTTTTGTTTTAAAATTGGTTGTCCCTTTAATGTGCAGGCTACGGTCAACTAAGCTCAAATTCTATGAAAAGAGATTATTACAGGGGCTCGCAAGACTCCCTCACAGTTAAAGGTAAATTGTTCTATATATTATCTTTGTTTGTTTCGATTTCCTTTGGTTAAGATACATTAAGCATGTGTATTTATTATTTAGACTTTTGTACTTATCCCCCTTTTCTTTCTTTCTAAATATTTTTGCAAAGAACTATAAGATAACATTTTAGTTTGGGTTTCAGTTTGGCATTAGTTTAAGAGTAATCTATTATGTAATATATATTTATATGTATCGAACTCTATCTCATAAGATGTAACCACTAATATCTCATTTAACAGAGTCCCCCGATGACTATCCTAGTACAAGTTCAACTCCGATTGGACGACGGGGTTCTTACAAAACATCCCGAGGTTGGTGATGGGTAACATGTAGTTTGATTCTTTAGTTGCAAAACCCACATAACAATTTGATTGCTCGTCGCGCCTTTGTTGAGTTTTGGTCTGAAATCTTATCTATCTAACCTTTTTGTTTCAATTCTAATAACACAATATTAAGCTAAAGTCCAAATCTATTAACTTTGTAAAGTATGTGCTGCGGCTTTTCCCACAAAGACTAGCTAGCTTCAAAAAATAATAATAAAAAAGGTTATAGTATCTGACACCATATTTTTAAGACTAATAAATATATGCACCTGAATGCACGAAGAAGCTAAGAAGTCAGGAATCTCTTAGAATTCGCTGAGGCGTGTCTCGGTTTGGGGGAATTTGTTTTTAATCGTGGTTTTGGTTGCGAATTTATTAAAGGTGCTTCTTTTTTACATTAATTGGTGGGAATTTTAACATTGAGTGATGGACACAAAAATATATAAGCTTTATTTACAAAACATTTTTATTTTATTAGAAAAGAAATTAATTATGAAAAACTATTGAATTCGTATTTGCATTCGGCTCGCGTGTGCGTTTGTGCCAACTTTTTGCAGAGCCAACCGTCGAACGGGGTCGAACTCTATCGCGTATATCCGTCGCTAAGGGAAGCACTCTTAATTTCCGTGGCCGAAAATCGAATTCGCTAATGAATTTGTGCGGTAAGAAGCGTTCCACAGCTATAAACTACAGCTGCTTGCCTTTTTTATTACTCTATTCAATTTTCCCCGTACTGTCCTCTTACCCATATATGTTTACTTTTATTTTAATTGCCATTGTTTTTTCTGCCGTAATTGTTAAATTACTTGCATTCATTAAATGGTAAATAGTGGTATAGAGTATTTGATTAATTGTCGCTCAATTTGGTGGCGGTTCTTCATTTTGTTTTCATTCATGCATACATAAATAAGTATTATTATTTTGTTTGATTTTGCATCAGGTTTGTGAGAATCGATCAGAATTCATAGCCTTTTGTTTTCATTTATACATAAATTTTCCTTGTTTCTTTTATTGCTTTCTAAATAATTCGAAACCCAAAAATTTGTTGAAAAAGCGGTGGTGGTTGCTCTAGCCTTTTTAGGGTTCTATTTGCGGAAAGATTTCTCTCCTCTTGGCATAGTCTTTTCCACTCCGAATTCGTGTTACAGTCCGGTGTTATGGGTTAACTATGCGGTGATCAGTTTATACATTAAGCTCCCACACACACGCACACAAACATGCCTGCACCCCACACAGCCACCTATCCATACATAAAAAAAACACACATTCACCACCAATTACGTTTTAAGTGACTAAAAAAACAAAAAACTACGGAATTGCTTTACTAAATTTGTGCACACATTCTCTTCTTTTATTTCTCGTTCTGAAAAATCAACAAACAATTTTTCAAACTGTGTAAAAAAACAAATTCCTTAAATTAACAAAAACCGCAAAAACTATTAACAATATCAAAAAAAAAAAAAACAAAAAAATAAATGATCTGCCATGCCTTTGGCACATCTCACATCACCGCCCGCCCTCATCGACATAATTGTGATGACTAACAAAAATCACATCCATCGAATATCTTAACTGCATGGACCCTGCAATGGCTTCACTAAACTGTTCCGATTGCGTTGCCTGTGGTTGGCTGGCTGTGGTTTTTGATCTTGGGGTGTACTGCATGCGTGACTGATGATTAAACGCTCCCTCTTGCTTGCCGGCCAGACACAGATTCGGGATTGGGACGGGCAACACCGCCGCGTCGCGCACCGTCACCAGGAATGGCGGCATCAGGTAGGCATATGCCATCTCCCTCTGGACCAGGTTCTTTACCTCCAGGTTTGATATCGAAACGTCGCGGATTTGATGATGGATCAAGCGATATCTCATTAACTCCGAATTCAATCATGGAATATTCGGGTTTGTATTGGTCGTCTCAAAACTTTCAGTCAATCAATCAACCAATCAATCGAACAATCATTCCATAGCCACATACTCGTATATTACATAATCCACTGGTCATCACTTGCATCTCTTAGAACGTCTCATTTCAATTAGATTTTTAGTTGACCATTTTTTATGCATTCAATTACTACATAACTCACTTCATTTGTGATTTGTTTATCATCCGAATTGGCATTTTATATAATTCTGACAATGAACCATCCGATGAATCGAAATATTATACATACACGTATAAGGCAGCGACAGTTTGTGTGCGCGTTTTAATAGACCCTCGTACCCTTTGTTACTTCGTCAAATCCACGACTTTCGATGGTCAAACCACATGTGTACGATATTAACAAAATATTCAAAACATAAAAAACAGAGTATTAATCCAATTGGCCCCACTTACCGCCTAATACACGCAGAACTTGATCTGAGACATTCAAAATCGTCTGTAAAATTGTCAGCAATTTTTTTAATAATTTATAAAAACTAATTTTTTAATATTTTATTTATGCATTTTCCTAAATTCAGTTTGTTGTTGGAATGCCTTGCATATATTTAGTGTTGAATTTGCTTACCTTTTATAAAGTATCCATACAAAAAATGCACGCATATTTTATTAGTAGATCTATAAACTGCAAGTTGGAAATCATTAAAATGTGAAACATTTCGATTTCAAACATAATCATAAGTCACGCATTTGTTCCCATAATGGGTACTCGCATAATCGAGTTTTCCACAAATAAAATAATGACGATTTTTAAAAGGACTTGAACTGAACTAACATTATAATTCCTTATAGTAAACACACATATCGTCAAGATTTCGAAATAAATACTATTCAGCAATACACTTGCTACAAATAAATAATTCGCAATAAATATAATTCGCAATCGTGTCCTGCAATATAATTTCGCTTGCCATTAACACTTACAGTTAAAGTAGAATTTGAACAACATACTCGTATATCCATGCCTAAGAAATGGATGTTTCAATATATTTTTGGATTTAATCGATAGGTCCGAAACTCTATAAACAACCAGCGGCCAAATCGAATCGCGGCATTATACTAAATGCCGTCGAATATTGCGTTTTTCCGGGCGCCGTGAATCGAGAGGCCAAACAAAAAGTACTTGAAAAGATCGCACGCTCGGAGGCCAAACACTTCCTAGTACTCTTCCGTGATGCGGGCTGCCAATTTCGTGCTCTATATAGTTATGTGCCAGAGATGGATCAAGTGACCAAGCTGTATGGCACGGGACCTAGTCAAGTCGACGAAGTCATGTTTGATAAGTTTTTCAAGTGAGTATCAGGATATAATCATTTTCACACTTATCTGACAAATCGCCATCAAATTTCAGGTATAACTCAGGTGGAAAATGTTTCTCACAAGTGCACACAAAGCATCTGACCGTCACCATAGACGCCTTCACAATACACAACTCGCTGTGGCAAGGCAAAAGGGTGCAATTGCCAAGCAAAAAGGATATGGCGCTTGTGATCTAAGCCCGTGAAGGAAGCCAGAATGATAAAGAAAGGCGCTTGGCGCCCTTTGACGATACAGTTAAGGCAACAAGTAAATTCGGAGAGCTTCTGCGTAGAAAAGTGTTTACGTCATTTCGTCAATGTACCAATATTATCGTGTCTACGCATCTGGTAGTGGTGGTGGTGTGAGCGGGAATTGGAGAGTATTACCATTTTGGACAAGTTTGGAGAATTAGAAATCGGAACTTAAACTATTGTAGCGAGAGATACAATGCGATTGATGAAAGATATTGTTTCATTTCAATATACGAGTATATATATACATATATATCTACATATATATCCAACATTCAAATCTATTCTTCAAAGAAGCCTGAAAATAATGATAATGATGAAATAACAAATTAAGTAACTATTGAAAAGAAAAGCGTTCAGTATAATAGCAAGAAGAATGAAAGAATATTTGAATTTATGCGAAACTTACAAATGGGTACATCAGCAACAACAACAACAACAACAAAATGTAGAAAATCTTTTTATTAATTTGTTTTAAATTGTTATCAAGTTTTTGCGCGAATTGATTTGCTTTGGCTACAACATCAAGAGCTGGTACTGTAGTCAGGGAATTGCGAATTGCGCAAGTCGACACTAATTTTAATGCCACTAGCTATTTATTTTAACACTAATTAATAGTTACTTTATATGAGTATTTAAAATTGAAATAATACAACTAATATTTAAAAAATACCTACAAAACAAAATGAAAAAGACTTTTAACTGGCTGAAAACTAAGCTGTCTTTGTTGTATAAAATTAATGGAAATTAATTATGTTTCGTACAAAGTCTTGAAATGCTTGAAACACGCAGTCAGACTCTAAAAATTGCAAACTGTATTACGCATTATTTCAAAATCTGTTAAGTTACATCGCTATAATTTTATAATCGGCATTTCTTCTTAGATGCGTGCAGCCTATAAAGGTATAAACTGTGATGTCCTTTTTAATACAATAAACTGGACATCAAGGCAATGAATTTTTTACTTGTGTAACTGCCATCAAGATAACATTGTATTTTAATTTCTAAATATTTTTGAAGCTGTGCAAATCTTTTAGAACGCTCAACCACTCAACCCTTTGGTCCCCAATTACTTACTCGCATTCTGTTTTTGTAATTAAATTAAAGCCTTTTTATACTTTTACTCGTACTTTAATTCTCTGATTAATACTACTGGCGACATTTTGTTTATCATATTAATTTTGGGCCGCCTAATTTACACTGCAGAATTGACACGCTAATAGGGCACAGCTATCTATGGGTACCGCCACTATGGCGACATTGCGTGAGCAAGGTACACATAATATAGTATAAAATATAATATAAAAGGAATATGCATAAATTGGAGAACAAATTTATATATAAATATAATTGTATGTACATTTTGGAGCATGATTGCGCCCTTGGCGCAATATGGTCCATAATAAAAATTAATATTAATAAGATCTAAACATTATTATATGAAATGTAATAAAGTTATTAAAACTGACTATTTAACAAAATGAATATCAGCATGTTGTCTCTATACTGTCCGTTTTAATGATTTTGTATGAAAATATAGAATAATTATGGGGCTCTTATTATTAATTAGGGTGAAAAGAAGCAGCGATACTCAGGATGAAAAAGATATTAAAGATTGAAATGTTTGAGGGCTATATTTTTTAGTTTTATCGCAGAAATAAACTCTCTTTGTGGGCCTATGGAGGTTTCATTTAAGTGCTTCGTATGAAAGCCGCGGAAGAGAGATATATTTTTAATAAAGTCGTAAGAATTAGTAAAAATTTAAATATTAAAATTAAAGTATCATCGAATGATGCGTTCTCAAAATTTGAACTCGGTGATTTAAAACTCTGAAGACACATTCACATTTTTCTCTATACTATAGTATAGATTGATTACTGAATTTCGTTTATAAAATGTTACTGATAAAAAAATTTTTTCTCTTCACTTTTTGGGATTAAATGCCTCTACGCTCAAAATAAAATTTGACGATGAAAAGTATTGTCAAATTAATGTAATTTTTTTATTTCCTTGTAATTAAAACTAAGTGCAATTGTAAAACTAAAAGGCCGCTACATTTGAAAATCATCCCGTAGGTCGTTGTAACGTAGCACATGTTCCTTAATTTTGGAGCTATCGACCCATGTAACAAAATCTTCGAGGGTGTTGGAGACGAGAAAAGCTGGATCTTTAACAACTTCTGGTCCCACCCGAACATGACCGTGTTCTACTAGCTGAGTGGCGGTCTTAAGGTTCTCTGCCATTTTAACTGGAAGCATACAGTGCTGTAAGTGGCCGAAATAGGAACAATTTAAAGGACTTACTCTTGACCATTACGACGGGCAAACGGCGTCGACAAAAGTGGCTAGCCGATATCTTGCTCGCGTGTTCCAAGGACACATCGTTATTAGCAACACCCATGGCATAGAGTTTGTTTAGCAACATGGTTGATGCTTCGGCCTTAAAAGGATCTGCTGCGTCTAACTTTGCTATTTTCTCCACTAGATCGCGTACTTCCCGAGAGAGTTTGTTGTATCTGTGGAGGATGCAAAAACATTAGGTCAGGCGACTTCGGGGGCAGTGCTAGAAATCTTACTTTGTGTAGTCCTCTCGCTTTTGAATGTGAAAGCGTCGCAATACCTTGTTCTCCTTCGCACTATTGTCAATTTTCCATGTAATAAAGTCGACTTTTTTGAGCAGTTTCTGCTCATGATATTTTAGTTTGCGCACCATATTTTCTGTTTAACTGCCGCACATGTGTTGTGACAGTGTTGCGAAAGGGCGAAAAGTATTTTCCGGCACAGCACCGATGACGGCTTCTTTAAGTTGGAAATAGTCCGATTGCAATATAATTATTTTTATTGTTTCTACGTACTCTACATATTTCTTATTACAATTATTAGAAGTTCCATGCAATAAAATTAAATTCGATTTCTGCTAACGTAAACACCCCCTTCTATATTCCACCGTTCCAAAAGTGATGTTAAACGCCGCCGCTATTTTGATGTATTGGGTTTTTGTAAACAATATTAAGCGCAAACAAATGATTTCGTTGTTCTAATTGAGAAATAATAATAAATGCAGTATCGATCAGAATGTCAACTACAATGGATGAAGAATCAACGGCAAAGCCCGCCGGTGAGGAGGACCCCCTGGCGGAAGAGCGACTTGGCTACGTTCGTGAAGTAGGCGCACAGGCGGTTTGGAGCTTGTCCTCCTGTAAGCCAGGTTTGTAATTACATTTTATTACTAAATGAGTGTTTATAAGTTCACTCCGGCTGTTAATCGTGCTAGGTTTTGGCGTTGAACGCCTGCGGGACAATATAATGGATACATACTGGCAGTCGGATGGACAATTGCCACACTTGGTCAATATTCAGTTCCACAAGCGCACAAATATAAGTCAGATCTATATATACACCGACTATAAACTAGACGAAAGTTACACGCCCTCGCGCATATCCATAAGATCCGGCACAAATTTCAATGATCTGCAGGAGTTGCAGGTAATCGATTTGTCGGAGCCGACCGGCTGGGTGCAGATTCCCATCAAGGACGGCAACGTAAAGTCGATACGTACCTTCATGTTGCAGATCGCAGTTATATCGAATCATCAGAATGGTCGGGACACACATATGAGACAAATACGTATTCATGCGCCCGTTGAAGGCAAGCATTACCCGCTGGAGCTATTCGGCAAATTCGGGACGGTAGACTTTCAGAAATTTGCAACTATACGATAGATAAAAGAAGAATAAGGAACACTCAAATAATGATGTATGTATTTTTAATTATTTTATTTGGTAAAAAATACAACGGTTGAACGTTTATTTATTTAATCGCAAAACTACTTTAGTAATTTTATGCGTATTTTTGGTGTTTCGAATTATGTAAATGCCCGTTACTGTATATACTCGGCTATATACTAAACAGTCCCTAAACTAAGTACAAATTAACAAAATTAATTGCAGTGTTAAAAAAGTAATGAACGGTTTTGCGATGTAAATGCCAACAAAAAATTTACAAACTTGAGTTTGTGCGAGGCTTATTGCACTTTTGGGCCTGATGAGTTTCTCTGGAAGAATGCCCGGTGGTGTAAAGACAAGCTGTCTTGATACATGATTGTCGAATATGATTGTGTGATTTATTTTTTAGCTGCCTTTAACGTCTTGTAATGGTCTTTTTCCTCTGCACCATCCGGTGTCTCATATTCGTACGAGGCTTTCATTAGCGAATCATCAGAAAGCGTTTCAGCGTTTTGCAAATAGTTCACAACCTTTTGCAATTGATCGTAGGGACAGTCAACTCGTTGCCATTTGTAAAAACTTTGCAATTCAGTGCCGAAGCGTATGAACTTCTCAAAATTGATGTTTCCCCCGGCTAAGCTAAAAATGTAGAATGTATTTATATTAGCAATAATAACGAGGGCTGCTTCTTTACTTACTGTGTTGTATATTTTTCATTTATGGAACAGAAATCCTTAAGGAACAGCAAGAAATATGGTATAATAGCACGTTCAATTTTATTGGCCGATTCCCTTTCGGAGCGCCAGACGGCTGCCTTCATAGTAGAGCGATAATTTGCAAAATTCGAAGTGGGATCCATTTGATGTTCCAAGCCCACAAATTTTGTTTTCTGCACCTTGGACCACTAGGAAAAGTTAAACAATAATGTGAGGAAGGCTACAAATAAACACATCTTAATTGATTTGCTTACGGTTTTCTTAAGGCGCTTTATGCTTTTCATATTTAGGGCCCCTATAATGGCCATTAAACTGTTGAAATTTCCCGTATTAAAGCACTCCAAAGCCGTCTCAATCCAATAGTCAATCATCTGCACACGCTGAGATTTTTTGCTTTGCTATTGTGCGGAAACAAGTAAAGTTTAAGCAGTGTAATAAAAGTATAGTTTAACTTACCTTCAAAATCTCTGTGACAACCAGATGCTTGATGCGATTAAACCATTTCACATAGGCTGCTATACTGACCACCCCCTGCTTAAATCTGGGAGTATCTCCGTCTGTTTCAGAAATGCAACGCTTCAGCTCATCCGAAACTAGCATTTCTAGAAATTCCTCTAGTCGCATGTGCGACAAATAGGCATGCTCAATGGCATATAGTTGATGCGCAAGTTCGAAAGCGGAACTGCATATATTAAACACATTATCGGACTTGTATACGTTCGTGGCGAAACGCTTAAGGGACTTAAAGCTGCTTTGCCTGCCTAGAGAACCTGACGAAGACTGTTTAGCCACTAAATACTGCAGTTTATTCTTTCGCTTGGCATCGATCTGCCCCAGAGAGTCGGGAATGGTCTCGAAGAAGGCGATCAGGTTGCTTCTATGTCTATAGTTTCCAGTTGTTAACTCGCGTAATACTTGCAGCAAGGCTTCATCCCCAAAATCAGCAGGACATATATGTAGCCAATAGGTAAGCAGGTGCACCAGCAAGTCCTTTTCTTCAGCACCTTGCATCTGGATTTTCTGAGCAACCTTTGCAAGTAGTTCGTGTGGTTGAAGAACTAAACGTGCGCATAGCAAAAGCGTAAAGTGGAATTCTTCATCCGTGGAAGTGGTTAATAGTTTAATTAGGGCATCAAGTGTGCAAGGTTGTGGTATGTCTTTGGCGTAGTTTGGCTGTGTTTGGCATTCATTCGCTTCATCTCGTTCCTCAGTTATTTTTAAATTGGGATTCTAAAGAAACGTGGTTTAGACAAAATAAATAAGGGCCAAGAATTCGCAAACTCACTCGTACTGAGGTTGAAACCGTGTCTGCTTCATCGGCCGAACTAGGAATGTCGCAGTACATCGAATCTGTCTGAGTATCCCCGGCGACGTGGGACCAAGGAGCGGTGAGCGATACGCTGTGAAAAAGGCCATCATGTCCGGAGTCACAACTGCTGATATTCGAGCTTTTATCCCCAATGGTTGTGGAAGAACCAATAACTTGATCAGAGTCAGTTATAAGCGAATTTGAGGACATCATTGACGCATTCGAGAATGTTTGGTTAAGCAGGCGATCGGGAAGGTTGGATGCGCTACTGTCTGGGCCCGAAGCTTGCGATGCAAATGTAGAATTCGAATTGGATCGATATTTGAGCGCTTTTTCTGAATTAAGACGCGCGATTGCTGGTTGCTGTTTAAGAGGATTCCAAATTTCCTTCTGTTGGGACTGATGGTTGAAGTGCTCCTTCGTTTCGATGGTGCGTTCATCCAACACCTGCCCATTGCGAGAGACCAGCACCTCCTCGGTCGTGGTTAGGGAAGATTTGACTGTCAACGATGTCTCGACCTCGATGGGCTTTTGCGCTAGACCTGCGCGAAATAATAGCTGATTCAAGTGTTCTACTGCCGGCATTTGCCCATCGAGCAGCGCACTCTTAATGGCCCTTGCGTCGTCCGCTGGCAGGCCATCCAACTTGACTGGCACACCGTTTATTAGCAGAACCTCTTCCTGCTGCACCGACGATGAAGTTTCGCAGTCCACAATTTTGACATCCTTTCCGAAGAGAGATTCTACAGCATTCATAATGTCTTCGTCCATTGCAAATTAATTGGTTAGTTGGAGAGGATGTGTGTATTAGGTTGTTGGTTTCGAGTTGGTAAAATGCGTATGACCCTGAAGGCTCTTTGGATTAATATCAATGCATTAGCAAACACATTTCTGTAAGAGGGAAGGTGTTCGGGTTAGGATAGACATTGATATGTAAGCATGTTCGGTATGTATGTATGTACATATGTATATATCATTGCAATTTTGATGATGCATTTGCAATTGCAATTTGGGAAACACAGGAATAAGTTTCGTTGCAAACTCGATAAGTTTGCTCACCAAACCGATAACAGAAGAGAAAAATTAAGCCACACCTGCAGCAAAATAGTTGCCAGTTTGCGATTCGCTTGCCGCTTTACTCGTATTTCTCATGGCACATGCATTTTGTCTAGTACATCAATTATTTTCTTTAGTTGCGTACTTTTTATATTTTTTAAACTAGCAGTAGTTATTTTATTATTGTTTTCACTGGCACCACAAACATCTTCTTCTGTGCCCTGCTATTCACTGCAATACAACAGTGCTGTGTAATTTTATTTAAATTCGTGTTGATACGGTTGCTGTCTATGGTAACCAGGGCTGCAAACATATATGTATATGTTGATTTAAAATGGCGAAACGCACAACAAAACTTGTAACGGCTGTTTTTTCCCATGAGTACGAAATTGATTAATTTTCAATATAATACGTGACGGGGTATATAGAGAGGAAATTGATATTTATTTTTAGCCGACGATAGCCATCCATCGGAACTATAATTACAAAGGTCCGTTTTAATGGTATTAACTCATGGTCCCAAGGACGTACGCAGCTTCTTCCAAAAGGGGGAGGCCAAAAAATTAGAAATTTGATTCAATAATGCACGGTGCGAAAAAATAATAACTTATGCATATCGGTCAACAGAAAAACTTCAACAAATCCAACTCAGTTCCATTTTAAAGCGATATAGTGCGCCATAATAATGAATGTGTGATCGACTTCAGATTGTGAAGTTTTTTCTAAAGATTTGGGGGCCGGGATCAATATCCCCCTCTTCCCTCTGCATACGCCCTTGGTCCGCCCCAGAAACGTAGTTTGTTTTATTTGTTGTTTCCATTTTAAGTGGAAAACTATCAATTTCTACAAACGAATCGGAACAAATTTGGCTTTGCTCTATTTATGAATACATAATAGATGTATAACATCGAATTAAAATAAATCAATATATTATATCAATATTATTGACAATGTATTTGTCCAATAGATAAAAAATAAGCTTATACTATGGGATAACTACATTCGGTTGCAATGCCGCAGAAATTCTTGCCGCGGGGCAGTCGGAAGTAGCCCTCTTCGCCCCAAGCAGTGCCCCACGAATTCTTGACAATCCAATAGTCCTGTCCCTTTTCGGTACCGTAGCCAACAACAAGGATGGAATGGTTAACTTCGCCTTTGTTGCACTCTTCGTCGGCATAAATGCCGCTTTTATACAGAGTTAAGCTTTCAAGTCCGTACACTGAGCACGCCAGGGGACCCAAGGTAGCAATCGCCTCCTTCATTGCCTGTTCGTCTTTAGGAGGAATGACGGCAAAGCCAGTTATCTCGGCGCCCGAGAGTTCGCTCTGGTATTTGCAGGTATCCCTTTTGTCCAGATACGGATACTTTTCGCCAACTGCAAGTCCTTGCTGCAATTTGTTTTTCAAAAATATTTAGTTATAATACAAGTGCTGAGGCCCAAAACGTACCTGGTTTGTAACAAACTCGAAAGCGTACTCTTGATATCCGCCATCGCATCCGGCAAGACCAATATCTTCCTTGCCGCAATCAATCAAATTCTGCTCCGAAAGGTTTGGCAGCTGGCCGGACTTACGGAAAACATGCCCTTCGATGGCGCCAGTTGTAGCGAATGACCAGCAAGATCCGCATTCTCCTTGGAATTTGACGGGCGTGACGCCGCCTTTCTGTCGCCAATCAAAGGAGTCGGGCACTGGTACATTCTTCTTCTTGGCCAATTGGCGATGGCGTTTGGACTTCTCCCTAAGAGTAGCATATAAATATACAAAAAATATTGCAACTAAACAACGAAGTGCTTACTCGCCAGCCGACGATTTCCTATTTCCAGTAAGTTGCTTGAGGAACTCAGCATTTGTCAAATCTGCAAAGACATTAACGGCCAACTCGTAGGTTTTTGTTCCTCTCCTGAAAGCCTCGTTACTAGCATCAACCAAATTCTTGTGCGCACTGAAAACACCCTCTCGAAGAGTCTGCTCGGCAGCTGTGGCGTACGTTTTACCAGTTTGCGCCTGTACAATATTATTTAGATATTAACCAATGTCTGAATGAAAGTACTGCCGGCAGTTAACTTACCACAAAGTCACCAAAGTTTTGGACGTTTGTAAGGAGAGGAGGCGAGGGCAAGCGGCCAGCAATATTACTTAGCCCTTGTTGAAGTCTGTTGGCAACATTTGCTCCGGGCACTCGATTGCCAAGGTTTCCAAATCCGCCAAAGCCTCCAAACTGGGCTGACGTCAGTCCCATTAAAAGGGGAAGCAGCAATAAAACTTTCATGTTGATCTGAAGGATGAACAAAATATATAAATAATCCAACTGCTATAACATTTTCCCCGGAAGAAACTGTGAAGTGTAACCAAACCTATTTGGTAAAATACGGTCACTCTATTTGTAATGAAGAAATCTAAATTATTATCTTGTTTTTTTTTACGATTTGCTTGTAGACAACAATTTAGCAACTCTATTATTCTTGTGATTTTCTTTATTATTTGTTCAATGATTTAGATTTGTAGCGGATTCACCATTTATATGCCATTATTTGTTAATTGAATAAATAAATAAATAAATATGGCATCTGAGTGAAATTTTATAAACTCATACTTTTCTAAGTAGACTTTTCATTCTTTATTAACATTTCTTTACATGACAAATTACTTTTCTTTGAACTCCACACGATGAAGCCATTTAGTTACTATTGATGTGACAATAATTGGATTGAAAAAAAGTCGGGCGAGTCTGACAAATAATTTATATCACAAAAAGTGACCACTTCTATACAATGTTGGAAATAGTTTATATATGGATGTTTGGTTGGATTTTAAAGATATGCGGGCTCATACTGACGGACATGTGTCTACATTTGATTTTTTTATTCAGACAATAAAGTATAGCCTTCATGCTTTAATTATTATAAGTACTTAAATGTGATTCTTCCAAGAAAATTCGTGCTTTTGAGCGTCGGGTATAGTTGTAATTAGACATTGTTGGCATTTATACTACATAGTTAAACCAGACTGAGTTAAACACAATGGGTTACAGGTTGGTTATTGTGCCCGATTTAAATCATTTTAATCATCTTTGACTTTTTTTGTGTTTCTGAGCCGAACCATTAATTTGCAAAAAGAAAAATCGGAAAATTATTCAAGTAGAAGCCTTTGTTTTAGTTTAGCATTTTTATGTGTTTTTTGAATGAAATATCTTTAACTTGTATGCACAATATTTTCCTATTCACTATTTGGTGTATTTTTTCGCACTGACTCTCGGCGGCATCTATTCCAAATTGAACATTTGATATTATCACTGCTCATTAAATGCATAGTAGCATATGAAAATACATATTCATATAAGACGACGCTTTGTATTGTATGTTTGTGAATCTGGAAAGCCCGAGAGGCGGCTCGGCACCGAGTTAAAAAAGTTCAAGGCGATTAAATGCAAAATATGACGCAATTATTATCAGCAAATCAAAGTGCAACACAAATGGCAAACAGATTAAACAAAAACTGGTTGAGTATGCAGGTATTATTGCATAACTTTCTTTTTTCAAACACGCACTTCTCACACTTCTCTTGATTTAGAAACACTCTCTCACTGCACTAAGTTGGCCAGAATATTATTAATTAAAACCGAATCCACTTAATGCCAAGTAAGTAGTTGGCAAGACTAACCTTCCTCCGGCACTCCAGCAACATCAGTGTTTTTAGCAAACGGCAGTAGCTCAGCTTTTATACCAAATCGGGTCTCAAGTTTGTGTTATCATGCAAATTTAATTAGAAATGTGAAAAATAAAATAATAAACTTGTCTACTTGTTCGGATGAAGCCGGTTGATGCATCAAATCGAAATATAAATCACAAGCCTAGTGATTAACTTTAATATTGAAATGAGTTGATTATAAATTTCAGTTCTGTTATAAAAACAAAGGCCTGCGACTGGTTTGGTGGTTTTAAAAATTAATTAGCGCGCTGTACACACATACGGGTATACAAACGTTCTACAAATTAAAAGAAAAAAACAACAAAGATGTTTGAATATACATATGTATTAATGTTTATCTGTATCTTTTCTTGACTTTATCGGAACTCGTTCTACGAACGACTTTTATTTAAGTGTAGCGTTACAGTTTCAGATTATACTTCTTGGTTAATTGGCAAGGGGATTCCTGATTAGTTATCTGTGGCGCTATTAAACCTGAAACGTGTTTTAATAAATATGCTAACATGTTTGCGGACAGATATGCTTATATCTTAATTATGTCAAAGAAAATTAATACGTTTGATGAAATCATACACTTGATGTTGACTATTCAGTTTGTTATGCTCGTGTACCCCTCACAAATAGGGTACTATCGCATTTCAGTGAACTTGATCTTTGTATATTTCCCTGTTAATAAATTGCACAACTAATTTGTTTAGTATTAACAGTATTACAGTGTATTTTATGAATCTATTTCTATAATCGTTGATTTGTTTAACATTTCTATCGCATTACTTAGGCATACTGGCATTTCTATTTATTTACAACACACCCGGCAATTCACTTCTCAAATATTATAAGAATTTTTAAACTATATTAGCATATTATTTCTATCTTCCGCTTGTTGAAGGGGCCTGGCGTATGGGTGCTGGCTCCTGGGGCTCCTCATGAATCGGTGTAGCATCGCGTAGATATATGAAGGGCAGCCTCAAATCCAATGGTGGGGCTGCCTGATTTTTTGTCTTTTCAAAACCCTTGAAATGGTAAATGAGAATCAAATTAATTAATTACCAAGTATGGGTTTTTCAAAAATCATCTTACAGCACTTGGACCATTCTCCGCATGTCCCCCTTGGGCCGCGACCAATCCCAGAGTTATGGTTAAAACAATCATGATTGCAATCTTCATTTTGAAACTTAATTCCCTTTTTCAAACTTGCGTACTTGATAACACTCTGTTTGCAATGATTCTGATACTGCTGGTTGGCTTTAATTTATATAGCTGGGGCTTCAAATATCGATTGGACGGCACCTTTCTCCTTGAAATGCCGGCAAACGGGAACACACAAATTTGTTTTTATTATTACGACCTGACTTGACAACACAGAACTTCCTGGCCATGAATCATTGACTTTTGAGAAAAAGAGGGCCATGTGACTTACACACGCTTAAATGTACATATACGTTTACATTTATTGACTCGTTAGTGTTGTTTTTTTTCATTATTTGTATTGGCCCTCAAATACCGATCCTGTCGAATTAACAATTACTATATAGCTGTCAGTCGAAGCGAGGGGAGCGAGTTGGCCGGAGACGGGAAAATGTTCGGAACATGTTTGCTAACATTAGGATGTAGGTCTTAATTATTTTTACCTCCTATCTGAAGATAATATATGCAACAAGCATCTTTTATACCGAATACCTATAGCTGTACGAATTTCAATACTTTTCGAATCAGTCATGACAGTCAGGGACGCCAAACTTGGCATTTAGACATCTGTTATCCACAAGAAGACCGATATTTATATATAAATATTAATACATGTCCATATCGATTGTCAATTAAAGGAGGAGATTGTCAGAGCTCCGGCAGCTTAATTAAATTACTACATGTGTTCTTTTATGCATTGAAAATTATGGAAGATTTCTAGTTACAAATACTTTTCATATTTGAAAAAGTAAAGTTAAGTTAAATGAATGCTTCTCAACACTCATATTTATTTTATTTAGTACTTATTAGTTAGCATACTTTTCTTATACTCAGTAATAAATAGAACGAAATACTAGATCAATCAGGTTTAAGTTAATCCCGTTCTAAATGCAACATTTAAACGTAATTTTCGAACTGGTATTTAATTAATGTAGTATGAAGCAATCTGAAAAATATAATAGTAGCAATTATCATTATTGATGAAATCATTTCTTAATACATCGCTAAGTATATCAAGTACTGATTTTTATTGAAACAAGTCCAAGAAGCATATTATTAAATTGCTGATCTGGAATCATGCTTTCAGTAGTCAACGACTTTATTGATTGATTTCATGATTTTTTATACCCTGTACCCGTAGGGTAAAAAGGGTATATTAGGTTTGTGCAAAGTATGTAAAATGCAGAAGGAAGCATCTCCGACCCCATAAAGTATATATATTCTGAATCAGCATGACGAAAGAAATCGATCTAGACATGTCCGTCCGTCCGTCCGTCTGGATGAACGCAAGGATCTCAGAAACTATAAAAGCTAGAATAACCAAAGTTGGCATCCAGATTCTCCTAGGTCCGAGAAAGGACGAGTTTATTTTTTTTTTAAATTTTCCCCCCCTTCCCCCGCTACAGAATTTCGTCGATGGCTTCCACATTTCAAATGCTACCTGAACCAAACTTTGCACACATAATTTATACATATTTATCTACTGTTGTTTAAATTTTATATAATTCGGTCAATTCTAAGAAAAGTTATTAGCGAAACAAATTCTGGCCAGTACAACCCCCCCAAACTGCAGCAACAAGTTCGCTCTTCTTCTTCCCTTTTTTGCTGCTGCTTTGGGCGCATATAACTCAGTGACGGAAGTTTACCTGGGTACAGGGTATTACACTGTCGGGCTTGCTCGACTGTAGTGTTCTCTCTTGTTTTCTGTTATTAGTAGCGGTTTTCTGCGGTGTTAAAAAACTACATAAGTGTGTATGCGGGAAATAGTTTGCAAAATAATTTTAGAAAATACTGTCTTGGATGTTATCATTGTTACATTTATATTGATACGAAAATAAATAAAAAAGTCGAATTTCTAATTTCGCCCTTTATTGTAAAGTTTATTAAAAACCAATCCATTAATAAACGTTTTAACATATTATCATAAAATATTGTAGCTAGTATTTACGTTTTTAATGTATTCTTTTTTATACTCTGTACATGAAATGTACAAGAGTATATTAGGTTTGCGGGAGCTGAAAAATGTAACAGGCAGAAGGAGGCGTGGCAGACCCCACAAAGTATATATATTATTGATCAGCGTGACAAGACGAGTAAATCTAGCCCTGTCTGTCTGTCTGTCCGTCCGTATGAACACCTGGATCTCAGAGACTATAAGAGATAGAGACACCAAATTTTGCACAAAGATGCGTTATGTGTGTATTCTATACGAGTTTGTTTTATTTTTTTGATTTTCCCCCCCACTTCCCCCCTATGGGGGTTTTCCCGATTTTCCATTCGTATAATCGCCTATATCTCGGAGACTATAAAACCTAGGAACACCAAATTTTAGTCCCAGATGCCTTGTGTGAATACGCAGAAAATGTATATTTTGTAATTTCCCTCCCTCCCCCCTCTCCCCCGCAAATGCGATTTTCTCTAACTCCCGTAATTCTTGGAATTTCGAACTAAAATTTTGCAAATACCCCCAGTTAGTAATTATGTGTCCGTATGCCAAGTTTCACTATGATAGACCGATTTAACAAGAAGTTATAGCCATAAATATATTTGCTGATGCAGCGCTGCTGCAGCGCTGCTCAAGCGCTGCCCGCGGCTGTTGTTGATGTTGCTGTTTGGTTGACTGCGAAAATGCTTACACAGACACGAATTGATGCGCATAGGCATACATACACTCACACAGACGCAATTGCTATGTAAATGTGCAATTATACACCCTTTACGTGAGTTCGAATACCGAGAGAGGTAAAATCGATCAAATTTTTTTTTATTTTCTAAATTTTTTTTATTTTCTATAATTATTGTAAACATATGTACAGAGTATTTCAAAGTCGGGACACCCGACTTTAGCTTTTTTACTTGTTTTTATCTAACTAAGTGTAAGAGTTGGAGAGATATTAAGTGCTTAACCGTATACGGGGGTCCGTTTACTGTAGAAAGAACAGCGGAAGGCCTATAAAACTGAAATAATAATATCGACATTGATTATGATGATGGTATGGATGGAAGCATTTCCATATTTCGCTGGCCAAGTTCATTCGCATCGCCAGATACCACTAATACCCAGAAGAAAAAAGTTGCGGATTTTTACCCTTTTCTTCTTTTCTTTTATGTTAGTCAGAGATTGCCGTTGCAGAAAAATAAACTTTTTATTCGTTCGTTGGAGCCCTGCTATAGTTTTCAAGGTTACCTTCGCATTTACAAACACACTCACACATACGAGTATATGTATGTATACTTGTATGTACCATATTGGAGTGCTGACTTCTTTATTAACCACTTTCAACAACAACAGCCACATCAGTCAACAAAAGTTCAAACGAACTCAGCCGTCTATGTAGAAACAAAAAAGCAACGGCGAGCGGGGTCTGCGGTTCGGACCCGACCCGACTCGACTGGACCGGACAGGTCCAGACCGATGCCAACACCCCGACTTCTTTCAGTTGTAGGCGACACACATAAAAACATAAAAACTGATGTGATGCGTCTGCGCCGCCTTTTTAAAGCTTCTTTAAATTAAGAAAGATGAGTTGCAAAATCGAATGCACAAACCCATACCCAAACCCTCATACGTTTACAGCCCCCCCCCCCCCCCCATGTCACCCTCACAAAATGATGTAAGCGCGCTACACTTGGCCGCCCAACTAGTTGGCCTTTAGCAGTTTCTGTCTGCGAGTACAAGTGCAATAAAATTGGTCAAACGTGCTTTAGATTCTGAACCTAAAGAAGATAATTTATGGTTATGGCCAGAGGCGAGGGTACACCCAAAAAGCCTTTGCTTTAAATAGAAGAGCAGCCTCCAGCAGACATCAAATGAACTGAACTCAACATACAGCGCCCAGTAATACTCGTACCCTCGTAAATGTCCAGCAAGGTCAAGGCTAGGTGTGAGTCTGCGATAAATAGATTTGAGTGTGCAAGTTCTTCCTCTTCTTTCAACGTTCAATTTGTTTCCAGTTTTGGACAAGAATTTTTAAATTTGTTTAAATGGTAAAAAAGATGTTATAGCGAACAGCAGAGGAACTTGCTCTACCAACTGATTAAACGAACTTACTTGTAGTTCTTCTGCAGTTTCTCGCAAGTAGAATGGGAAAATACTTATATAAGCATACTAATAATTTCTTTCCAAAAATGGTTTACAGGATGAAATGGAAAAAGCTGGAAGGTGAAATTATTTAAAAAAAGAAAAGCTGTAATTTATATAAATTCCAGAAATTATTTTATTTGTTTTTCATTTTTAAGAAGACGGCCAACTTTTCTATTCTTTTTTTAAAAGCGATTCATTATTTACAAAATTGTATCGTTCATTTTTTTTTACATTTTGTATATTTATATCGAACTATACTCGTACTCTCGTAAATGTCTAAGCTAGTTGTGAGTCTGCGATAAATAGATACATTCAAGTTCTTCCTCTTCTTTAAAGGTTCAATTTGGTTCCAGTTGTGAAAAGAATTTTTAAAATTGTTTAAATAGTCAAAAAGATGTTGTATCGAGCAGCAGAGGAACTTGCTCTTCCAACTGTTTAAGGAACTTACTTGTAGTTATTCTGCAGTTTCCCGTAAATATAATGGGTAATAATAGTAATAGTAATAATTTCTTCCTAAAAATGGTTTATAGGAAGAAATGGAAAAAAGTGGAAGGTATTATTATAAATTATTAAAAAAAAAGAAAAGCTTTCATTTATCTAAATTCCAGGAATGATTTTATTTGTTTTTCATTTTTAAGAACGACTCCCTGAAATTGACGGCAAACATTTCTATTCTTTTTTTAAAAGCGATTCATTATTTTTAAAGTTTTAGCGTTCAATTTATTTACATATTTCGAATATATCGAACTACGTTGTGTACAACAAATGTATAGATATTTAACAGAGGAAGAAAAAATGTTTCGAAACTGGAACTGGGTTAAGATAGAGGTATATTATAGAGGTATGTATATTTTTGGGAAAATACAATAACTGCGCTCTGCTACCAAAATTTTGCTCAAAGTCCAGCCATTTCATTTTAAGATCTCAATATACGAGAACAATGTATGGAGTCCTTTCGTGTAACACCGCTATAAGGCCAGTCGGGATCTATGGTTCACAGCAATGGGAATATACATTATTCAACGAGCCTCAAAATCATTATTTGAGCTCACTAGTATATTAGCATATAACAGCATTCTAATATAATTAAATATTCCGACAAACTAAATGCTCATTCGAACCTGCATCACCCATTCTTCCAAAAGTTTTGTAGCCAGTCCGTTTCGGTGAGATCGCAGGGCGGATGTTCGTGATCGAAATTACTGTAATTTAGAGAAACATCTAATTGTTGATTTTGTTGTGTTACGAAATACGTTTTATTAATGAAGAGTTTGTCATACAATTAAAGCATACAATATATAAATTTGTCTTAACTCTTTAATGCTCTTTAAATGTGTAACTGGAAACGATATTTTCGCTTTTTGTTTTTTGTTTTATTTTAAATTTATACAGCGCTAACTTGGCACAGGTCCCAGAAAGAAGCGTCATTTTGGCACAATTCTAGCTCGTCGTTTCAAAATGCACATTCCTCAGTGGAACCCGGTCCAGCTCCAGCCCACGCCTTCTTATACAACTACACAGTACATGGATGTCTAGACAACTAAGGTGTGTGCGTCGGACAGAACTTTAAATTTTCGAGAGTCCTCGTTGTTCATGACGGCCGAGGTCTTGCCCAGGACGCGCATAGCATTCGAATAATCCGAATCGATTTGTGGGATGATCTGCTTCTCGTTGGGGCGCAGGGTGCGTATAAGATCACTGAGGGAGAGGGAGGATTGTGGCGTCATTTCGTCCTTGGCGCCATTTCGCTGAACCTCATGTGAGCTGGCCATTTTCTCGAAGTCCTGTGCGATCTGCTTCAGTCGCACCTCGATCGCGGGCGACTCTGTGGAGCTGGGCATGGTTAGGGATAGTTCGGGATCGGCATCTTTAACGGGTAGATCCTGTTCGGCACTGCCGATGTCCTCGGAGTGGGCCTCGTCAACAATCGCCTCCTCGCTGTCATCCTCATGGTGCTGTTCCGGCTGCTGCTCCTGTTCCTCGTGCTGTTCGTCGCTATCCGATAGCGCTGCCTTGGACTGCAACTGCAGCTGAAGCTGCTCTATCGAATGCATCTCGTTGTGCAGCTCGTTGTCGTTTAATGGGAAAACGTGGTCCTTAACGTCGTCACTCAGTTCGCGCGCATGCTCGTTAAAGCTGCTGCCGTCGTGCTCTTCATCAACATCGCCTTCGGCGTCGTCGTGATCCTCAACGTCCGCCTCCAGCTCGCCATCGACGTCGGCCGCGTCGGCATCGATGTGTGCGCGATCGTGATTCAGCTTGAAGGAGACGAAGGACGGCTGCTGGGACCCGTCGGAGCTGTCGATGACGGGCGATTTTGCTTTCGCGAACAGACTGGCGCCGCTCGTGGACATGAGGAGTGGCAGCGGGGTGGTTGCTGGCGATGCGTGCATGTGCAGCAGCGAGACGGGGGTTCGGGGAGTGGTCGACGTGATGGGGCGTCTATGTACAGTCAGAAGGTGGTGCGAAACAAAAATGTGGAAACAAGAGCAGAAAATAAAGACGCGATTAGCATTCGATAGTGTCAGTGCTAGATATTTTTAGATGAAGCAACTAGTAGTGGAATACTTGTATATGCATGTACTAAGCTCTAGATACTAGCAGAGAGAGCGTTTACTGTGGTGGTTAGTGCGGAAGTCAAGCGAAGTGTAGTTTGTAGGAGTGTTTTGGAGTAAGCGTTAGCAATAAGTTAGTTAGTTGAACACAAACAACAAATCTCGATCGACAACAACAACAACAACAACTATAGAAAAGCTAAGCCCCAAACCACCAGATTGTTTTCCGAGAATCTCGAAGGCTCTGCTCAGCTGCCAGCCCATAAATGAATGCAATCTGCTTCAAAACTCACAAAGCTTATCGGATTACATGATTGTAACATACATATGTACAAGTATGTTTGTATATTCAAGAAAACAGAAATGTTAAGAACAATGATTTAATTAATGGTTGTTTTCGATTGCACGAATGTATGGGCCTGGTCTGCGAGTTAAGCGAACAGAGTTTCGATTTTGTTTTTTGTTTGTTGAGTCTTGAAAAATCGTTAGTAATATAGATCTGTGGCTTCGCATTAGTCTGCATTAGTGGTATCTATTACTCGTATATGTGTACTATATGTCTGTATGTGTGTGTAGAGATGGTAATTTTTTACGATTTGGGGTTTAGCTCACCTATTTTTTTATATATATATATATTTTGTCTTTCATTCTGAACTGAACGCTCACAGAACGTTAAGTTTCGTTACGCTCTTTCGTGTCTTTGTGGTCAACTAAATTAACTTTTTTATAAATCACGAATTTTCGTTTCGATTTTTATAAATAATTTTTACTTAATTACGAAGCTTTCTTTTATTGTCTTAAGGATTCGAGCTTTGAGTTGCTATGATTAAATGGTTTAATTTGTTTAATTTATGTTTTGTTTTCTTCTTTTATTATTAATTTATTCATATTTTAATTAATTGTTCTTTCGTTTATTGGCGCCCATGCTTTATAGCCCTTACCCCTGCGCAGAAGACACTGGGATGCTGCCATAATTGTAATAATAGCAACGGGTCTGCTCACAGATGAAGTCCTTAACGGCCGAACAGTCCTCGGGCATCCATTTGAGTGTGGGTTGCTTCAGAATGACACAACCCTTCTCGGCGCCACTGCTGCTATAAAGATAAATATAATAATATAATATAGGTTAAAGTATTTAGTTAATGTCCAATCCGTCTAAAACCAAATTGCCGTTCCATCCATTCGAACTGTTCAAGGACATTTTATAGCCTTCCCAAGCAGCTCGAAATAATCTATTCAATTATCAGAAATTCATTTCAGTTGTATAAATAAGTATTATTTATTATTTATTTTTTTTAAATGAAATTCTGTTTAAAACGCAAATGAACGCTTTTATTTTTTAGTAACTCTGATATTTTAGAAGTGGATAAAAAGAAGGACAGTTCATTGTTTCTTCTTTTAGATTAAACTTTTCGACTATGAAATGGCTTAAATTCATAATTTAAAGTGATGGAAAAGTTATTCCATAACAATTATTAAATAACATTCTAAAAAATGATTTCTCTATTATTTCCATAATAATATAATATCTGTAAGCTACTCAAAAATGATTAATTCTAATCATTTTGTTGATATTGAACAATTCTCAAAAGAATTTGAATTATATAGTGTGCATACTTTTGTAACCGACTGTGGGTGAGTGGACTGAGAGGTTTCTATTATGATTACTTACCTGTCGCGTGCTGTACGTTGTGGCGAGGTGTTGCTATTGTGATCGACAGGGTCCAGGAGGCCAGCCTGTATAGCATCGGCAGAGTTTTCGAAAAAGTCGAATGTAGCATTGAACGGTAAACCGGTGCTCATCCATAGGAACATGCCCGTGCCCAAACGATTTCCAGATGTCCAGAAATCATAGTTGCCGTAACCGGCGTTCTTCAGATAGGTGGTCATTGACTCGGCCTTCTCCTTAGTCTCAAAGGAGGCCAGCTGCAAGCCCAAAGATCGGCAATACTGATATGCCAGGAAGTAATTCAGTTCGGGCGAGTACGGGTTCATACGACTGATGAAGTACTGTACACCATCCAGATGAATGGTCGTAATGCGTTGACCTGTGTGCAGAGCAGCAACAGAGAAAGAAATAAAAAAAGAAAAAAAGAACACAATGACAGGTGAATTAGTTAATGCTCAAGAAAATCTGTCTGCGCATTTTAGAGGGGCATTGAACTCCGATGCCGTCATACTACAAGTATACTACCAGAATACTGAGCGGACCCAATGTGTAACGGTAGTAATCGTTTGTAATCGTAGATAGCAAACGACTCGTACATACATACATAGATCGAAAGCAAATAGGATTACCAAAACGAGCCTCAAGTTGGCAAACGCAATGACAATGAATGCCAAAATGACAATTCAGTGTCTATAAAGAGTGCGACCAATTGGAAGAAGAGACAACTGATTTAATTTCAATGCGACTCGTGTGCGCATGAATCATGATAATAATCATGATGTTGATGTTGATGATGACCAGGAGCATTTTGTATTTATGCGGTCTCTGACCTGTAGGTGCCAGCAGCTAATACAATGGTAATTACACAAAATTCGATGAAATATAATGGCTCCTACTTATGACACTAATTAGCCATACTACAAGTATATAACTAGCCCAAAAGGAAGAAAGACACAAGAACGAAAGAAACACGCGATAACGAAAGTAACCTGAGGACGGTTTCTTATAAGTATGTACATATGTATGTACATACATACTTGTATGTATAAGCATAATCGCCCAGTCAGAGATGAACATGACAATCGATTCTCTGACTTGAACTCGAGCTCGTACTGGCACTGGGACTGACTCTGCGACTGGAACTGAGGCTCGAGGCAACAGGTAGCTGGAACTTCGAGTGTATTGAACAAATAAAGTGAATGAGTGATGAGTAAGTGTGTGTGTGTGTGTATATATGTGTTGGTATGTATCCTCCAGTCTTGCTCAAAAGATAAACACAATGTTGACGCACTATTTGACAACATTTTCATTTTCGATTCCCTTTGCGAACGAACGCTCTTCTGTGTCCGGACACTTGTCTATTTATGGCCCAATGGTGTTGGCTAGCATAGAGGTTCCCTCTTCTACCACTATGTGTGGCTTTTATGCGCATACACACCGTACAATGTACAAAATTATTTCCGGTGATTTAAATTCAAGACACACACGAAGTCAAAGTCTTTTGAATTAAAGAACCAGCAGCAGCAGCAAATCATTTGTTCGCACAGACAGACCGCAAAAGGTGGATTGGACTGAGGTTAATAACTGAAGAGTCCGAGAAAAAAAAGGAGAACAGCACGCTGATTCAATTTGATGAACGAATTCAGCTAATAATCACCTACCTTTACCGTACTATATCTGAAGGAATCAACCCAATTCTTTGCTACTCAACGTTAAATTGCAGTTAATTTGACAGTGACTGCCCAACGGAGCTTCAACTACAATTGGATAACCGTAACCCGATCGTTGAACGTTGAGCTGATTTTTGCTCCGTTGCCTGCCTGGCTAAAACTATTTGACCACTATAATTTAGAGGTAATTACATTTGGCTAGAATAGCCTTCTGTCTTCTGCCTGCCAGCCGACAACTCCGGTTGTGCTTCGCATATCTAGCACATCTCTAATGATCCATTCAAAGTCACTGTTGGTGTTTTGCCTGACTATGATATTCGCAATCTCAGTTCAATGTTAAGGAAATGCTAGCCACATCCACATCCAGAGCCAGCCTAGTGATTTGTTGGCACCTACCGTCCCTCCGGCTAGTATTCAAATGATTATTATGCACCAGTTGTTGGGATTGCGCGAGTGATAAAATTGATTAAAAAAAAAAAAAAAACACCAACACAACAACAACAAACACTACCAATCCCAAACCAAAATGTGGGTAAATACGGAAGAACAGAACAGAAAAAAAGAGTAACAGAAACTACAAGTAAACCTGGCCTGCTCGTTGCGTTAAAAAAACGCTCACTAACAAATGCACATTTAATGATGGGAACACATTGTCCAACCGTAGTTCCAAGTACTTCCTTCTTTCGAGCTCCGAACCGATCATTATCTCCGCCACTTGCAAAAGAGCTTGTCAAGCGAAGCTCTAATGTGCAATTTCGCACAAGATGCGAATAAATAGGCCAGACAACAATGTCTTAAGAAGTTAATTTAAAGTTGCACTTACTGTGGGCAACCATAGTTAAATTGTATGCATACTTGTAGATTGGTTCACTTATTAAATACATTTTCAAATTCTTAGGATTCTACAATTCGATTCGCTCTTTGCCCAAAATCTCGAAAGTTTAATGAACCTGTGCTTCAAATCAAGAGAGCTAATTAGAATGTTTACGCTAAAATTGTGTGTCTCTTTCTGATTGAACTCTATTAACCAGAAATGTGCCTCTTGAATCAACCATTCTTTAAATCAAAGCATTAACAAAAAATAAAAAAAAATGCTTTGCTCTAAAACAAAAGTTGATGGGTCTCCAAATATTTGCAACAACTCTAAGTTTAAATTCAAAAGACCTCAAAAGCATTTACTTCAGAAATTCCTAATCCAAAGAGATAAAACTCTCCAATTGTTCTATTTTTTTTTTTGAAGCGGGGCATAGACTTAATTTTTTCTGCGTAAGTCGGACATACGTGTATGTATCTTTCAGCATTAATTACCTTTTTTTTATTTACTTTTATTTTTGTAAATTTTGCATTTATTTATGTAGAATTGCCTTTTACACGAAAGTATTTTTCGGGCTTGTATTCTCGACCTCAATTTACAATAAATGCTAAAAACATTTTTTAAAAACCAAATTTATATTCAATTATAATCATATGTAAAATTTGATCTTTTTTAAAGAACGTAATATTTTACTTATGCTTTTCTAAGTAATGCAAGTTGAAGAATATCAAAGACGCGCTAAGCTGTTTTCCAAATGATTTGAGAAAAAAAGAAAAACAAAGACAACAAAGTCTAGAAAAGTGTGGAGTAATCGTCTGCTTGTCATCTAGAATTGTCTAATTATATAAGTCTTTAAATACATTTTAAGCTCCTTTTAAATATGTCATAATTTTTAAGGCGCTTTTCTTTACTGATCTGAGTTTTAAGCTTTTAAAATAACTTCCATTTGCATTTGAACAAAAAATATGTTTCTTATCTACAATAAATGCTTATTTAGCTGGGAATTTATAGCAAGTGGATGAATATTTGGTAGTAGAAATATAAAATCGAGAGCCTATTTAAAACTTTACAAAATCCCAGAAAATCTTTTACGTGAGTAGCTTTGATTTGGGCCCAGTAACAAGAATTTCATTTAAATATATAAAACAATTTTATAATATTTGTTATTATTATGGTAGTATTTTTTACTCACCTGCGGCACAGGCCAAAAGACTGAGTACACAAAACAGAATTATTTTTGCCATCTTCTTTCGAGTGCTTTGGAACAGGAACGATTTCAACTGATGGACGCGATCGAGGACCGTAACACTTTTCGTCGCGATCACTGCAAGCCTTCGACTGACTCGAGCAGCAAATATCACGCAATCGCGAGTGTCCGTCAAGAAGCCAAGAAGAGCTCACGGCTTCCAATTATGCCAGCACGAGTTCCAGTTTCCAGTTTCCAACTTTAACTTCCTCTTCCAGTGCGATCGGCACGAATACGAATACAAATACGAAGACGTCTGCAGCAATGACTTGCAATGACTCGCACACAATCACAAGGCTTTAATCCTTACACCAAACAAACAGAGAACACAAGAAGTACTGAGTACTCAGATTTTTGGGGATCTCTGATATATGTATGTATGTGTGTTATATGTGTGTTATATTTTCTAAGCTCGGTTCAAGTTGCAAGTTGGTCGCTGTTACTTAGCCAAGATCGCGAAGGCAAATGTCGTGAAGAGGGCCGTATTGTTAGCTTAAAAGGAAATCGTTCAACAGTCCCAATACCAATACCAATATACGGCCTATACAAAAAATGTAAGTATGAATGAACAAACAACAAGCAAACGATAAAGGAAAACACAAGACAAGAGCACGAAAGCAATAAACAGGCTAAAAGAATACCAAAAAAAGTTACTATCACGATAGCAGCAGAAAACCACACGAAAGAAAAGAACGAACCCGAGAGCTGCGAGTATTTTGTGGATGTGAGATGTGATTGCTGGCTGGCTGGCCTCTGGCAATTGGAAATACTCGCGCCTGTTTCTGTGCATTTTAGTGTGCGTATGTGTGTGTGCGTGTGTGTGTGTGTGTGTGTTCGGGACTTGATGACTTCTTGGGCTGGAAGTCTGTAGTCTCAGTGCTAGACAAAGAGCGCAATAAAGCCGTGTCGGCGGCGTTAGTGCAAAGGTACAGACAAACGGGCCTAAACCGAAATACCAACGCACACACACACACAGTTGGCAAAGGCAAACGCGCCCAGGCACTCACATAAACACACACACACACACACATACGTAGAGAAGTGGCGACGCTGCACGTCGCCTTCATTCCAATGGGAGACCATTGTTAGTTTTATTCTTTCTCCCACAACGTCTCGTTTCGTTTAGTTCTGCTGGTCCCACTTCTTACCTGTCTTCAGCGCTAGGGCCCCGGACAGACTTCTACGGCCAACACCAACACCACCGCCACTGCCACTGCTGCCACTGCTGCCAATGCCGCTGCTGCACGTTCGCCCCCAGCCCTGCGTGGCGGTTCCATTAATTTCGTACGCTATCGCAGTTACCGTCGACTGGTTTGTGGTTTCGGTTGTGCGGCCTCTGCTGGAAGCGTGAAATGTTATAATGATCTTTTTTTTTTTGCATTTTGACAATATACAATATACAATATATTTCTGCGGGTGCCCCAAGCATGCCAAATTCCCAATAGATGCTCACATTTTTTGCGTACTCTTATGTAATACCATCAAGTTCGGAATACATAGAGTAAGAAAAAGGTGGATCATTATTAAATGTTAGCCTCTTCTTTCTAAGTTGCTTGAGAGGTGACACGCTGTTTAAACATGCTCTCCTTCAAGTTACCTCCCGTTAGCTTTTCCGGCTTAATCAAGAACTAATCCAATTCGATGCATGGGTTCATCGATGGTTGCAGGGTATAATTATTTCCATATAATAATGCAGTAGTGATTAAAAGTCATGGGAAATTTCGCGGGTCCGTTTTCCCAGTTACTTGACCAAAGGCAAACACAGTTGCAGCCACAAGCTCAGCTGAAGCTTCGATACTGGCTGGATTGGGGGTTTCTGGAGGTGGTGATCGTGGTGGCCGTGGTTGAAGCGCGTGGTGCGTGCATATTGCTATCAAAAGTCTATCGACTGACATGGCCCTTGAGCCTTTCAATGCTTTGAAGAGAGATTTTGATTTTCATACTACACTATATATTGACTTTGTTGTTGCTGTTGTTGTTATTATTATTGCCGAGGATGTTGTTTTTTTTTTTTAGCTTTAGTCGCGTCTGCCGCCGGCCTGACGCCGACGCCGACGCTGACGCATTCATTTTAATGTGACCGATGCAGCCGGGCGCTGTATTTGGCGGCTGATGCTGACTCCTCGCAATCTGGATTTAGTGCTAGTGGTGGAGTGGAAGCTATTTGGATGGCCTTCGCTTTAACATCATTCATCCATCTATACCTGGATGGCTCCTCTTCAAGCCTCCCCAGCCCCAACCCCAACCCCATCCCTCAGCCTCAGCTCCAGCTCCAGCTCGTTGGTTGCGATTTCTGCTGCCATTGTCGCTGACGCTATCGCTGTTGCTGTTATTCTCTTCTCCTTCCTTTATTTCTCATTGCCTAGTCGTTGTTGTTCTGTATTCTTGGTGCTGGGGCTGTTGTTTTTGTTTTTGGTCTAAAAATAAACCTTGCACAAGATTGAGGAATTTAATTCGCCTTTTGGTAGAAAATCCTCGACTTTGCAAACGGACTTTGGCAACCTGAAGACGAACTGTGCTTTGGTCTTTAGTTGCGATGTTGTTGCCGGTTTGCTTTAGCTTGATTCGATTCGGTTTATATGTGCGGGTATATACATACATATGTATGTATGTATGTATATACCTATACATACCTATACCTATATACATATATGTGTGTGTAAGATGCACGAGACGCTTTGCTCCTGTATATCTATAAACTTCTACTTTGGCGTCATCCTCTACTGTCTGCGTTGATGATGAGGATGATGACATGCTGATGGCATCTTACTATACTGCCCAAACCAAGAGCCAGCGTAAGAAACGAATATACACATTTTCCGCATGAGATCAAAGGATTAAAAAATATTATACACCAGGTAATATGGATGATGGACCAGAGCTTAGATTAGTTGCATCTGGTTACATTTTTTTCGCACTGCCATCTGAAGTGACATCATGATCTGATGCAGACATCATATTTCCACTTGGCTTCGCTTTAATGTGCAAATTAGAATACAAACTGGATACGCTGGAAGCCTGTGGTCTCTGTCATCTCTAAGGGTATCATCACAAAACCTTACACATGAATGACACTCTATCTGTCTGCTGCCTGCCTGTAACAGCCAAACAAAATGTCAAGGGCTGTCGCTCGAGCAGATGATCTTTAATAAAGTTATATATACATACCTTATCAAGTCGAAAAGAAAAAGAAATAAGCAACATTAGTTAGCTCGACGAACTATTTTATTATCATTGAGCATTGCAATCACGAATAGTGGAGCCAAATCTAGTACGGTATTAACAACTCAAATTTCTGCCATTGCCATAACCATAGCCATAGCCATATCCATATCCATATCAACGGTAAATAATTTCGATCACAATGCTAACCAACAACAACAACAGCTTGTGCATCAACAGAGAAATGAGCGTGTGGCTATTTACGCTGATCCCAGAGCTCCAGCTTTGACTCTGACTTTGGCTGACTGGCAATCAAGTAGGGAAATGAGGACGAGTAAATTTATCCAAGAGTCGTACATACGACGATGGCTCTGCATCGTGGCTGAGCACAATTTTGAGTTCTCCTTTGTCTGCTTCACGTCATTTCAAATTCCATGTCAAAAGGTGAAGCCAATTCTACATTTCTAGCGAACTGGACAGAGAAATCACGACTAGGGGCAGCAACAGCATCATCTCGAGCATCACGTCGACATCGCAGGAAGATTGTATGTATAAGTATACCAATTTTTACATATTTATGACGCTTGTATGCACATACAAAGGCATGCATACTCTCACATACATACATACCTATGTAAATCGAAAAGGTTCCTATAACCCTAAACTATGCCAAAAATCGTGTTGACTTAAGTGTTGGGCTTCCCAATTGCTGCCATTAAATTCTTTGAATGCTGCTAATAACCAACTGAAAGAACGGAAACTATTCATTAAACGGAAGTCCACTTTTAAAACGCAATAAGCGCAATTGCTGCTCATTAAAAAAAAATGTTGCTATAGAACTCTCTTGGTGGCAATCTTAGTTACTTGTGCGCAGAGCCGTTGCTTTTGGGAGTAAAGAGTTAGGGGGATAAAGATGTCACAGCCAACATCTCGCAGCAGCAGAATTGCTGTTAAGTGGATGATAAGTTCAAGAACCTTCCAGAATGATGACCAACTCCATGCGTGATTCTTGTAATGTGAAGTGCTCTGAAGAAGACCCGATTCTCCAATTGACCGCTGCAGTCCAAGTCCAAGACTTAGACACTCTAACTGACATGAAGCAGGGCCAAGGTGCTCGCTATAATTATATAGCATACATGAGTAAGCACGTGTGTGTGTGTGTGTGTGTGTGTGTCTGTGTATATAGTATGTGTATAAAGAATTGCTAACTTTGTTGCTGCTGGATGGAAGTTGCAGATGGAAGTCGCGCCAGTAGTTTGCGACGCCTACGACAAAGTCATTTGGCTTTTCTACTACTGCCTGGTGTCCCTGACTATTAAATGTGTGTGTGTGTGTGTTTGTTTCTCACGCCAGAGGCAGCTAAAGACACTGGTAGACATATACTAAGTATATATACACTCATACATACATATATTAGTACATATTCTTGAGCTAAGGGCCAGGTTCTGACTATGTGGGTGGAAAGCTTTGCTTATGCAACTTGCTCTTCTGTGTTAAAAGTTCAGTTATACAAATAATGATTGTGGCTATGTGAAATATGTAATAGTCTTTTACCCGATTCTATATCTTAAAAAGTTCCTTGGCATATTCTCTTCTGCAAGAGGATATTAAATCAAGACAGCCCTGATTCTTGCCCGAATATGTTTGTTGATGACTTTTCGTTTGATTCTTTAACAAATATTCCACTTTCAATGATTTGTAGCTTGGTTTCAATTCTAAATTCAAATATCCTAAATACCGTTAGCAAGGCTCATTAAAAATTAAGGTTAAGCAAAACGGTCTCCTGGAAATTCACAATATTCTAAATTATATTACTTTTCCCAGCAGTCTAATACATTTTTTATTTACAGGTGCAAAGAAAATATCCTCATTATACCCTGTACCCAAAGGGTACAAGGGTATATTAGTTTTGTGCACATGGAACACACAGAAGGAGGCTTGGTAGACCCCACAAAGTATATATATTCTTGATCAGCATGACAAGCCGAGTCGATATAGCCATGTCCGTCTGTCTGTCCATCTGTCTGTATGAACGCAAGGATCTCCGAAAGTATAAGAGCTAGAATAACCAAACTTGGTATACAGATTCTCCTGAGACCGAGAAAGGACGAGTTTGTTCATTTTTTCTGATCCACCCCCCACTCCCCCCCTATTAACGATTTTCTATAACTCCCGTAATTCTTGGAATTTTGAACTAAAATTTGGTAGTCACATTAGGTTAGTGATTATATATACGTATACCAAGTTTCATTATGATAGAATGATCGGAAAGAAGTTATAGCCATATAACCAGGCCCAATGCACACATACATACATATGTACAAGTACACAAACACGCATAAGGCACGATTCTGATGTAAATGTAGTAGTGATGTAGGCATGCATGGAATATTTTATATTTAATTTAGTTAATTAATTAAATTAATTTAGTTAATTCAGAAATATTTTGTAATAAATTTCGATAATCTTATTCGCAGTATGTCCTCACCATTGTATTGATTAATAGACGATCGTTTTGTGGAGGCGATACATTCTTTGGTAACCCTTTTTTTTCTAGGTACAGTTTTCTGTTTAAATATTTTTGCTTTTGTAGTGTCTGAAGTCTCTACATAAATTTTACAAATATTATAAATATTTGACAAATATTATAAACATTTAACAGTAATATATAATTTAAACTTCATTTGAGTTATAGGCCTTGTATTTTCGTTACTAAAACTATAATCTTAACATTTATTTGATATTGTAATAAATATAGAAATTCCTTCCGTCTTTGGCTAAGAGATGGTAAATTTTTGGATCCGTCTTACTATACAAAGTGATTGCCTTAGTTCGTTCTAGAACTATACGACAATATTTACTGTATTGGCTTTTACAGTTGATTACGCAATTCACAATTCTATTCACGTTTCATATCCATATTACAAAGATCCTCGTTCAAATCGTCCAAATATCCCTCGTTCTAAAAGCTTTTCTTTGGAAGTTTTTCCAAGTTTTTCTCTAAAGTAACCCAATTTGCATGTGTTTTTCTAACTACTTCCCTTTAATTGTTCTTTTAAGTTTTTATTGTAATTCTTAAATATTATTATTTTTATTGAGTCAGAGGCAAGAAACAATTCCATCAATCTGTCGAAAGTGTGCTTAAATAGATTTGTAAACAGCTAAACTGATGGGGTTTTAAATAAATAAAACACTAATACAGAATCTGCTTCAAAGGCAGAAACGTAGTTATGGAGGTCAATGCACAAGTCCGCAGCACGTCGACCCGTAATTATGTAATTTTCTTCAAATTTAGCATACAGAGCTCATCGGCCAACCTAATGATCCAGAGGGGTCTTTATTTGGCTAGAACTCATTAATTCTATGAATAACAACCACTTACCCCTTCTTCATATGCTTTGCAGAAATTAGTACAGGGTGCGCCAACATTGAATATCCTTGAAAATAAACAACCTATTTTCAAGTATGAGATATTTTTATTTAATTTCTTGCACTGAGGTTTTCAACACTAGTCTACTCAAGTCAATCGGTTCACTAATGACAAAGTTATTCAATATCTACATAATGACATAAAAGATGGCGCACCCTGTATATAGGAATGTGTATAAAGGATGGCAACAAATATTAAGCTCTACTAACAATCTATAGAATTGATTTAAATTCATTTGTAGCCTACAAATATCTTTTTTCAGCCATATTTTTTTTTGTATTTGTCTCGCACAAGGAAGAAAGCGTGTCGTCCACACATCCAGACATGGTCGGATTTGCGAAATACTTAAAAAAAGGCAAAATATTGCAATTCTGTCCTTTTAACAGCCAAGATATACACCAGATAAAAATGCAACTATCGTGGCCTATGGGGGTTTTCGGCGGTTGGCGGCTATCTTAAGAAGTGCTTAGGTCCCAGCATTTTATTCCACAAATTCTTATTTTTAAATGCCGTCGTTAAAATACTGTTTTGTTCAAAATTGGGATATTCTGTTATTAATATTTTTGTACATATGTATATAAACCATTTAAAAATGTTGGTATCTCAGCTTATTGTTACCTACTTTTAAAATACACGCAATTCAAATAAACTCTCGATTTATATATGTGTTAAAATAGTTGCAGATAGTCACACGGATTATTGTTTTTCTTAATAGTTATACGAGCTGTAGATGGCAGCTAATTACAAAGCTGCGTCAATATGAACGAAAACAGCATTAGAGCAAGGGAAATAAATATGTTTGTCGCTGAACTTCTCGACAGAATACGACCTTCCAGCCCAGGGTAAACAAATTTATGCATCTGAAGGTAGTGTATGAGAGCGTCTGCATCAATATTTTGTAGACGCACTGAATATGGGTTCGTTTTATCGATCAACTCATATCCGTCGCCATTTAATAGCAGAAACTCATCTACAATCACGTTGTAGAAGGCAGTTTCATTGAGAGCTTCGTAAGAGGGAATGTCGCACTTGGCACAACGCACCTCGAGGGCCACCACACGTTGCCCCTTCGGCTTGCCGTAGTCATATTGCACGCGGGCACCGGAGAGTTGGAGGAAGCCACCATTGGAATCTGTGCCAACTACGCTTGCGGAATGTTCTAGGGAATTTCTCAAAGCTTTGCCCGTAATTCGAGTTATATAGAGGCCATTCTGAAAGGGTAGTACGCTGAGAACATCGCTGGCAGTAATCGAGCCATTCGCAGCCTTCATTATCGAATTACGAATTCCTATAAACAAGAATAGAATTGTTGATGATATTTCAAATCTTTGTTTGTGTTCCAACTGACCTCCTCCTTGAATGAACGCTATTGGGGCGTCGGTCCAGTACTTGCTAGCATTAAGTTCCATTACCCGAGCGAACACCATGGAGTCAGCAACCAGATTTCCAAGATTACATTCTCGGGCCCGACACACAGAACTGCTTCCTTCGAGGTCCACCTTCGTATGTCCGACGACTTGCGAATCTAATGCCGTTATATTGGGACGATATAGATCTAGCAAGTCTAGCAGCTCCTTCTCTTGCTCAACTGACGCATTCAGTAATATTGGAGCTCCATCGAACTCAACCAAATTGCCATCCGAATCGAACTGTCAATTCGTTAATATTTACTAATTACATAGTATCTGTAAATTGAGTCGGCAGACTAACCTTTACATGGAGCTTACCCAAATATTTGGTGTAAGCATAGGCCTGCACGACTGGAACCACTTTCCCGTCTTTTCGCTTTACTTGGGTGGGGTAGGGTCCTTCGATGGCTTCAGCATCGGGTTTTTTTCCATTGTACAGGAATGTGTTGGTATGGCCACCAATAACAATATCTACGTCTGGACAATTTTTGGCTATCTCTTGATCCTTAATATAGCCAGAATGCCCCAAGGCAATAATAATTTGGATGCCTTGAGCGGTTAGCTTCGCTGATTCAGCACTGAAAGGAACATTAAGATATAGTTCCATCAAAATTTACTCGATATTGCAAGTTACTTGATTGACACGATTTCGTCTAAAAACTCGACATCGTTTCGCACAGTAAGCTTTTTGGTATCCGGTGTCACATAGCCTATGATGCCAACTTTCAGACCATTTACTTCCAAAATAGTCGAGTTTGCCAAATTGTTTGCAGCAGCTAATTCGGGAACCTTACTAAGGTCCAGATTGCAAGCCAATACGGGAAAGTCAACATTGTTGAGGAAAGGTATGAGCCCTTCCACTTTCTCATCAAACTCGTGATTACCTAGGGACTAAGAGGACGTAGTGCTCTAGTTAAATACCCAATATAATTATTTATATTTATACTTACAATTGCATCTGGCTGCAGTTTGTTGAGGAAAGCGGCAGTAATATTATCCTTAAAGATAGTGAACCAAGGTGTGCCCGTGTAGGTGTCTCCAGCGTTTAAATATAATACAGGTGTTCCACCATTTTGGGCTTCTGCGCGATATTTTCGTACCCTAAGATATGTTGTTATTAAAAGCCAGTTAGAATTTTTCAGATGTTATATAGATAGTTATGTACTTACTCATATGCCACGCGAGCAAAACCACCGTAGCATTTGTTAGTGTTGACCTCCTTCGGAGAGCATTTCCCGCTTTTAACATTTGTCTGCTCAAATCGCGCGTGCATATCGTTGTTGTGGAGGATTATGAATTCGGTGTTTCCACCACTCCTCTTCTCAATGGGATTGGCATTGCTGCGATGTCCGCACAACAACAAACCAGTTAAGACAGACCACAGAAAAATCATTTCAAGACTCTATTAAAGAAATCGCAACAAACGTAAACATTTTTAAATGTAATTTTGTAATTTTAGTACATATATTTTATAAATCTATTAAAAACCTGTGTTAAATGTTTGAGCCTTGTCCGCGATCTCTGTCTTTAAAGAAAGCGAAATTCTTTATGTTGTTAAAACCTTGCATACTTTTAGGCAGCAATGAAATTAGTTATGTAATTTGAAATAACAATGGACTAAAAATTTTTGATAAGAAATAAATAAAAGTTTCAGCTTCATTTAAAAATGTAATTTTTTTTTTATCAAATTGTTTTTTTATAGCCAGATGTCTTTCTAAGCTGTTAACTTTCTATTTATAAAAACTATTTCCAGCACCACGGTGAGAAGCAAACAAAAACTACCTGATAATTCTACCTATTAGAAACTAATGGGCCCAGATGAGGCATTGTTTGATTTTCAAACTATTATAAATCATGAAAAACAAAATCGGCACAAAATAATGCCTCCCTTAATTACAGTTGGTAATCAGATAATGGGTGACATATTTAAATATTAACGAATGTAAGCAATTTGAGAATTTCTTTATCAAATGTAAATTACAGAGAACCTAAAAGATTTGGAACAAAAGGGTTTTTCTGTATTAGCCATTCATCGTCAAATGAGATTAAATTTCTAGAAACTCTAGAGCCGCAGCTTAACAAGTTGAAATCGAAGTCGAATGAATTACGAAATATGTTTAGGCCCTGGATGGATTCAAAGAGATTTCGAAATGTCTTATTTGTAGAATGTTATTAAATAATATATTAGGGGCATTTACATACATATGCAAGTCCGAACCAAGCCCATTAATTTATTTTGAACAAAAGTAAGTAAGTACATATAAAACAAAACTAGCAGCTGTCAAGTGTTTTTATAATCACGCCGAATTGTTTAACGTTGGATTTGGTTGCACATAGCTCTAAGGTGTTATTTGAATATTTCCAACGAAAATATAAAAATTATGTGCAAATGTTAGTCTCAAATGCAATTTCATTTCGCTTTGCTCCTAATTGAAATGTTATTTTTTGCATGATTTACGTTTTCACAAATGTGTATGTATGTATGTAGTATATACGAAAATATAAAAATGTTATGCACATGTATTTTCAAATGCAATTTCACTTCATTTCGCGCTGTTCCTGATTGAAATTATTATTATTATTTTTTTTTTTTGTTTTTAAAATTCGTCTTTCCAAATGTAAGCAAATACATTTGTTTGTATGCACTTATATAAATGGATTTGAAAAACGCAGATGTTTGCATATTTTGCGATTAAGAACAAATGAAACACCGCCAGGGCGAATGAATGAAACAGTTCTTCTATACTATTCTTATCGTATTTGCATATATGTTCAAGTATTATACTTATTTATTCGTATGAAAGACATTCATTCGTTAATTTATTAAAACCTATTGATTTTGTTAATAAGAGTTAAGTATTATTGGAACTGGGAACATGAAAGCTGCTCAGAATTAAACGATTGTTCTTCTTAACACATACTGATGTGTCAGATACTTATTATGAAAAGACATTTTGTTTTGTAGAGCCAGCTGAAACAACAACTTAGAGTTGCAGAACCGCGCTTTGGTGGAATTCCGTCACCGACTAACTCATTTGGATTCAGAAGAATTGCCATTTCATATTGTTGTGGAAAACATATTTTTATTAGATTAAAATTTTCAATGGCCCCGTTCAATCCTGAGCATACGCTTTGATTGTGATAAATTGTTCATAAATACAGTATACAAACATTTATATATACAAAGATTCTTGGAAAATTAGTGAATGCGCGTGCATACATAACAATACGAAGCTCAGTTCTGTGCAGGGTTATTTATTTTTTTCAACACCAATCAGAGCAAATTATCTGCATTATTATATATATTTATTTGCAACTGAAAAAAAGGAAGGCCGCAACGCTTAGTTGACAATTAATATGATTTATATGAATATTAATATATGTATAACAACTTTTTTTGTGAGTAGAAATCTGCTCAGCTCCTCAATTTCGGTTTATGCCCAAAAACAATGTTCTTAAATCTATTTGTTATCATCACCATTGCAAACATTTTAACCGCAAGTTGCCAATTTAAGAAGCTAAATAACGTATATGGCCCACACACGAAATGTAACAACATTTAATTTGCCAACAGTTAATATAACGTATAAATATAGACGTACCTATAATACATGCACGACGAAACCAAGATCGAATCCAATCCGTAACAAGCTTTAGTTATAATTCCTCTAAGCAACCGTTGACACCGAAGCTTATAATCGCACTGACTTGCCGGTCGATGGCAGAAATCGACGAAACGCCGGCACAAATGCTTGGCGGCACTGATTTGTGTTCTCTGTGCCGATCTTTCCACTTATCGGAATTGGTTATTCGCACATGAGCACTCAAAGTGTAAACACGCACTCACTTGCACAAACACACGCGCACCTGTCAGTGTTGCCAGTTCTTGAGTGTCGAGAAAGTTAGATCAGCAAATAAAAAGCTAGAAAATATCATTTTTATTGCTTTGATGCTGATAAAAAAAAAACTAAGCTCTCCGACTCACAAACTGTTTTGTTTCATTGACAAAAGAAAAATCAGTTTTAGCTATTCTTGAAGAACTTCATCTTTATTGGTATAAATTTGTTCAGCACATAGCACAACATAAGTATTATACACCTAATTCTGTTTTTACACGGTAGATTGGTTCCAGAAACAACCGTGTAAAAAAAGACATTGGTCATATGCAAAAAGAGGTGATTGGTTCCTAATCTCTAAAAAAATATATATGCAATTTTTAATTTTCAAACCGTGTTATATTAAATTCGTGTAGAAACAGAATTAGGTGTATATAATATTTAAAAGCAATATTCTCATGAACAAAACTATTTTTAAGCTATATCAATCAAATGAATGCTACATGATTGAGAGGTTTTTATGGAACGTCTGCATTTCAGTGTGAGCTGTCCTTGCTTCTTTTCTGGACTACAAGCGATAAATGCTACAAGCAAAAAAGTAGTTGTATCTAAGGTAATAATAATACAAACATATAAAGTATGTGTGAAACTATTGTACAGTAAATAGCAAAGGCATTTTAATTCTAGTATGAATTTTTGTACATCCCGTCAGTGGCAGCTTTACAATTTCAAACAAATTTCTTATCTGGTTGGAAATAGCTAAATTGACAACACTGGACCCGCTCCTCACTTGTGGAAGAGAGGAGAGCACTTATTGGCGGCCAGCCAGTGTCACAATAAAACGAGCAAAACATCTGGATTATCAATAGCCGTGCAAGAGAACATTTCAGTTCTAATCCCACTCCCACAGCCACAGACTAAAGACTTGCACTCACTCAAGAGCGCTCAGTATCTGCACTTACATATATTGGTTTAAAAAGAAGCTTTTTTTTTGTTGCTGCAACTTTAGCAAATATTTTTTGTGCTTTTAAAACGAGTCAAAATCGTTGCGGTCGTTGCCCTAATCGATGCAATTAAAACGTGTTCGCATGGAGGGGATCAACAGGGTTTGGTTTGTCTTTTTGCGACGCGTCGATCTCAGGAACAGCTTCGCTGAACTCTGTAAAGCTCATCAGTGAGATACACTCTGAGTTCAAAATTGAAAGAACTCAGTGGCGGACCAGAAATTCGTATCCTAAATGGGATAAAAATTACTCCTTCATATAAAATTGAAAATACAATACTTGTAGCTCTTCACCATAGCTCTGGTAAAAACTCCAAATGTTTTGTTTTTCAAGTTATTTTTTTTTTTGTTTTTAGTTACTAGATAATGGATATTCAAAATTGGAGAATTAAAATGTAATTACAATCAGATAATTATACGTATGTATGTATATCTGGGAAAACCGAACATCATAGAGTTTTATTTGACGGTTCTGCACTTGTTTTCATTTGTTAGTATTTTTTCTAAACATCCAAGTATGACATTAACAGGCACAGACTAGATAAAGGGAATTTATTTAAGTAACTAGTATGCAGGATTTGTAAATGTACATGGAAAGGAGTTCTAACAAGGTCGTGTGCTTTATTTTACATAAAAATTCTCGTGACCAGGAACGAGATAAGGAGCAATCCAATGGATGCTATAACACTTGCCGCATCATCGGTTGATGGGGGAGAAGGGGACTGGTATGTTATACGACCTTCCACTTCCGGATAGACATAATGCCGTTGCTCGAGATATTGAATTAAAGCTTGTTGATCATTCTTCTCCATGAGAATCGTACCCGGGTTGTCTTCCTCCGTTAAAATAAAGTCATCGCCACCTTCCAGCAGAAAGTCCGTCACAATCACGTTGTAGTAATCGGTTTCGTTTAGAATACTGTAAGAAGGAACCTCGCACTGAGCGCAACGAACCTCCGCGGAAAGCACACGTTGTCCATCGGGATTTTCGTAGTTATACTCAACACGGACTCCAGAATACTGTAGAAAACCACCATTGGAGTCTTGGCTTCTTACAGCTGCCGAATGTTCCAGAGCGTTTAACAACGTCTTTCCACTTATTTTGGTGACATGAAGTGCGTTCTCAAAAGGAAGTACGGTTAATATATTCGTACCGACTATAGAGCCTTCCGCATTTTTATCGATGCCGGAACGAATGCCTAAAAAGCACAGATTACATTTAATACGAGACTTTTGTGGTAGGATTATAAAAATAATGCCGACCTCCTCCCTGTATGAGTGCAATCGATGCATCTGTCCAGTAATCCCCACCCGCATTCTCCAGAACGCGCGCAAATATCATGGAGTCTGCAATTAGATTGCCGAGGTTACATTCGAATTTGCGGCAATATTCGCCACCCACAAGCTTGACCTTTGTGTATCCCACAGGGTCAGTGTCTAGTGCCTCAATAGTGGGACGATATACATCCAGCAATTGCAATAATTCCGCCTCTTGTGTCACTGATGCGTTCAATAAAATCGGCGCGCCATCAAATTCTATCAAATTGCCATCCTCGTCGAACTGCAGAGAATTTTTACGTGTATTACAAAATCCAATTACTTATAGCTAATAGCTTTAACCCACCTGAACATGAAGTTTTCCCAAGTACTTTGTGTAAGCATAGGCCTGAACAACTGGCACCCTTTTGCCACCTTGTTGTACCACTGTGGGATAGGGGCCTCGGATAACTTCGGAGGTTTCATTGGAGCCCTCGTCCTCAGTTTCGTCCACGGGCTGGTCACCAAAGAGGAATGAATGCGAGTGTCCACCAATGACAATGTCAACATCCAGACAGTTCTTGGCTATCTCCTGGTCTCTCTTATAGCCCGAATGACCCAAGGCAATTATAATCTTGATGCCTTGCTCCTTCAATTTGGCGGTTTCAGCACTAACAACGAAGTGTGTGCAATACTAATGGGATGCTCTTTGGATAGCCAATAAGCATACTTACTTGATTGCTACGATTTCATCCAAATATTCAACATCGTTTTTATACGTTAGGAATTTCGTGTCTGGCGTCAAGTAGCCAACAACGCCAATTTTAACGCCATTTGTCTCCAGGAGTGTCGAGCTAACCAAATGCTTGGTTGCCGCCAATTCGGGAACTTTCGTAAGATTCAAGTTGCAAGCCAAAACTGGAAACTCGACATTGTTGAGGAAAGGTATGAGTCCCTCCACATTCTTATCGAACTCGTGATTTCCAAGAGACTGCAAATAGAAGCATTACGACAATGATGAATAATTTTTCACAATTAGAATCAATCAGCAATACTAACAATAGCATCTGGCATTAGTTTGTTGAGGAAAGCGGTGGTTATGTTATCCTTAAAGACGGTGAACCAGGGGGTACCCGTATAGGTGTCTCCAGCGTTTAGATAGAATACCGGAGTTCCCCCATTTTGGGCTTCTGCGCGATATTTTCGTACCCTAAAATGTAATATTTAATGAATGCACTTAACAGCTAGATATTATGGGTGGGTGTACGTACTCATAGGCCACGCGAGCGAAACCACCGTAGCACTTGTCAGTATTGGCCTCCTCCGTAGAGCACGGTCCGCTATTAACATTTGTCTGCTCAAATCGGGCGTGCATATCGTTGTTGTGGAGGATTATAAATTCGGTGGCTACGGTGGACCTTTTGCTGATAGGATTAGCACTGATGCTGGCACTCAGCAACAATGTGCTTATTAGGAAGGTCCACCGATACAACATTTTAACTGGGCAGAAACCAATTGGTATTGTTTATTAATAAACAGAAAAATCAAGTGAAAGACGGCGAGCTCTTCCCTTTATATACTAAATATATATATATGTATTCGTGTAAATAGAGCACAAATTGGTACTTAATACATAGTCTCTTTTTTCGATGAGTATAAATAGAAACTATTTTTTGTGTCGACAAAAGTTTTGTCAATATCCAAGTACCTATACATACATACATATATTCCATGTGATGATAATAGACGAAACAAAAAACGAACTTGAAAATGTGGTATAATCACATATAATCGCTGCAATATATATTTTCTAATCAGAACCCTTAACTCTTTCCGGCATGCTCCAGAGATTACGGGATTCTACACGAGTTCCTTATTATAGTATCGAATTTTACAATTTGTCTAAAGTCGATATATATATGTATATGTAGCTCTCAAGATTTCATTGTTCTAGAACATATGTACGGACATATTGAAATTATTAATTGAAGAAAAAATAATAATCTAGTACCTATGTAGGTGTGCATATAACAATAGCACGTATTGATTACTTATCAGGCCTGAAATATGCCCCAAAATAAATTATTATTCGCACAAAATTAGTTAGTAAGCAATAATCAATCGCACATTGTATTTATTATCGTCAGTCCATCTGAATTAACTAACGGAAATCATGCCGTATATTCCCTTTACTACTCGTTATCTCAAAAATATCATACTATATGTTACATAGATTAGTAGGCACATACCTACATAAATACATATGTTTATTTATTAATTCTGCGAATGTACGAACTCATGGATCTGATGAAATACGCAGTAGGAAAATTCAATAATATTGGGTATATACTAATTATCTTTTTAAAACACTTAAGCGTTAAGCTCTTCTGCACACATAACTCCCAGTTTTAAGTTGTCGATTTGAAATTAAAAATCGTTCACTTTATCCTGAACCTCCATATACAAGTAGTCTGGCAATTCCTTCATGATATTTCCTATATGATATTTCATTGTAATAATTTGTACCACAAACAATTTAATTTCACATACCCTACAGTAGATGTAAGTTTAGATTGACTAAAAATAATCGCATTCTTTTGAAATTTAGTCAACCATGGGCTGAGTTTTATATTATTAGCACAGCTTCAAACAAAGTTCTAACCGCACAAGCTTTTAATGTATTATTGTATAACTATATTATTTATATACGTTTTTAAATAAATCGCGTGCAGGGTGGGTGAAACTTTACCACTAGACTCGTTTTACAGTAATATCGTACGAATTAGCTGCCATATAGTAGAATAGCTTGTGTAAGCGATATTTGAAATCCAATTTAAATCGGCGGACTATAACATGCAATTGTCATAAGAAAGAACACAAAAAACCACATTTTCCATATTGCGAACGCGCCAAAGATAACGTACTACTTAAATTGATTTTTTAATTAGTTTAAAGCATTTCACAGCATTTCTAAAATTATACTATTTAATACTTTTTAAACGTTCTTGCGACAAACGTTCTTGTGTCCGAAAGCGATCTCGGTGGGGGCTTTGGTAGCCGACGCATACAACAGGTTTGTGGCATCTGGCGTGAAAGTGAAACCTTGACACCATAAAGCATAATTTCTTTGCCGTTTGAACTCGGCATTGCTCTGTGGGGTTCCCGATCTCTCTCTCTCTCTCTTGAATTGTTGTGAAGAGAGTGCACGCGAAGAGAGAGAAAAACCTGAATTTAGCATGCGATCGCGACAATCACTTTGTTTTTGTTTTGTCTTTTTCTGCTTATATATGCATGTATATGCTTATTGCATAGTCGTTCGAAGTAATTGGAACATCGATTACAGAAATAAACTATATCTGGCCAGATTTTACTTACATGCAGTCAACACACGATCTGCTGGCAAACTGGCTCAAAATGAGTCGAAACCAACCATTTTACCTGCCACTGCCTAATTGTGTGAAGAGCGAGTGTGAATGATGGCGATAGCCGCTCAGGCAGTGCCAACGATTGGTAAGGGAGCTTCGGCTTCAGATAACAGCTGTGCCAACAACAACAACAACAGTTCCGACCACAGCACAGTTCCGCAGCAACACAAAACACAAAACAAAAAAAATCACAATGGCAATGCATATTAATGCTTATTGTCGTGTTAGGACATATATTTGCCAATAAGACATAACAGGGCTTATCACCGTCCACATGCGAAAGTTCTGGCGCGCTTATCGCCTGCGTCTAAAGGCAAGATAGCGGTTATAAATTTGCCAATAAGACAGGCTTATCAATCCAATCCACATGCGAAAATTCTCGCCTGAGTTTAATCACACTATTAAATGAGTTTGATGGCAGCGTGGCAGCGATCTCAGAGTATGACTGGCTTATCTAATTATCTCACTGTAATACAAAGCTATAATGATTATCTTGTCTATTCATATCAATATAAATGTCTTCCAACTCAGATACTAAATAAGTGTACTCGTGTTATCTACATACTTTTCAATTGTCATCGTATGGGGGGAAAGACACGACGAACGAAGGCTAGAGACGAAAGACACTAACTTTATTCAAATTGAGATAAAATACATGCATACACGTTATTAAATCATTTTAGTTGTTATTATTTCTGCGAGCTGAAACATTCATATATAAAAGCGTATCTGGCACTTGTACCACAACGTTTCAACGTTACTATTTATTCCAAATTTGAAGCACAACCCAGATTTAACAGCTTTGTCCAAAACATGTTGGCAATATTTTATATTTTTAAATGATAAGCCAGATTTTTGATTGCATTTATTTATTTTGTGCTTAGTCAATATATTTATTTTAATCAAAAATCACACGTTTATTTAACCTCCTTAATTTTATATCTAACCTTCTTTTGCAGTTACTAATTTGACGATCTTTAAATTTGGCGTTTTACTAAATTTGTTTTTAAATTTCATTTAATTTCATTTCATTCATTTTTTCATTACATTTATTTATTTCATTATTGGCTCATACATTTATGTGTATATTATTAGTTAACAATAAAGATTTTAGGTTATAAATTCTTATCTACTTAATTAGTTGGACAGTTTCTAATATGTAACAAAAGCGGGGGCAAAATTTGATCAAAAACCCATTTAAAATTACATTTGTTCAAATTGAACCAAAATTTGACAAACCTACTTACTAAAGTATTTAAACTAACCAGAAAAACAATATAATATTTTGCTGCAAATCAACTAAAACACCAAAAATTGGGAAACAATTATCTTTATAGTCTCCTATCTCTTTAGTCTCCTTTCAAATAGATATACAATAGCTTTGATAGGCTGTACCTTCGTACCCTCCACCTATTTATTATTGGGATACCTAATGCCAGCGAGCATTTTTTCAAGTTTGTAAAAGAGGAATTATGTTTGGCGAACAGGAAAGTATTCGAACTTTTACTAACTTTGACTCTAGTTCTAGTACAATTTTTTATTGGGTTTAAAATTTTAGTAATTCTTTTTTATTATTAATTAATTTTAGTAAAGTTAATAGAAAATTTAATTTCTATCTTATGTTTTCAAAACATAAGCTTGTTCAAGCTGATTAACTAATTTAATAAATTATCTCATTATTTATTTACTAGAATGTTAATTAAATAATATTATTATAAATAAATAATATTATATATCATTTAACTTTTTTCCACCAATACACCATTTGAATACAATCTAACACATGTGTATTACTCAACTTGAAAAGTAAAACACTTTTATTCTATGGGAACAGATCATACCCAGCACATATAGGTTAGAGAAAGTTAATTGGATGTGTTTTTAAATCGTACCCGATTTTATTTTCATTATTATTCATATATGTATTTCAATAATTGCTGAACTAACCCACCCAACTCTGGTTTTCAGTGTAGACGCTGAACTATTAAATGCACTTGCAGGTCAAACGAAGCACTCAACGCAGCCATAGAGGCCGGGCAAAGCGATAAGAGAATGAATGAGAAGCGTGCCAGCTGCCAACGGGTCGTTCGTTGGGCAAGCCAAGTCGATCTGCACCCTACGCTAAACTCAATTTAAAAAAAAAAACGAATATGTACTAGTTGCTGTAGCTTTGTTTACATCTGTCAAAAGTCGCTAGTAATACGCATTATATTAAATGAATTTCCAGTACTAATATACTAATACTTAATATTAAGTCACAAATAGTACAAGATCATCAAATTTGTATTGCTAAATATAAAATTTAGTCTAAGCCTTTAAATTAACTAAAGCTAAATAAAAACTATTTTTTCTTCAAAAATATCAAACTCAGGAATTAATTTTAAGAGATTCAACTATGAAGAGATTTTATTGATCAAGTGTCCAGAAATTTTACCATGAGGGCATTTCTGATTGCTATTTAAGATTTAATTTTACTTTAATTAAATCAACACTGAAATGGAAGACGGAACAAAATTTGTTTGATATTTAATTAGAAAATTATTCCAGTATGTTTTGGAATTTTATGATTGAAAACAAAAAAAAAAAAAAAAAAAAAAAACGAATGGAAGGTATTCAAAACACTTTTATTAGGGTGTATGTATTTTAATTTGTTAATGTTAACTGTATGTTAATTATTAAAATTCTAAAATTCAAATTTCTAAAAAAAAAATAAAAATTAAACTATATACACGCTATATACACATTTTAATAAATTAATAAATCTTTGAAGTAATTTTATTTAAAAATAAAACGCATCAGTTGATGATTTTATTATATTTTAAAAGCATTTTCATTCCATAATGGAATTTTAGTTAATAGCTTGAAGATATATAGTATATAGAAATAGAGGAATTACAAAATTCCATTTCCGAGTGGCAGCTTAGAGCTTTGTGTTTCCAATCCAGTACCTTTTTTAGTTCTGCATCTAGTTATGTAATATAAAATATTCCCTTTACCGAAAAAATGTTTTATTTATATTTGTGTACACAACTAAGCAATTATTTTCATAACACAACTAAATGTTTTTCTGCCAGATCAGCGTTGAATTTTGCGCCCATTTCTATAGGTTGTTTTGATTCCATTGTAGCGCACCTTTTAGCGTGATTAGCCGAGCCTAACCGGCGAAGTGAAATGGGATGAACAGACACGAGCGGCCTGTTGGCCACTACCTTATGGCAAGGTAGTACAAAAACAGAGGGCGAGGGACAACGAAGGGAAGCCAGATAGACTTGCGCTGCTGCATTTTGAGCGGAGAATGCAGAGGGTTGCTTTCCGCTTAGCACATGCACACATAAATATATACATACATACAAGTATGTATGTGTGTATGTGTATATCCTGGTGTATCCTGTTGCCTTCCTGCTTCAGCTGCTGGCATACGCTAACATTCAAACAGCTGCAACAATTTTTTTCCCTGTGGCTGTTGGTTGCCTTAATTTCAGGCGCGGAACAACATCCCCTAATGCCGCATGTCTCTTTTCCTTTTGGGGTTGGATTCCTGCTGCCGCAGGATCGCACAGCCTGCAACAGTTCGTGCCGAGTTGGGGTGCAAAAACATAGAGCTGTGCATTCGGTTTTCAGTCGCTGTGATCGCCAGGTGAACAGTGGTTGTGTCCAAGCATCAACGCTAAAAATTTCAAGCCAGCTCAGTCCCTTTAGGTGGAATAGCTTGATATTTTTTCATTTTGAAAAACAATTGGCATAGAAAATGTCTGGAAAACTCATCATGAAGCGTAAGCGGGCGGATCAACAGCAGACAAAGCGCCCAGATGAGGAACAGGAGAATGAAAACACCGCAGAAAAACGCCACAGGATGGATTTGGAGCTTAAGCCCGAGCCGGTGGAATCCGACGACGCTCCAAATAGTATATTATTCGAAGCGCTGAATAAAATCATAGAACTGCAGGCGGAGCTGGATGCGTTTGAGCAAGATTTGGACGAACGGGACGGCTTCGCAGACGATGCTGAGGAGGATGCTCATCTCGATGCCGAGGTGGCAGCCAATTTTGCGACGGCGCCACAAAGGAGCGATGCCGAGGCTTTAGGATTTGCAATGTGTGCGCGTGAAACGCTCCTATTCTTGCAGAGCGAGGGTGTGGATACGGAATCGGTGCTGTACAAGACCCTGCTGGGAAAACTAATGGGCGGAAGCAATGGACTGTTGCAGGCCTAATTCAGGCCCAACTCATTCTGGAATCCGCTGCTCTCTAGTCACTATGCTGTAATATCATTGCAAGCAAAGCCGGGCAAGATTTCGTGCACGCCGAGGCAATGCCGATAGCTAAAGCTTCCCTCTATAAATCCAGAAGGGACACCAGGATCGTAAGGGTGCAAGCAGTATAGAACTAAGGTTGTAAGTTTAAAGATATGTATGTATGTATGTTTACTCTAGTCATTATTGTCAAGCAATATAAAATATACTTATAAAACAATAAAAAAAAAATATATTTTCAAAAAATAATCGTTTATTACTGGCTGTTTTATTCCTCCGTGAATTTGTTGCTGGAATCAAACAATTTCAGAGCGCATTGGTAAGAACTTTTAGATACATTTATTATTATTCTGTTATTCAGTTTTGCATACAATAGTTTGTTTATAATGAGAATATCTCAATATATTATATTTGTTTTCATATAATTATTGTTGTTAGGGCGGGGCATTCTTTTAGTATTAGGTTTTCATCGTCTTCTCTTCGGCTTGGATAAGAACATACATATACTCGTATTTGTTTTTAAATTAATTGTATTTGTATTGTGTTTGATTTTATTATTTTTTTTATTTTAGTAATAACAATATTGTTTCTTTGCTTTAATAAATAAAAGTTGCATTTCAATAATGTGTAATATTATGCAAGTATTTGTATTTGTATTGTTTACAAATCTATTTATATATTTAAGTTGTTTTCAACAATTTAACGTTCATCTGGTTTTAAGTAAATGTTCCTTACATTTCAATTTTAAAGCAACAATTTGCTTATGTGGACAATATATTCGTTTACGTTTTTATTATATTCTTGGGGAGCCATAAATATATCAGCAGTTCGAAAGTAATATATAAAAAAAAGAATGAAAACAGAGTTTCTTAATTTAAAATTTATATAAATTACAAAATTAGGCTCGCAATATAGCGTATACTGGTATCTATTTGCTTCTTGCAAGCCATAATAATAATTGGGTTCTTTTTTTTTTTTGGTAAGCTGCCAAAGTCCTTAAAAGGTTTTCGTACACACTTTATACAATTTTTAAATTCCTCGCTTACTAATACAAATTTTGGCACAGCATTGTTGCAATAATATTTAAATTCGCTCAGAGCTACTACATTAAACGAATCATGGAATCATACGAAATAATTTCTAACTTTTATCAAATTTACGTCTTAAGCATTCGAGGGTCTGTCAAATAAATTAAATTATAAAACTAATTTTGACAAAAGAGATATAGAAGATATTTTTGTTAATTACTGTTTGACTTTAGTTTGATAATATTATATTAATTGGGTAACCATTATCGATTGTTTATTTAAATACTGTAGACACTCAGACAAAGAAATATACAAGTAAATACCGAAAAGGCATTAACTATTCGGCTTATAATTAGAATACAGATTTTGTGCGTATAACAAATGAACAGGCTGTATAAACCATAGTTTGGAGTGGATGATAGAAATGAATTGATATACAGAGGTTTTCATAATTTAGCTAGAGGTCGGAAATGATTTCGAGATAGTGGATTTTAACTTCTAGAGTCGCTTTGTCCGAGGTTATACTATTGTAAGTACATAGAAATTCGTTTAATAATTTATTAATATTTGTTGTATTGATAAATATTTGTTGAGTATTATGAGTAGTTTATGTATTTTATTTTCTTTGTCGTACCATTACCTCTAGTTTGTTAAGTTTGTTTATTGTTTTATCTTTTATATAATAAAGTAATCATTTGCAGCGTTATCCACATATGGACTAAATCTCACAATCTCTGCCTACCTACACCTTACGTTCGTTCGTTTGCATATTAATAATTATTGTTTATCAGTTATGGTATAATTCACGCCATTTGCGGTGAATAATATATACTTGTAGATATATGCATTAAATTGAAATGTATTTGTATGCTTTATCATAGTTTTAATTACGCTTGGTAGGTTAATGTGTCTTTTTAGGTAATCTTATTGTATTATTTGTGTATATTATTAAAGTATTTGATTAAGAGTTGTATTATGTATGCATGAATTGAAGTATTGTTGCAATACTTTGGTTTTAAATTAGTACATGGGCTTATTATATTTATATAATTCGTTTATTTACGTGTAAATATTTTATATTGTATGTATATAGATATATCATTTCTTGTCTGTTATTTCTCAAATGTATGTATGTGTATATATATGCATATATAAATAAAATTACTTTTTAAATGTGCCCTCTTTTTAAGTTTAAGTAAGATTTTATATTATTATTATTTAAATCTCATAGATTTGTTCTCTTAATCCGCATATACTTACTATACATATAAATTTTTAAATGTCATATTTTCCGACTGTTTTATGTCATATATGTATGTATATGTGTGTGTGTGTATGCGTGTATATTGAAGTCATTTTTGTTTATATATCTGAAAATATCTCACCCAACTTATAGTTGAGCTTGTGTTCTTGTTTATTTAACGCTTTTACATATCTCCAAATAATTTATCAGTTATTTAGACTCTTTGAATATCTTAAAGATGTTGGTTGCTCTTTGTGTAAATATAGATTAAAAAATCTGGCAATATATCCTTGACACATTTTTGTCGTACGTCCGTTCATCAGCCAAAGCAAAGTAAAATTTCAATTTGTAGACCCAACTTCATTCTTATCCATCGTTTTCCGTCCACTCAAAAAAATATATATTTATATGTATGTATTTGTATGTATGTACATAGTATATATATATATATATATATATTTGTATGTTGTATATAAGTATGTTGTATATCTTAAGGATTCCTTCTGTTTGTAAATACTCTTCGCTCAACGCACATGCATTTTTGTTGTGTACAAATAATCTGTAATGTTTCTTATTTTTTGTTTCTTATTATTTTGTAGATATTGATTTAGCTTTTTCTATATTTTGTTGTAGTTTTCAATATTTCAGATTTAGAAAAACTGCACAGGAAAAAATGGTAATTTACCAATATGAAGCGAAGGGTTAGCAGGTCTGTAAAAGAATGTAAGTAGTTTGTTTTTAGAGAAATGTCAATTGTGCTGTTGTATGGATTATGTTGTGCATGGATTTGCAAATAAACAGTTTTATGACGATGCTTTATGAGTATTTAAATGCACAATTTTAAAGATAAGAATGTATCATGAAACTGATTTATTTGCAATTAAGAACGTCGAATAATTTCATATCGGGTGTTTAGGTGTCGATATCATGCTTAAGGAATCCGGGAGGACTTTTTGGGGGTAGGCTGTGTTCTTTATAATTGTGTATGTGATATATTTTTGATCTGGTTACGAATTTAGTACCTTACTAATAGCATATTGGGCGTTGCTGAATTTGTGTTGCTGTTTTTGCTGCTTAGTGTGTGATTGCCGAGTGTGCCACTGACGGCCATTGTTGCATGATTGGCTCCAGTCAATGAAGCACCACTTGTGGCTGGGTCCAGAGTATACGATGATATTGAAAATGTAGTCATAGTCACATCAATCGAGTTATTATTGTTTAAGTGGTTGTTATTATTGTGGGTTGATAGCTGCGGTGGGAGATTTTGTTGTGGGTGTTGTTTTTGAAGCAATGTCAGCGGTTGTTGTGAATGCTGTTGTTGTTGTTGCTGTTGATTTAGCACAAAACGGTTGTTAGTATTTTCGGATTTATTCGGGTTTTGGAGACGATTGCCATCATCAGGATTTGCTGATGTAGTTACCTTCATGTTGCCATTGCCATTGTTGCTGCCAGTGGAACCATAAATCAGATTTGGTGGTTTAAAGGAATTGTTCGCATTCTTGCCATTGTTGAAATCATTAATTTTATGGCTGCATACAAAATTAGTTTTGGTGTTGTTGTTGTTGTTGCTGTTATGGGCGTTCATGTTCAGGTTGTAGGGTTTGGGGGTCGAATTGGCTGCACTGTCTCCGCCACTCATGCGTCCTACGGATGGTTTACAATATGCTGTATTGGTTGGACCCAGCAAATTTCACCTATTAACGTGGCTGCGATTGTGATTGAGGCCCGAGCCACTGTTTGGATTTGATTGAGCCCCCCCACCTCCAAGGCCGGCATTTGCTAAAATGATTTAAAATGTTAGTATGCAGGTGCAAACAAAAGATACATTTCAAACAGACCTCCATACACTGGTGAATGTTGGTAATAGTCCCGCCGACCGTATTCCGGTTCATATTCTTGAGTGTCGTAGTGCCCACCTCTGACGCCGCCACCACCGCCAATGCTTCCGACTCCGCCCAAAATACTCGTGGGAGGGCCGTGTGGTCCGTGGCCATGTACGGTGCTATGTGATCCATATGAGTAGGTGTCGTAGGACTGATGTGGATCATATCCAATCCCATCATCGTATCCACGACTATTTTGTTACATACCAAACGTAATAATTAAAAAAAAAAATTAATTAATATAAGATCTGCGCACTAACCCGTAAGTCTCGTCCATAGCAGTTCTAGCTTTCTCCAGTATGGACATGACCTTTTGCTTTGGTGCAAGCACACTTTTACTAAACGATGTTTGTTGCGGACCCCTGCAGTTGAAAGATACATCCAATCACACTTAAGCCGGAGCATCTTAAATAGCAGTATTACTTACCTGTAAGTATGATGTGCTGAGTTTTTGCCCATACCACTGTTTCCGCCTCCACCGCTACCTCCACCACCAGCCACTGAGTTCGTCATTGCGTTTCCAACTCCATTTCCGCTCATATGTTGCGTTTTTTTGAAAGTATTCTTTGCATCGGCATCATTTAGGCTGGTACTGTCCATTAATTCCCGCAGCTGCTCCTGTCGTATGATATCATTGCTGTCGGGTATCAAATACTTGCGCAGCTCGGCCATGGCATAGGCAATTCGAGCGTATGCCTCTGCGGGCGGTGCAATTGTAGATATTTCTACATGCAGATCACTGTTCAAATGGGCATACTTTGGGTCTTTGGAGCTGCGTAATTCCTCTTCTTTAACCCGATCACGCATCGAATTCCGACCGAGCACCGTCATTTTGCAGAGCGTCTCTTCTTGGAGGCGTCGCAAGGAATTGCCTTTGGGACCTAACAACTTGCCCACAAAATTAAACTGCAAACAATGCCAAACAAGAAGGTGTTAGATACATATAATGAGTACGTAGAGAAGGTTACTTACTTTTGGATGCTCTCGAATAGGCACCAGAACACGCTGGGAAATGCGCAAGGGCTTTTCACGATAGATGTCTGCATACTTTTGATCCCGCGATGGTATGCGCCCTGTGGTCTGTACTTTTTCAATCTCTGCGAACGAAATAAAATGTTATTTATAAGTAATCTACAGAAATCTTTATATTGTTGCTTACCGCCCTCCAAGAGCTTCTCGCTGATGGGATATTTTCTGTCCATTCGATTCTTTTCTGCCATACAGTCCCGTATATATTCGTTGGCTTTTTCATTCAATTGTACGTGATCATGCGTGGAACTGTCGCCGTTGGCTGTGCCGACGCAGTTCTTGCGCGGCTTCCCTCCATACTCGTTGTCATCTTCATTGTATGTAGAATAGTCGCCGTTGCCGTCGTACTTTTCGGTCATAATGTTAAGCTAGGGTCTCGGGGACGGCGACGACGGGTGGCTGTTGCTCAAAACTAAGCAGGATGCGGCAGGAAATGGGCAAATGACTTATGACTTTATACAAAAGGAACCCAATAAGGCTAGAATATCTGAAAACCAGCAAACGTTTTTTAATGGTCTTCGTATCAACAAATATATGCATTTGTGTATATGTATTGGCATTTATGTATGCATGTATGCCTAATTCAAATTAAGTTGGGAGTATACATACATATTTAATACAGCGATGGATGGAACGCGGGACGCATATTTTGTTTACACCTCGCTCGCAGTACAATAATATATTAATATCCAATGCCTAAGTATTTTTTTGTTTTCGAAGCCTATTAAACTGGTATTGCCGCCCGCTCCCTGCTTATTAATCTGCGACTCTCCTGCTGCACTTTCACTTTTCACTGTGGGGACGCAGTTTTTTCACCTATTTTTTTCTGTATTCGTACTCCCCGCTGCAAACTGCAATTGCAATTGCACTAACACAGAAAATGCTGCTAATTAACTTATGACGCACTTAAGTGTCAAACTATTGTTGGTAATTATAATGCAAATCGACATTGTTGTTACCTTAAATAAATTTAAATATGGTGCAAAAATTACCAGTTTCTTGCAACTTTTTTCCGATAAACTTGCTCTTTTAGATTTGCCTCAATCAGCTGTTCCATATAAAATGAAAGATACATCCGATTGCATTTGCCTCTGTGCTACAGGCACACGATTATGGTTCCGATGTTTTTAGTAAGTGAACTACATCAATAAGTCGATATACTGTAAATAAAATATCGCTTGTAATTCTTCCATCCCTAGCACAAACACAATCTTCCACCAATTGGGTGGCTAATACGCTTGGAAATGAGTGATTTGCTTTGTGTTGAAACTCCGGCCGCCCCCGAATGGCTGTCAAAGCTCGAGAGCCGCCGCGAATTGCTGAAGAAATCAAAGCTAGGCCATGAATCTGGAGCAGGCGCACCCTGCAATGTCTGCACACATTGTCCAGGCTTGGACTTGCATTTCTGGCGCAAGGTTCATATTTACAATTTTGTAATCAACCAACTAATTTATTTATAAATGCATTTCATCAATTGAAAAGGTGTGCAAAATTTGCAAGTGCCGCAGGGATGAACACATGGTAACCGATGAGGCAACGGGTTGGGCGCAATTCGAAATATTAGGCCAAATTCGAGCAAAGCCTGCATATATAAAAATCAAAGCTTTGGCCAGCCAGCCGGTGCAATTGGAGTGGGTACCGCCAAACACTGCACCTGACGTAGTCTCCGATTATATGCAAGCTCTGCTGGGCACTGCAAATGGTGTGCCAGTGCTGGGCAGCGACGCAGCTCAAAAGCGGAAACAGCAGCTAGAGTTTCAAGTGCCAGCGCATGACTTGGACGCAATGCTCTGCGATAACCTTACGGAGAATGAAGCGCAGCAGATGCAGCAATACGTACAGAAATTGCGCGAGCAATGCGTCGGTCAAGGCACAGTGGTTCGTGTTGGCAAACTTGTGCATGGGCTGGTGGAACACGTTCCACCCACTGCATCAACTTCCTTGTCACTGGGTGTGTCGCATGCTGCTGACGAGACTCTTAATAATCTGCTGTCCAACGTAAAATTAGCTGATGCCCTTTCGAGTCAACATCCGCCTCAGGCACAAACAAAACTATTTGTGGCATTCTCTGAACCTTTAACCGAATCGACGGCCGATTTTGATGAGCATGCGGCATTGACACCACAAACAAGGGAGAAACTGGTGGGCATTAGCAAACCTGCGCTACAAAGCCTGGTCACCCACGGTGTTATCTACGACAAAGTGTTAGCCGCTTTGAAGGTGAGTATTATTGCACATATTTATTTATTTTCGACTAATTCCATGTGTTGATTTGATAGGATAAGAATTTAAATATTACGAAGGATCCAGTCCTGGGTCCCATAGCAGAATTTCGCAAGGAGTACAGCAGCAATCCGCAGTTCATGGCCGAGATCAATACTATATGTGCGCAGCCATTGTTAGCAACACCTCTGAAGTCTCAACAAACGTTATCATCGGGAACACCATTCAATTCGCCATTGCCACTCAAAAATCCGGTACAGGCACGTTTTGGGGCACAAATGCGACAGGATACGCCCATACGTCGTGTCAAATTTGGCGGAGTTACCACCGTCGTCTATGATTGTGGACTACCCACGCATATTAACTACGATAAGGATCCCGTATTTGCGCAAATCGTGAATGCGGAGCCCTTGAAACAAGCACTAAATGATGTGCGTTCAGGACGAAAGCCCGAAAATGTGATCATCAACTCATCGCCGACACCCACTGCGAATCTGAACCAACTGGTGGGCTTGAATCCAACAAAAAAGACTCAAATCCAAGCTGTAGGTGTGGACAAACATATGCTGCACTCTGCCCTGGCCAACGCACCCTACTACGAACGTCTTTTTCAATCCCTGCAAGACAAGGGCATTAAACACGATAATTGCCAGCTTTTGACACCGATGAAGCAAATGCACGATTGGCTTCTCAACGACGAGGAACTGCTCGAAGATATAGAGAAGGTGTTTGCGGACATGGCTAACGCAGCCGGTGGCTCTGATGTGTCATACGGCACTAAACCTTACGGAGATCTGAGCAATTCGATCAGTAATGACTCCGGATTTCACTCGAAAGCATCGACGCCAGGCTATGGTAGCGAGGATGTCACTATTAACGCTGGTTTAGGTAAATTTGCCACAATTCCGGGCATCGAAGATATGAATATGTATCCAAATTGCGCGCCCATGTCGCAGCAGTTCCAACAACTTCAACTGGGCGAGGACAAGACAAGCAGAGGTATGTTGGGATATTTTACATTAGGAACTTATTTGTTTCATGCCAGGATTTTCTGTGTTTAGACACGCCAACCATGAGCTTACCCACAGTCAACTGTCGAGATTGTAATTTGCCGATCAAATTCGGTGAAGTGGCCGTCAAGGCTGAACGTGCTGGCAAGGACATTGCCTGGCACCCGGCTTGCTTCAAGTGCCACAATTGCCGCGAGCTTCTTGCCGACTTGGTTTATTTTTTCCACCACGGCCAGGTCTATTGTGGTCGTGACTTGGCCATTAAACTGAAGATTCCCCGCTGCAAAGCCTGTGACGAGCTGATCTTCACCAAGGAATACACTGCCGCCGAGGGTGCCACATTCCACATCAAGCATTTCTGCTGCTACCACTGCGACACACCCCTAGCCGGCCAGCAATACATTCCAGACGAGAAATCCAACATGCCCCTCTGCCTGCAATGCTACGACAAATTCTTTGCGGTCGCCTGCAAGCGCTGTCAACTACCCATTGGACCGACTGATCAGGGCGTGGCTTGGGGCGATATACATTGGCACGGGCAGTGCTTTATGTGCGCTGGCGCACAGTGCCAAAAATCGCTGATCGGAGGTCGATTCTGTGTGAAACAAGAGATGCCCTTTTGCAGTCCCGCTTGTGTGCGCAGCATTATTCAGCAGAAAATCTAAGTTCGGAGAACGGACAGTATTTAAAGTGATCGCACAAATATGCACATGCACAAATTAAATGCCTTTAATCTTAGCAGCTAATGGTCCCCCTTTTGGGTCTGAGCTGGTAGAGATAGTGAGTGCCTAAAAAAGTATTTTATAGATGTTTAATCATCGCAATGCCAAGTATTTTAATACGATAATCTACACTGACTTTTATAATACGCACTGCATTTTTAAAGGAACAAACATTCATATTTATACAAACGTTCTATGTATTTATATTTTTACAATAAACAGTTTTTAATCAAAAAATCTGTACGTAAATTTTTCAGTGCACCTAGAAAATCATAAAAATATAAAGTTTTTGTTTCTATTGATGGCATTTGTCAACAAAAGCTCTTCATCTGAAGCATATGATTGCTCACAGCATCGAAAATTTCCCGATTTTCATTGGACAAATGCTGACTAAATTCCCATAAAGAATGGAATGGAAAATATCAATCATTTTTGGGGTAAAACGCCTCAATTCTTAGATATCGACGTAAGCGCTAAAAATAAAAATTTTCCGGTATAGATTCTATTATAATTTGTTTTCTACATTACAACCAAAAAGAACTAGACCTCTGTAATTAGAAACACTCCATTTTAAATATTTTGAATGACGCACATCAGAGTTCGCCCCAAAAAATGACATCAACCGATTGTTATAAATGTTTTATCATCATGAGTTATACGTCTAGCCCGCCGCGCCTTAATTAATAGCGTTCAGTTGATCAGATTAGAATACACGTACTATACCTAGAAAATATTTAGTCCCAGAAAGTTGTATCCACTTCGTTACTGAATGATTACAAAAGACAAGTTTATGTTTGATTTTTTACGTATTTGATGGTAATTTTTATTGGTAGTTGCTTTTTATTAATTAATTATAATAATTCCATTTCTATATGTATGTATAAAGTTTATTTATTTTTTTTTTGCTGACATTTTGAGTTCTTTGCAAAAGCGAAAAGGAAGATAATCACATCATTTGCCAAATTGAAAAATAAGAGGACTCATTTTAAAGGATACTACTTTCCATAGATCTTTTTAAAATAGTTAGTTCCTCGCAAATGTCTGCAATTTGCTGAGTTCTTTCTTCACTAGGAATCCTTTGATGAAGTTCTAAAGTTATTTAGTGGCAAAAGGAGCGGCAACTCTGACCTATACTCCCTTCTATTGCGTTTGTTTATTTTTTTAAAATTAATTTTTTTGTTTCATACGCGATCCAAAAATTGGTTCACATTTATCAGTTTTCTATTGGGTTTTTTTATTTCAATATGATTCCTATAATTGTTTCGATTTATCATTAGTTTTTGATCTTAAATTAATACTAATTTGCTTTTGTTGCTTTTCTTGTTCAATATGTTTTAATTACATTGATACATAATATTATAAGTATGGTTTCTGGTTGTAAACATTTTCACATGATAGGATTTATAATGTGTGTTTGTGTGTGTGTGTGTGGGTGTTTGTTTAATGCATTTTTCTACAACAAAAACTATGCCTTAAAATAATACTTTAGTTACAAGTATATTTACTTGATTTGAAATAATTTTGTTCGAGTTATTTTTTTCGTTTTGTTTCTTCTAATTAAAAACAATCAACAAAAGGAATTCAAATTTAAATAAATTGGTTGTAACTAAGATGGGGAAAACGATAACTAAATATATGTAGGTCTAAACTTAGGAGAGCATAAAAACATTAATTACAAAGCGGCATGGCAACACTGGTACGCAGGGTAATGGTGTTGTCACGCGTGGCGTGCTGCGAGTCTTGAGTCGCGCGTTATTGGAAAATCTAAAAGCATAAACTAAATCCATGTGTTTGCGGGTGTGGCCAGGTCCTCCCCAATCCAAAATCCCGCCTATTGTTACACACATCTTAAAGCTATACACAAAAATGTTAAGTTAGTGTATTTAGTTTCTTAGTATCTCTTCATTTTTTTTTTTTTCATTTTTTAAATCTTCTTTAAGCGAAACGCTCTTTTGTCGTACAGTCCAGCAGGAATATCGCATATCCATTGAGGTGTTGCGGGGCTTACAAATAGGATCAGGTCAAACGGTCTAACAGTCAAACCGAAGCTTTTTGCTTCTGCCAACTTGTAGAGAGCAGGACGCTAACGCCTAAAGTGTAAGCCGACAAATAAACTTATATGCATTTTCGAGTTGATTTCTAGCCAGGCCGGCTATCAATTTCACAAAACTGTCTCGCCCCTCCCTCTGGCTGCGTTCCTCTTCAGTCGCTCGCTCATCCAACGGCCGTCAACAGTTCGTATAGACGCCTTGGGTGTAGTACAGCTCCGTTATGCGTTCCGGTAGTGTGCTATACAGGTTGGTGATCAAATCGAGCGGTAGACGTGACCACGCCTCTCGAATGCGAAATATCAAGTCGTCCTTGCGTGAAAATTTGCGACCGCCGTCGAAGACCTCGCGTATAAGCCAGCCCCAAATATTCTCCATGATGTTAAGGTCGTGCGCAATCGTTGGCCATTTCTGCGTCTTTAGGCCCTCGGCATTGAGCAGATCCTGGGCGGTAGGCAGCGCATGTGACATCCAATTGTAATCCTGCACAATGAAATCAGTGTTGCCGCCCAGCTTGCTAATAATGTTGGGTCGCTCGCGCATAATAACTTCGATGCAGGATTCAGGTCGTTGCTTAGCCGTGGAGACCTCCAGATGCAAGGCGCCACCAATGCAGATCATCAGATAAATGTAGACAGAGTTACCGCGCGGTCTCTGGGAGAGCGTGCGTTCATAATTGCGCAGATCGTGGAAGTAGTAGGAGAAGCCATCGGGTCCGTCCAAATTGAAGCGACGTTCGTCGTGGAATATGACGCGACGCCAGTGCTCCTCGCTCCAAACAATATACGTGTTAGCAAAGTTCAGTCGCTCAGATTGATTGTGGTGCGAGAGTACGGGCTCCGTCTTCAGTTTCTTGGCACAATTCGCAGAGTTGGAGGAAGATGATGATGATGACGACGAGGATGACGACGACGACGATGAAGATGACGACGAGGATGGCGTGCAGGTTCCTGTGGCTGCGCCAGTAGCTGCGCTCGCGTTTGCCGACGCTCGTAGCAGTGCGTTTGCAGCTGCCGCTATATTGGTGCTGCTATTGGCGACCGCCATGTGCGAGGCACGTGGTATGGTGGTGGGCGATATGCTCGAACTATTTGACTGCTGGGTGGGCGCATGACTGGACGCCGTGCCCCCTGTGCTCGAGCTAGCTGCTGAGAAATTGGAGTTCTGGTTAAGAGCGTGCACGGGCACATGGCCCTGCACCTGCTGCTGCTGCTGCTGTTGATGCGAATGCTGATGTGATTGGCTCTTGTGTGGATTGGTGTGCGTGTGGGCAGCAACATGTGTGACCGCCGTTAGCTGCGGAGGCGGCTGCTGTTGATGCTGCTGATAGTATGGATGGTGATGATGGTAGCTGATGTGCTGTTGATGCTGGTGAATTGTTGGTTGCTTCAGCTGCAGCTGCTTCAGCTGTGTCTGCGACTGGGCGAGCAATTGTTGTTGCTGTGCATGTGCAGCCGCTGCTGCCGAAGTTGTTGTGGCTGGCGCCTGCTGCGCATAGCTGCCAGGATGCTTTAGATAGTAGTGCAGGGCCATTAAGTTATTGGCACTATTAGTGGTGCCTGTCGCTGTCAGGGCGCTCGATACAGCGGGCATGGCTGCCCCACCGCCGCTCACGAGCTGCACTGTGGCGGCGGCCCCCGAATGAGCGTGGGCGTGGCTGTGTCCATGGCCATGTGCGGCCGCTGCTGCAGCAGCAGCTGCTCCTATGGCGCCTGCACTGGCGGCCAGTTGAGCGGCTGCTTTTGGATCATAAATGAGCTTGTTGAAATTCTGCAAGTCATCAGGACTGAGCACTAGCGTTTTCATTTGGAGTGTGTGTTTGTTGTTTGTTTGTCCTTAATATGGATGCGATTGCACTTTTTTAATAAAAATTATTTTGATTATTTGGAGTGCAGTTGCTTTGCCGTTTCTGCTGCTCTTTCAAAATCGATGACGAGCTTGCGTTGCATATATGTATGTATTTCTGCTTCTGTTTTCTGAGCGCGATGTGGTAACTCGCTCAACAAGTAGTGGCCTCCAAACTCGCTGTTCTGCTCAGCAACGCTCAGTATTGACCAGCTTTCAGCTCACTCGTTCGCTCACAAGCGTTTCGCAAATTCAGCTGTTGTTGCTGCTGCTCGAATTTGGCTTTTTGTCGTTGATTACGCACGCGTACGCGTACACGCACACGCACTTTCACGAACACGACTGCTGCCTCGCGACTGATGGAGACGACGACGACGACGAAAACGATAGCGACAACGACGACTGGCAGTGATTTCCAAATTCGATGTGCGTCCAAATTGTATTAACGGCTGTTAAGCAACAGACAGCACAGCAACCTGTCTCGCATGCGCACTCTCAGCTTACACCTTCGTTATCAACGAACGAGCGAGCGAGCGAGCCAACGTACGAACGTCGACTCCAAAAGGGCTGAGATCTGATGATGGCGATGGATTGAATTCAAGCAGTGCGACGACGTTTTCAACAACTCGCCTTGGTTGCCTGTCTGCCTGACTGCCTGTTTGTTGGCGTTTCGTTGTTGTTTCTGATTGCAAAACTCTCTGCGACGTCGTAAAAAGATGTCGGTTTACTTTCCCACCGTTTGTTGACGGGCACGTACGTGCGAGTATCAGTGTGTGTATGCGTGTGTGTGTGTGTGTGTATGTTTGCGAGTATGCTTGTATGGGTACGAGTGCGAGTGCGCTGCTGGCTCTTCCAATACGTTATCCTCTTTTGTTGAAGTGGTTTTTCTTGTCGCTGTCGCTGCAGTCAGTCGCCGCTGTTGGTTTCTGTGCAAATGTTTCCTTGTTTCTTTATTCTGCGTGCCGCTGTTGCTGTGGTTGTTGTTGTTGTTTCTGCTGCTGCTGCTGTGGCTTTTGTTGTTGCTTCGGCTTTTAGGTATTCATTCGTCGTCGACGTCGATTTACCTGGAATAAAATAAAGCAGGTATGTGAAAAAGAGTCTTGTTTCACACTTTGCATTGTGTTTTTCAGACACACACACACACACACATATATATACAAATCCGTCCCTACGTCACAAATACATATGCAGCCCAAGTACAATATATTGCTTATACTTTAGACTTGCATGCAATGAATATTCGTGTGTGTGTGTGCATGTGCTTCGGTGTGTGTGTGTGTGTTAACTCCAATACTCAAACATGTATTCAATATTTTTTTTTTGGTGAAATCAACACAATTTGCTGGCCGCCGCCTCGCACTAAGATCGTCCACAACAATTTCTGAACATCTGTTCGAGCGACTCAGATTTCAAGTCCCTGGCAAAAGTAAATAAAAGGAAGGTCTGCTGTACCAGTTGCCAGTCGCTTCAGTCCTCGTTTGTATGTCGTTGCATTTTTGTCTTCTCTTCAATAATGAGAGCACACACAAGTGCAGCCGTTTTATATATGTTTATATATCATACATATATGTGTGCACACACACATATATTCATAAAAACATACATATAAATTTTGGAAATTTCGGCATTTTGATGTTTTTGCAATTTTCACTTGCATGTAGTGCAAATTTTCTGTTATTTTATTTTTTGTGTGCCTGCTTGTTATTGCCTGACACTTTGGGCTTTCTGCTTGGTGTTCCCATTAGCGACCGGGAATGTTTATAAGGAGGAAACAAGTGGCCGAAATTAAAGATGCATGTGTGTAGAATAAAATATATACGAATATGTACATACTACATGCGAGTACATACAATAAGTACACATAAGGAGGTATATAAATGCATGCACAGGTGCAGCAGCGACTGGGATAAGGCAGATGCTAGAATATCTGCAATAATAAAATACATAATAGAAATATCAACAAACGCGCTGTCTTTGGATTAGAATTAAGAACGATGTTTACATCCTGAACGAAACTGTTCTTAAAAGCAGGGAAAAAATGATAACGATACAGAGAAGAGTCATCAATAATAAATGAATCATAAAATTAAAAATAAATCATTTACTTTACTTTTATGGTTTCGAAATTATAGCTGTATAACGTACTCGTTTTAAATATTTTTGCAAAAAAGTCTCTAGTCTAGATAAATAAATAATATAAATTTAAAAATTGCACCTATTGTTTTTTTTATTGAAACAGGCTTGAACCTATTAGAGTTGACCTGCCATATACAAAATCTACACATGCATAGAACCACAATGGCAACTTCGTTACCCCCTACTTATATGATATCTTCTCCACTCCTTTTATACACAATTGAACTGTCAAGGAACTCCTATGTTTCAACGACCCTATAAATTCGAATTTCATGCAATCTTGTTCTCAGGTTTATCATTTTGACCTTATTTGATATAAATGTAGGGTTGATGACCGCCTTTCGGGATAAGAATCAAATATTTACTGGTTCGATAAAGAGTGTTTTTATTCAACGTCAATAATTAACAACCAGATATCTTGGAGTGCATTTGCTTAAAAAACTTTTAAAAATTTGTGTTTTGTTTCAGGGATTGGGTATTTAAGAGTTGAGCCCATTCATTCAATATTCCTTTCTTGTTTATTTTAAAAATGTGTTTAAGGTTCTTCAGTTTTAAGGTGATTTGTAATGTTTTCAGAACATAGATTTGTATGATTACCATCAAAATTGTTGGATAACACACAGAACAGATAGTCACGATTTTAAGAACCAATATGAAATTTAGTTGGTAACTCAAAAAAATACTGGTATCTATTATTTCTCAGAAATATATTCGGAAACAATCACAATAAGCACGTACGGTCGGCGATGCTTTCAGTTCAGAAACTAGGAACGTACGGGTACACCCTTTGCGAAGAGTATTTCGTCTAATCTATGCGATAAAAACCTGTTCAATTAAGACTAAGAAAACGTTAAATTAGAAAATTGTACGCATTTCTCCTGTCGGTTGAAAGTAATAATTAAATTTCATATATGTATCTAAAGTCTGCACAACGGGGATGAAAACCAGTTTGACTAAGCAAGGGAAGAAAGCTGCCGGGCATTTGCCTGTTTGAGAGCTTGAGTTTGTGTGTATGTGTGTGCGTCTGTATCTGGCGGGTTGTTGTTGTTCCTGTGCGGATGTCAACTGAAGGACTGCTGCCGCTGTTGCTGCTGTTGCTGCTGCTGCTGCAGCGGCAAAGTCGGTCGATTTCAATCGAAGGGAGTGCAGCAGCTGGGGGCAAAAGTTACATGGGGACGGTCATCGGGTCGAAAGTTCAGTTTCAACGCATTTGATTAAAATGGCAGGCTGAAATATTGTGCAGACAGGAAAAGTAAATAGATACGCAACTACATATATATATATAAGGTGTATATGTATGTAGTTACATACTTCTATACATATATACCAAGTATGTATGTTTAGATACGTAATTGTTTAATTGCTTCTCAGTCGCAGTATTTTATTATGGCTTGCTTTTAAAAGCTTTCAAAAGATTTACACACGTATGAATGTACACATCTACATACATGTGTATGTATGTATGCAGGGCGTACATATGTTTCTGTAGGTATGCGTCTATATACGAGCAAGTGTGCAGTGACTCTTAGCTTATTTGTAGCAGTTAACAATTGCAAATTGCAAACATGTAAGGGCTATAAAACAAATTTTCGAACAATTACACCCCATGTGGGAAATTCATAAACTAATGATGATTTAAGGTACAAAATTGCAATGAGTATTTTTTACCTAGTGGTTTGGTATATTGTTCTCCATGAAGGAATCAGAAGCACTCTATTTCAACTTCATTAGGATTATAGAAAACCACAACTAACTTGACTTTTAAAATGGAATATAGAGTTCTAATTTATAGTATTGTCAGGTGTTTGAAATTAACAGGAAATAGCTTATTTACCACCACTAAAAATATATAGTATTATTTAATATTAAGAACTGAAAACAAATTCAAAAGCTGATACTGAATGTCTCCAATTGATTGTTTTGGGGTATCTTTATTAGCATTTGTGTTTATTTTATGAATTTTAATTACTTATAGAATGTGTTTGCCAGATAACGTATCAGGGTTTCTTAATCTTTTTGAAAGTAATATACTATATTTATTTTTATCAGTTCCTCAATAAATTAATTTGAATTTAGGATATGATTTCTCTAAACTGGTATAGCTAAAAAAGGATAGCTTACTTTTTTTTTACCGTTTTTTCTTCTTAATTTTGCCGAAATTTTTTCAATCTGAACCCACTATAGCCGGATCATTAAATGGCATATCGTCGAGTTGTGTTTTGTTTCCCACCAGAATACCCTAGGATTATGCATAACAAAAGTCAGGCATCATGGCCTGCACACAAAAGGAATAACACCAGAAGCCATAAATGAATAGTCATGTGCACGACCATATGTACTTAATGGCAATTAAAATTAAATCAAGTAAGTTCAGTTAAGTCTCTCGTATGGCATTTAATCAAATAGGCTTGTTCTTGAGAACGGTTTTGGTTTAACTGATAAGTTTCACACTCATATATTTCCAGTAATAGTTAGTTCATGTTTTCAGTTATTGGTATGATTCACTCTTTCATATAACGTGTGCGTTGGCCAGATACCAAGTATTTCCCCCTCATACCAGATGGTTGGGTTTTACACTGTATGTACAATGGTAGAAACACATACAAAAAGACAAAAATCTTATTGTATATAACATAGACAGACACAATCATACATATTTTAATCATTGTTTTTGTAGCCCTTATTTTTTATTTTTTTTTTTTTGGCAAAACCGTAATTCGTGGCAATACATTGCAGGGCCTACACATAACGTTTTTGGTTAAAACGCACAAATGGAATTCGTGAAATATTTTAAGCATTACGCGTTGCGGGAGGGGATTGAACCGATGCCCGAAGTGCGTTGCATTTACGTTGTTTTTTACGGCGTCGCGTTCGCGCTGCACTCGCCCGTTACATATGCAATCGAACATATGTACATATGTATGCATGTATGTACGTATGTCTTTTACATAGATGCATGCGGATACATACATCTATGTATGTACGTATGTAAATATCCAAAAATATAAACGAACCCATCGACCGTCCTCTGTACGTAATAAAATCCCTTGCGCTGCATTCAGTAGCGTAGGCAGCGCAGTAGCAGCGCAGCACATGCTTCTTATTTATAAATTGAGCCTGCCCTTATGTGCTCAACTCTGTTATATACAAGCTCAATACATAAATACATATAAATGCTGTCTCTTTGTACGAACGTGCGTGCATATTTACGTTCGTTTGTATGTATTTGTATGCGCGTGTGTGATGCCATCGTTGAAAATTGCTATTGCTTGTGCTTGCGAACAACGGGACGATCTGATACGAAGTGCTTCTTTTTTTCAGTTAATTCTTTATACATATGTATATCAATTTCGTTTTTTTCTCGTTTATTTTTTTTTTCACGGAAAAAATATGGCCACATTTTTTAAATTTATATTTTCAATTTATCTGCTTTTTCACATTATTCACATATGGACATACACTCACACACATAGTCACGAACAGACTCGTGATATTTTCGATTTTTAAATTAAATAAGTATTTGCAGAACGTCGTCCATTATGCTGACTGGCCGATTGGAGCATACGATTGCGTTTTGTTGGTGCGTGATTACGCCATTTTCTTTACTATCGCACGCCCATTCCAAAATTACCTTTTTCTTTATATTGATTGCGTTTTGCGTTTCTTCTAACACGAACACGAACACACCACGTTACTTATTGTAGTTCTAAACGGTTATATTTATTTCTAAACTCTATTAAATTAAATTTTTAAAATCCATTACTTGTAATTTTCGAAGTTTTCACTAGCGCTGTGTAGTCCATGAACAACGTGGTTCAATTGACTGACTCTTTCAGACGAACTAGCAAGCCATGTCTTTTGTTCCGTAAGTTCCGATGATGCTTGCGAGTCTCTTATCGATAGTAGCACCTTCCTATCACGAAACACAGCTGTTACCTGCATATCCTATAGCAACCCAGATTAAATACAAAAGAACCTACATAAATAAAAATTTGTATATGAACGAAAAATGCATTAATTTCTTGCAGCTGCAGACATTTTATTTTTTCTGCCAATAGCATTTCTTTGTTGCCCCACCATTATGAATTTGGTTGCCACTAATTAGATTTGTAACCATAGGCTGATAATGATGTCATCCACATTATTTTCACACAAAAGTAAATTTCACCTTTAAATGTGCAAAAATATCAATGCATATGTATATTTGTTTTTGTTCTCCCTCTTTGAGCATACATATTTTAATTGTATATAGCTGTGCATAATATACCCTAGAAATAAATACGCCACTCTGAACTTAATATAGCGCAAGCTCCTGCAACAGGCACTTAATCAGTTGGATTTTGTATGACAATCAGGATAAAGTCCTTGTCGGGAGCTACCATAATTTCATGTTTTTTTGAACGTACTCTAAGGAATGTGAGATCGTTAGACGGATCGAGATCGCGGACAACGCTGCGCGCTTTATCCGCTAGCTGATTCATGAGCCCCGCGTACTGCACGGTCGTCGTGTTGTCCAGCGTAGATTTGACCGGAATACCTGAGAAAACATGTGAATAATGTCAATGTGGCAACTAAAAACACAAAATGTACCTTTACCTTCATTGTTCACAACAATTGTTCCAACCACGCCTTTGTGGGACTGGATTCGCTTTAAAGTTTCCTCGACTTCTTGAGACTGTAATGCACCATATGATACGCAAAAAGCTTAAATATAAACGATTTTCTATATATTGCTTACCATTTCACAGGAATAAAGCTAAATGTTTGACCAAAAAATCAATAAGAGTTTGTACATATGTACATATATAATTGTAAACACGCACGAGTTGCCACCTAATTTGGGGTTGCCATGACGATTAAAAACCATAGCAGCACTGAGTTTAGTATTTAGTATTTGTGATTGGAAGCTTTTAAGTTAGAATTTGAAAATATTATTGAAGTTCTGTTTCTGAAACGAAAATGTAATACCCGTATGATGAACATGATGAACATAATATCGAAGAAAAACTAAACTATGCATTAAGCTTGTAATAAAAGAAGTACTGAATGTTTACTTAATGTATGGGAACATGAATATATACTAGATTCTCTGACCAACTAACCTATAAAACAACAGTTACCAAGGAAATCACCGCATTGCTCAGCAAAATAAAAAAGTGTAGCAGAGGCAGGGATACTTATTGTAGTTTCTGGTTAATAAGACCATTAATTTGAAAATGTCAATGTTTAAAAGTTCACCAGAAAAGGTAATATATTTAATTACGAGTATACATTTTCTAATTTATGAGATATACAAATGCTGCAGTCTCCCCGGACACTGACATATGTGGAAGAAGCTTTCCGCTTGATACAAGAAAAGCCCAACGTTCGAGACATAGTTATATTGAATGATCTTGGACATCCGGTAAAGAGTACCATGAGTAATTCAGCATCCGTGGAGTTCGCGGGACTGGTCCAAACCTTACGAGGAAGAATAGACCGTGGTATGCAAAAAATTGATCCTACTGATGAACTATTAATGCTGCGAATTCGTACAAAATTTCATGAAATACTTGTAACGCCAGATGCAAAAATAACAGTCATAGTCGTACAAAGCGCCGACGATAAGTTTGAAAACGAGTTGTTTTAAAATATTTGCAACCTACCTCAAATTGCTATTTAAGATTGTACAAATTAAATAAAACAAATGACTGTGTTACATATAAATATACAATTGCACGGAAATTTTTTATCCCAATATGGCTCTAAACTATTGCCCGGTGGTATGCGATTCGATAGGAGCAGAGCAATCGAGTGAGTTACCGCAATCGAATGTGTTCCTCCGCTTGCTGCTTCCAACGGCCTAATCGATAACATTGCACGCTTGCTAACAGTCTCGGCAACGCAGCAAAGTGGTTGAGTCGCGATGCCTCGCAATTTTTACGATTTCCAGTAGTTGGTAAACAAATTGTTGATAAGATATACACAGAAGACTTTTGCAACTTGCTGGCTCAAAGCGCGAATTGTGCAAAATTCCTGGTCTTGGGTGGACCGCACCTGCTAACTTGATAAGAAGATAGAGACGCACAAATAAAAAGACGACGGTGTCTCGCATTCCAGTGCGGATTAAACCCTGCCCGCCGCCGTCGCCGCCCTCTGCTTAGGTACGCGAGTGAACGTGTGTGTTTGTGTATTTTCGGATAGCGAAAACAAGTTAAATTGAAGCCAGGAAAATTAAGTTCTTTATCTGTAGACATAAATATTTTAAAAATAAAAACAAATATAGGTAACACCAGTGAACTTTTGCAAAAAGTGCTGTATACATACAAATCCATGTACTTGTGCGAAATAAAAAAGGAAAAAGAAATAAGTGTAAACAGCAGGTGAAGAAAAGTAACAAGAAGTTGTAGCTTCCCTGGAACTCGGCACGAAAGTGACGCACTGCAGCGCAATAAAATTATAAAAGGTAAACAAAGTCACCCAAAATGAGAATTTAATTCCTTTTCATCTACCAATGCATGCATATATGTATGTTGGTGTGTATTTTGCAAAAGTTGTATTACGCCTCTGGTGCTGATGTCGTCGAAAATTTTCATTCATAAAGAGCGTCGGTTAATGCGTACTTGTGAACAAACAAACGACCAAACATACATACATTTTCTAACAATATACAAATGTGTGGCAGCCACCGTAAACCCCCATTCGCCGTGTCCTGTTTATTGTCACATATAGTATTCGTTCAGAAATTTGTTTACGAATAACATTACAGTAATACAAATTGTTTTACAAGATTGTTTTATGTGGGATTATTTTTTGTTCATTCTCAAGGATTTGGTGCCGTCTGCCATTTGAAATACAATATTCATGTATATATAGTGTTATGCATGTATTTATTTAGTATTTGTGTTTGCACCCAAATCCATAATTGCATTTTTTGCCGAACTCTGCCCTAAATAATCAAATCAGGTCGACTTGCTTGCCTCTTGGCGAAACAAATTCTTTATAGGTAGAGAATAAAAAATGCAACCAATAAGTTTGGTTGGACGTTCATGACCTTTCTGCGATAGCCAAGCTGACGCCCATCTGAGTCTGATATCGATACATAAATAATGCCCATAAAAATAAAGGCCAACGCTTTAAGTAAATGGATTTCAAGTAAAAGCATCCAATATGAAAACTAGCGTGAATTTATATCTTAACATCCATCACAAAAAATTAAAACTTTTTATGATCAAATGGACATTTTTAATTTCCCTTTTATTGAAATAAAGTCTGTTCTTAATTAATGAATAATTTTTGCCGTACGTTGCCAAAAAATAATGTAAATAAGTAGACACATTTAGAAAAAAAAAAAAATTTAGGATGATGTTCGTTTAACTGAGACTGATATTGAAGAACTTCGTTCAAATTGCTTAACAATGACAATATAAAGTACGTATTTAAAATTGGAATTGCTTAAGCATTAGAAAACACATTTAACTTACTAATTGTAAAAATTTACTTGTAATGCTTGCAATTAATTATAAATCAGACACTTTTATTAGTTAAGTAAATTACACAGCTATTTAGTATGCAATAATTGCATATGTACTATGTATGTACTTTTCTGGTGCAATATTTTCCCTATTAGTTTAGTTCGAAAGAGTTTCTAATTATCTTGTTCAAAAAATGTGCATTTGCCACAAGGAAATAACAGCAGCCGACCTAAGGCTATTATATTATTTAAAAAAGTAATTGAAGTTTTATTCAGCCTGCTTCTCTTCAGATATATCCTTAAACGGATATTACAGCAGCCCCTTCATGCGATATTTTATTGCAATAAGTCCAGTTCCGCTCCAATTATCGCATTTATTTCAATTCTTTTGTGTACCTTAGTATCTTCAGAACAAAAGTAAATTGCGTTAATTTGAAAGGGATATCTTATTGGTGTGGAGCTATTCCAGAAGGTCAGTAATTCTGCTGTAATAACATTATTGTACATTGCTAAAAAGTAAATGTCATCTTTTGGAACAAGAACTTAAATTTATACTGTACTCGAAATTTGCGAGACATTTAAGCGCGGTGAAGACGTTAAGCGTCAAAACGCAAACAAGCAAAATAAATATATAAAACAATCAAAATAACTTGGTGACATCATTTTGACTAATCGCCAATTTTAGCATTTGAAAACTGCTGCTGCTGCTGCGCTGCCACCGCTCAGTCGGCCCGTTGGTGCTGCTACGGGTGAGGGGGTGCGGTGAGTTGGGCGTAGCGTCCGCCATGCGCTTAAATAGCACGGGTCCATGCCGTCGACACGGTTGCGACGCTTCTATTGAGAATATGGCAGCAGGTGCTGTTGTTTGTACTATATTGCGGGCTTAGTTAGCTTGAGCCGAGTCGAGTCGAGTCGTTCAGTGCCGAGCCAAGCCGACCGCTAGCTCAAAGAGTACCCAAGATTGAACACCTATGTGTACCGAGCAGTGTCTGTCTACTTATTGTATGCGTACAGCTAATAGAATTCAATTTCACTTTTTCCTATTTTGACTTTCTCGTAATACAAGTAGATAATTTATACATGTTTAGTATAGGGGCTTGGGTAGCAAATGCATTCGGAACTAACCTTCCGCCTAGTAATAAAAATAATATATTAGCATATATTTGGTTTCAGAATGAATCACATATTAATATTTTGAATAAGAAGAAGCGTGTGTGGGGATCTGTACGATTTATGATGCTTTAAAGTTCTTGGAATTCTTGTTTAACAAATGAATGTAAGTAGCATTAAATCTATTATGATCATGAAATTATCGTGAAATTATTCATAATAAATCAAGTATTGTGTAATCATGGTCTAGATTTTTTGACAGATTTTATAGTTTGAAAGTCTCGAAAACACTAGCACTTATGGATCTTGAAATGAAGTTTTGACTTCTTTTAGTCCGTCTAGGGATATTCATATTGATTATAAATAAATCTGACTGACTAATTTTTTGTAGATCAGTTTTTCGAGGATAAATCGTAAACTTGATGCCACATCAATAAATGTTTAAAATTTATCAATGTAAATATGTACTTTATTGTAGCCGAAAATTAAACTTGGGGAAAGTTTATTTAATTAAATAAGACCAACATATTTGCGTGAAAATTATTTGCATCAGTAATCCCTGAATTATGTTACAAACTACACATTAAACAATACATACTCTGTATAGACATTTTAACAAATACCGAAACTACTTATACGTTCACCTTTATTTAAAAAGAACAAATAATTCGTCAGCAGCTCTAACTTTTGCTGTACATATGTACATAGTATTTGTCTGGGTGTTAATTAAAGAAACTTTTATTGAAAAGCAATTTTTTATAAATTGAATGAATATTTGCTTTATTGTTGATCAGTTTGATTGGAAAATAACATTTTTTTGTTGAGCCGAGGTCTTTTAATTGTTCTACTTAATTATGAAGCGATAATGTATTTCTAGAACAGCTAAATACTATATTGTATTTGAATTTAAATTCTGTTGGTTGCAAAATAAACTATTCAATTAAAAAACATTAAAACTTCGATGAATAAGATAAGCGAAAATTTATTTCTAGAACAGCTAAATACTATATTGTAATTGAATTTAAATTCTGTTGGTTGCAAAATAAACTATTCAATTAAAAAACATTAAAACTTCGATGAATAAGATATACTTATGATTACATACATAGGCCGTTGGCTGATTATGTGTGCGCTATTTAGATAACTGAATACGAAGTATTATTAATTATTTATGCATTTTTCTGTTTAAAAAATGAATTCAGTTGGAAAAATATTTGAATGTAAGTTTTTGTGACAAATATTAAAAAATAAGTCCATTAAAAGTATAAATAACGCAATAACAGTCTTATCAACCTAAAAGTTTGTGTAATTTTCTTAAAATTTATTATTTATGAATATTATAAAGAAAATGTATTAAACTTAGTTATATTTTTACAAGTTTTTTTTTTAATTTCTGAAGTTCTAATTATAATAACGAGTTAACTAACGCTGTAAATTTATTAAACTTAGTTATATTTTTAAAAGTAGTTTTGGGAACTTCTAACGTGCTAATTATAATAACGATTTAACGAACGCTGTAAATTAATTTGAGCAATGCACGGAGATTGTCTTGAGCCAGATTTTTGAGTAATGAGGGAGGACTTTGAATTGGGCACGTAATTCTTTTCCTCGGATATGGTCATTAGGTACATAACATTAAAAATAGGTGAATGTAAAAGAACGAAATATTGTTGGTAATTAACAGTGGGTTGTGGAAATAATGTAAAAATATTTCGTTAACTATAAAGTCCCGCCTTGCTTTAATAAAGCATAAGTTTCTGAAGAACTCGAGAGGGAGTGTTCATGTGTGTGTGCCCCCAATGCGTTGTTCCGATTTAGTTCACCAGATAGCCAACTATGCCAGCATAGTAGTGTTCTGTTTGGTGTATACCTTGGAACATCAAACACTGCTGCTGCTGCTGAAGAAGAGTAGCCAAGAAAAAGTGAAACACGTTTCAGATATTTGTGTGACACATTGGCGGAAACGCTCATGTCGTGGAAAACTAAATGAGGCGTGACATGAAAAACAAGAGCAGAGCATTGTGCATACACACGCATAGGCGCACAGATAGAGCACACAAACACTCACCTCCCCCCTCCCGCTCCACCCACTTGGCGAACGAGTGCGCCCCCGCAGCAGCAGCAGCAGAAACAACAACAACAACAATAATACGGACAACATAAATACCCATGGAGTCATTTCTGGCCAGAAGCGTTGTGCCGTTGACTCAAACAATGGCAAGTAAAAGAAGGGCAGAAAACAAAACTGAAAAGAAAGAAACGATTGAAAAATCTCATGAAAGCGTGTGAGAGATTGGCGAACGAAGCCGCCAACGTTGTCGAGTTCCGGCACCGGTGATGGTGCCGGTGCCGGTGCCGACAGCAAATCCAAGCCAGCAAGCCAGGCAAAGCTGGAAGCCCACGAAAGCGTGAACAGCACGTGGCCGAAGGGGCAGGATGAGGAGACGGTGCACAGCAAAAGAAGCAGGGCACACAATTAACCTCAACCCTTTGTCCTGCTCTGGCTCGACCAATTCAACAATTTAGCTTTGAAGCAATGGTGGGGGTGGTGGTGATGGTGGCATGTGGTTGCCTCATAGTTAAGCGCTTCTCCTGGTGGCATTCCATTACCAGAGCGTAACGAGGCACAATTTAATGTTTAATTCGTTTAAATAAGAACAACACCAGCACAATCAAATTAATCGCTTATGCGGTAATCGCATTTCTGCGACCGACAATGCCGTTGACGCCCCCTTCAGTATCTGATTGGGTGTGGTGTGGAGCGATGGTCGGAGCCGTTGAATGTTTCTGATATATGTATGTATGTATGTATGTTGTATGCTTGTATGCTGACTTGTGCATATGCATGCAATATTTAATGCCCAACAAAGAAGCGTATAGTATATAGTAATAGGGCATGCCGAGAGCCAATCATGTATAGCGGGTGGTCGGTTGCCAACTTTAAGCCATAAATTCGTTACGGTGCGGTGCGACTCAATTCCATTACAGGCGGTTAAACGAGATTGCGAGGCACTCGACTGTGAAGCCTCCACGAGACTGTTGCTATTTTTAATCATGTTCGCTTAGCGTCTAGCCAATTGTGCACCCACTGGAAGTTACTGCAAACTCCCCCATACGAACACGTACACGAACACAACTTTAACGGAGACAATTTTCTTACAAAGCGTACAAACAAATTTCTTCAAACGAAAAACAATTCTCTACAAACAGTAAAGTCCAGAAGCCCAATGCAACAGGTCCGTCCTCTAACTTCAATTCAAGTTGCAGGCATTGCAGCAATCAGAGCGCAATCAACAGCATGATCTGCAGGGGCGGCAGCACTGCAGTCCACATGGTATTAGCCAGGGAACACAGCTGGGACTGCAGTTAGGACTGCAGCAACCACCGCAGCAAGGACTGCAGCTCGGACCGCAGCAAGGATCGCAACAGGAGCTGCCACAACGACCTCTACCCCAGCCGCAGGGTGTGTAGCCCGAATAGATTCCATACGGGCAGGGTCCGCAGGCACAGTCCGGGTAAGGACCGATGTAGAACGGATTAAACTTGCAATAGTCACTGCAGTTCATTTTGCTAGCTGCCAAGCGACATTCGTTTATCAGCTATTCTGTAGGCCTACAGAATATCAGCCATACTTACGTTCTGGGCTTTACTGCAAGTAGAAAGTTTGCTTTTTGTTTTTGGAAATAATATATTTCTCAAATCAATGTCAAAGCATTTCGGTTGTAAAATGTAGGTACAGATTGAACAAAGTAATTGATTTGTTAAGCCAGCTTAATTCGAATTAAAGACTTAGTAAGGAAGAAGCTGAAGAGTTCACACCCCGCTGATCTTGCCAATAGATTTATATAAAGTATAAATAATTAAATAGGACTAAACTCCTGTTAAAGCTGTATTTGTATTTTTCTATAAGTTTATGTTGTAAATAATAACAGTATAATTAAAGTTTTACATTTATCAAAAATAAAAATTTAAAGGCTCTAAGAACTAAACGACTAATATCTGAAACTAATATATGTACAATGGTATATAATGGACAGTAACTGATGCTTCTCCCAACTATATAAAAGTATGTAACAAGGGAAACTACGTAATCAGCATGACGAGGGAAATCGATCTAGACATGTCTGTTCGTCTGTCTGACCGTCTGTTTGTATGAACGTCTGAACGTCGCATATGGCTGAGCCTATATTGACCAAACTTGCTATGTAGACTCTCCTAATCCTTATGCTTTGGGATATTTGTTTATTTTTTGTGTTTCCCCCCTTTTTTCCTCGCTATAGAGTTTTGTCAATACAGTCCACAATTCCAACGTCATTTAAACAAAATTTGGCATACGTAAATAATATGTAAAGCTTTACCTCTGTTTTAAATTTAACCAAATCGGGGAATTTTAAGAATAATAATGTTATAAGCGAAATAATTATACTCTGTACATGAAATGTACAGGATCGCCTATATCTCGGCGGCTATAAGACCTAGGAACACCAAATTTTAGTCCAATGTGCCTTATGTGAATACGCAGAAAAAGTGTATTTTGGAATTTCCCTCCCTCCCCCCTTTCCCCCACAATCCATAACTCCCTTAATTCTTGGAATTTTTAATTGAAATTCGGAAAATACCTCCCGTTAGTAATTATGAGTCCGTGTGACGAGTATCATAATGATAGGCCGATTTAACAGGAAGTTATAGCCATATGTGTATATATGACCAAGCAGTGACCGCAGCTGTTATTGCTTTGCATAGGTACACAGACACACACAAACACAAACACACACATACACGCCTAGATACGCATAATTATACTACACATATGTACAGAGTATTTCAAAGTCGGGATACCCGACTTTAGCTTCTCTACTTGTTTTATTTATTATTCTACTTATACGCCCACAAACTAGGGTACAGGGTATTACAAAGTCCGGCTTGCTCGACTCTTTCTATCTTATTTAAAAATGTTAGCCTACGCGTATCAGCGAATTTTTCCTGTTCAGAGGTATAAGAGATGTACAAATTAAGGGCAATAGTTTAAGTGAAGTTGCAAGAAATAAGTCTCAGCGAGTCACAAATTTTTAGATATATAGTGTTTATTTAAATGTACACTCCATGATGAGTGGCTTGTCCACTGTAGCTGCCTTGTAAGTTTGGGAGCCTTTTTACCATTTTTGAGCTAAAAAAAATCACATTTCTATTGAGGGGTTTGTCATTGCCATTCCGTTGCTAGCCAGCTAAGGGCGAACATACAAATTTATTGAGCCAATCGTCCACCCTCCAGCAATTCTCGGACAGGTTTCAAATCGCATTATATATACATTTGTGAGAGGGAGAAATGTGTATAGCTTTACATATATAGGTATTTGTGTTTGGATGTATGTTTGCAAGACTTATTGGGCGCATGTATCTTCTTAGTGTCGTTTCTTGGCTGCTCATTGTCAACTCGCATTGATTTGCCTTTTGTGTGGCTTTGTTTTCTGCGGCGTCGAGGTGCTGCAACCTCTTCTGCCTTGCAGGTCGACATGATTATGACAGAAAGAACAGAAGCAATGGCCCCCAGCGCCAGCCCAACCTTGCAACCCATTGCAGCAAAATGGCTTTCAACCGGTCTGCACTAATTCGAAAAAAGTTGGCTTGGTGTACTTCTATATGTATAGTATTTCGTTTTTCTTGAAAAAAATCTTATCAGCATGCACGTGCGTTTACTTTCTAGATCGTTATCGCTTGTGTGGGAAGAGATTATGGGCGTAGCTACTAATGCGTATTACTGGCATAAACGAAATGTTTGAAAACATTTCGATTGTAAAATTTTTTTATAACTGCCCACGCGAAATGCATAATAAATAATGTGTGCACACAATTGTTTGTGTTTCCTCATGTCGCAAGCTACTTGGGCCTACTTCGTGCCTCTATTTTATTTTGAGATTTTTCCGCCGACATCGTCATTTTTTCTTGGCCGAGTTGCAGGGCGAGGCAGTCGACCGCAGAGTCGCAATGCGTGGGTGGACAACGCGTTGGATTGCATGTCAAGATTCGGATGGAATCCGCTTCACAGATACACACAACTCAGTGCTGTTTGTTTTTAGGGTCTATGGCCGCAAATAGTTGCGCCACAAAAATCCAAATAGAAGCACATTTTTCTCATTTTCTCTCCATGTAGTTATACATATAAAATTTTAGAGCAGCTGTTAATATATGTATGTAGTATGTTGGTGTCAAATGGTTTGGCACGTTCGCCACCAATCCATTAACAATTGATCCCAACTTGTAAATACTGAGCAAAGGCCCAGCAAATCATTGCGAAATCTGTAAATGCCTTTTGTGTAAACAATTAGCGAAATGCTTACAAATATCGTATTTTCCAATAACATATAATAGAGATATATATATCAGTATACTCGTATATTAACATGCCCTGAAATCCTCACATTTAATTTGTAGGTGCATTCATCCGTAAAGTGAACTGAAAGATCCAAGCGATGATCGTGCGAGTGTAGTTCATGCACTAAATTAATATTCTAGGCATAATTGGCCGCGTCTGTCAAAAAGGAATTTTTTATATACATATATTAATTTAATTAATCAACAAAAATGTGGGCAGCCAACATTAAATAAAATATACATACAAGGTGTGTTCCAAAGTAAACAGGACTTTTAAAAAAAAAAAACAACAAATGATTTTTTCGGCAAAATCAATTTATTTTATTTAAAATAGTGTCCTTCTGCTTCAATACAGCTTTTTGCACGATCGTTGGCCGGTATGGCCGCCAGTATGCCGGTGCAAGCCTTTTGAATGGCCTCTACAAGTATGTCATAACGCTTTCCTTTCATGGGCAAATGCATTTTTCCGAAAAGGTAGAAGTCGCACGGTGCCATATCAGGTGAATACAGCGAGTGGTTAATGGTTAAAATGTGATTTTTGGTCAAATAATCGGTCACAAGCGTCGATCGATGAGACCAATTTTTGGTCGTCAGTCAATTTGTTCGGAACAAACCGTGCACACATCTTTTGTAAGCCTAAATGTTCGGTCAAAATGCGATAAATCGATGTTTTGGAGATGTTCAATTTCATTTCCATCAATTTCAATGATGATTTCGGCTGATTTTTGATGAATTCACGCACAGTTTCGATGGAATTTTCGGTGATCACGAATTTTGATTGGCCCACATGTTGATCGTCATTTATGTCCTCACGACCACTTTGGAAACGTTGAAACCACTCGTGCACTCTGCTACGGGATAGGCAATCATCGCCATAAACTTGTTCCATTAATTGAAACGTTTCGGTAAAAGTTTTACTAATTTTAAAACAAAATTTAATGTTGGTTTTTTGTTCGAAGCTCATTTTCAAACATACTGACACTTAAAACGCAATAACTTCACTTCCAATCGATGAAATGTCATGAAATTCTCACTGGACAATCGATAAAGATAGCAGATTCTAACGCACCAGTCGACTTATAGATGGCGCCACCAGGGGGCGCTAGATTCAAAAAGTCCTGTTTACTTTGGAACGCACCTTGTACATTCGTTATAAGTATAGTAGTTACAGCTTAAAAGATAAGAATAAGAAATGATAATAAATATACGAGTAAACGTTAACGCCTCCAACACGTTGGGGAGATTTTAATTGCCATTCGACCAGCTATGCTCCGATTCACAGTCAAAGAAGGGCAAGCTTATTTTAATTAATTTTAACTTGGTAACTTAATGAGAAAACTATTTATATTTAATTGCCAGTCCGGCAAGCTGGGCTTCTTTCTACTCCCAGCCGTAATTTATTAAATATTTTTAATATTTTTCCTATTAGAAACCATTTTTATGTAGAAACAATTAATTGCTGTCTCATACTTGTTACCCGCTATCGATGATACCAGAAATTTATTTGGAATCAAATTATTTCTGTAGATAGTGATACATTTTGGGAAAGCATTGTATTTCAGTAGATAATGACAAATTTTGGGATAGTATTGCAAGTTGTTTTCTTGATATGTATATTATTGATTACAATATGCATTGTTAATCGCAAGATGATCTTATTTTATTCTTCAGGGCTAATAATCCATTAGGATCCATTTTTATGTATTTTGCTTTGGTTCTTCACTATTAATTGCTGAACTCATACTTGTTACTCGCTGTGGATGATACCAAAAACTTTGTTAGAATCAAATTATTTCAGTAGATAGTGACAAATTTTGGGATAACATTGCATTTCAGTAGATATTGACAAATTTTGGGATAGTATTGCAAGTTGTTGTTTAGTTGATATAGTATATATTGATTACAATATGCATTGTTAATCACAAGATGATCCTACTTTGTTCTTCCTCATTTATGTGAATTGCGTTCTCCATTATAATGATGATACCAGAATTTATTTCCGATCAAATTATTTGGAATAGCATTGTAAGTACATATCTTGTTTGATACAGGCTATTTTTATATGTCCCTGTGCTCCTTAACTAGTTTTTATAAACCTTTAGAACAAATATCTCTCAAGCTAACAATCTCTATATCTTAAAGACATGAAAGATAGTAGTTATTAAGGGCTCACTAACTACTTTAAAGGGGAACTTGGTCGCATCATTTGTTAAAAATATGTGTTTCCCAAATACACTATTGTTTATGTTCATGTGTGTGATTTGAACGAATTTCACAAATATTGTATATACTCGTATATATTTAAAAACAATCGAATATTTCGTAAACAATGCTAATTTTAAAATGCTGATCAATGGGAGTTTAGTCAACATTTGTTTTTGGCCCATGAGCATATAATCTGGAAGTCGACAATTGACTCATGCGGGGGACATTCTTGTCAT